TTCCACAAGACCCTTATTTTAAATGGTTTTTAATATAAATTTCCTTCTTTTTATTTTCTTCTGTAATTTGGTGGTTCATTTATGTATGTAGTACAAAGTATCTCTGAATCCAATCCAAAGTCCCAGTAATGGTTTTGTTCACAGCCGATTGGTGCGATCTATGTCATTTGATGCTCCCCACATTGTTCAAGTTGGACATAGACTACAAAGATCAGTTCAAGTTCTACACAGTTGACATTAGCAAAGAAGCAAGCATCGCAATACGTTACATGGTACGTGCTATCCCGACCACAATTGTCGTCAAAGGCGGAGGCCTAATGACTACATTCGTGGGAGGGGATTCTAGGAAGTTAGAGAAACTCGTCGAGCGGTATAAGTGATTTCCTTTGCCTCGTCCGTTTACTCATATTTGGTGTTTCCTTTGTCAAACATTTGCTTTATGCACTACTACTATGTTGTTGAGTGTTGTTTGTCTCGTCGTTTACTCATATTTGGTATTTTCTTTGTCAAACCTTTAGCTTTATCATGCACTACTACTATATGTTGTTGAGTGTTGTTTGTCTCTTTAATCAATTAATAAAGGTTGCTCCGTCGTGGGTTGAATCTTTTATTTATGTTGAAAAGAAATATAGTAGTAACTTTTTTTTTTTGAAGAAAATCATTTCTATTTATGGCATGTGATTTCCCTTGGCCTTGGCTCGTCCGTTCATGTTTGCTGCTTTCTTTGTCAAATATTTGCTTCACTATGTTGTTGAGTGTTGTTCGTCCCCTTTATTACCTCATAATAATTACTATTACTTCTTTAAACATGGATAATGACTAAGATGGATAAGGTTATCGGACACATAATGATCAATAGTTTTAGATAAGCGTCTCACTTTTAAGACAAAAAAGTTAACAACTGTCACAAAATTTTGAAGGGTGTAACATTATTACTCAGCATAATCTGACTCGTTTTCCTCATCATTTTCTGACACTGCGTCCTCGTCCTCATCAGACTCACTTCCCACTCCATCTTCCGACACCGCGTCCTCATCTTCTTGTGCATCAGTTTCGTTTTCCCCGTCTGTTTCGGTTGACTCCTTTGCCTTATTATCATCCTTGAGGTCTTTCTCGTCATAGAAATCTCTTTGGACGGGAACATCTTTCTGTTGTTGGGTAGACATGATTCCAGCAATGGCTTTCAATGCAGCAGCTGCCTGACTGTTATCAGCTATGGCTTCTTCATCTATGCCTGGCACTGTTGCTTCTGATTCTGAAGCCACAGCATCTAGCTTAGGAGGTGGGACAAAGAAAGGTATGCGACCTCTTTGCCAGTCATGGAGTATCATCTTTGCTCCTGTCATCAAATCAGGCTCTCCACCCTGAACAAGTTTATCAAGTTGAGTTATTCTTATACCAGTTCATTGCCACGAAAACAGAGAAACTTTTAAGCTATCTCTCTTACTTATTGAACATAATTCGCAGCCTATTAAAATTACGAAACACACCTTTAACAGTTTGCCAGAGGATTTGCATAACTGAAGCAGAAAATCATGATCATCCTCCCTGTAAATATCGAGAACAGAATTTATCACTTAGTCGCCAAAGTAGGATGACTAAAAAATTATTGAAAATTTTGAAATTTCTCTTACCAGTCGTTTATTTTATACGCTCTCTGCAAGTGTTCCTTCTTGACACGCCTCAGTACTTCTCCAATGTGCTCAGATGCATCTTCCAGGTTAGTAACTCTTACCTATATATCCAAAAATATGAATCTGTAAGATAATTCACTACTTGCAAAGAACCAAACAGAGTGGGGACCAAAAGAGGCATGGGTTTAAATAAGACGACTTTTCATGTAAACCTGGGAGTTTTGAGCAAAGATGGACCAAACGTTTCCCAGGCATTTTAAAGTGTAACACGTTGAAAGAAAAGACTAATAATACAAGACACATACCACTCCCTTGAGGACGATATCTGTCTCAGTATCACGGCTCTGGTAAACAACTCCAGGACAATCAATCAGGAAAATCCTCTTAGTGAGTGTGATGTATTGCCAGACCTTAGTCTCCCCTGGAATTGGTGCAACCTTGCAAACCTAGAGGAAGAGACAGAGAAAGGAGAAATGTGAGCTAAAGTAAATTGGCCATTAGGTATTCAATAAAGCAAGTTCGCAATAAAATAAGCAAAGAAGTTATTACATTTTTAGTACGCAGTGTATTGATAACTGATGATTTCCCAACATTGGGATACCCAACAAATCCCACAGATATGGCTTGCTTGTCACTTTTTAGACGAGCAAACTGCCTCAAAACTGAGAGAAGTGACCCCTGAAATCAACCATCATTTGGTGAACATTTATCAAGAAAATAACACAGGATGATAATAGGACTTCACAAGTATAAACCAGAAATCAAAAGATCAGAGGATCTTAAGGAGATGTATAATCGATGAAGTACCTTTCCGAATGACTTATTAACACTTGCATGGAATGCTAGAGTTGGATATTCCTTTGATAATACTCTCAACCATCCTTTAGTGGCCCAAGCCGGTACAAGATCACACTTTAAAGCACAAACACAAAAGACACATTAAGATATCTAGTAAGTAACTTTCACAACAGGAACTGTCAACTTAAGCTAGCTGAGTTCTCAAGAAATGAAAACAACTAACCTTGTTCAACAACAGAATCATGTGTTTATGCTTGTGATGCTCTTTCAAAGTTTTCTCTAAATGATGACACCTAGTACCTTGTGGATCCCTAGCATCTATAACCTGTCACACCAAATACAACTAAGTCAAAACAAGAATATAACTAAGATACATCTCCTTCACTAACTCGGTCCTTAAATCGAGACATACCTGGACAATTACATCAGAGGAGTCTATGACTTTGTAAAGCTCACCCCAAATTCGTTTGCTTTGTCCCTTCTCAAACATAGTATGCCTCACAAGGTCCCTAAACCCATCTTCTTCTTCTCCTCCTTCTCCAGAAGGACCTGCCCCATTCTTCTCCTCAAATGCATCTTCAAAAGTCCCCAAAAATATTTCAATAAATACATAATGTATGCATCATTTCAAATACAACAAACTCAAAGAAGCTCAAATTACCCTGAGATTCAGTTGCCTTCTTAACCAAGGCTTCATAATCAGAAGCCACGAGCTTGGGTCTCTTCCTTTTAGTCTTCCTTCCAAAAGCATCTTGAAAGGGCTCCATGTCAAGTAAATGAACTCTCGATTGCTTAACAAAGAATCACCAAAACCAAGTAAAAGAATCACCAAAACCAATAAAAAAAAGAGAGTCACGTTTTATATTCTCTGTCGTCAACTATAACAGCAAAGAGTCGTCGCCTTTTCTTTGTTTCTTACTCTGTTTTTTAGGTAAAATTAAAACTATAAGAAGAAGATTTGAGTTGATATATAGATACAAAAAAATTATTAATTAACTAAAAGTAAAAGAATCACCAAAACCAATCAAAAATCGAAACTTTCAACACCTTTGATATGTCTGAATTCAACAAAGTTAAAACCTTTACCTTCTTGTTATCAATTAAAAGAGACATAGGCAACTTCCTCGGCTTCACAATCACATTAAAAGTATTAGACATCTTAGATTGAAGCTCTTCTCTAAAGTATTCAAGCTCTTTCTGATTCACAACACGAGTGTTCCCTATACAACAAAATACATCAAAAATCAGAAATCAATTGAATAAAATAATTCTCACGAAAATCTGAAAACTCACCAAACCATCGTGGATCAGGTTGGATTCGTGAGTTGGGTAGTTCCTTAGATTGGTACTCGTTGCTAAGGATTTTACCACCGCTGTTTCTTTTAGGTCTAGTGTTGTACATCTTAAGCCGATTAACGGTGGCTTTGGTACGGCCTTCGGTGGTTTTCTTCTTGCCATCGGCACGATTCGCATCGAGCGAATGCTTTGGTTTCCCGGACACATTCGATTTCTTCTCCTTCTTCACCATCTCTGAGTTTTTGTTTTCCTTGACAGATAAACGATGGAAGAAGAAAAAGCAGAGGACGAAGAATAAGAAATGTTTGCTAGGGTTTTGGTTTGCGGTGACCTCCTCTCAATATGGGCTTTAAATTTTCTAACAGATTTCAATGTTTTGGCCCATAGGCCCATTATAACACAAGCCCCTTCTAAAAGCCTCCTCCACCAAATCTTTTTTCTCCGATTGTGAGACTATACGCCTATACGCATCTTATTCGTATACACTAGCACTGTAGTTTCGGTTATTCGGTTCCGATTCGATTCTTTCGCTTTTGACCTTAATATTCCTATAAGTTCTTTCGGTTCAGTTCCGGTCCATGTACCATTCGTATACACTAGCTCTGAGAATTTAGGTATTCGGTTCCCGTTTATTCGATTCTTACTTTAGTATCCATATATGAACCGAAATCATTTCGACTAGTATACACTACACAATTATGTTTGGATAAATTATTGTGATCCAAACAGGCCCGGCCCTTTACCAATTTTTATGAAACATTTGTGTTGGGCCTCATATTTTTGAGGCCCATTTTATTGAGAAATTTTTTTTTTTTTTAAGGCCTCAAAATTAGTAAATAATCTCCAAAATTAGTAAAAGGCCCCATAATTAACAAAAAAAAATACTCCATAATTAGTAGAAAACTCTAATAATTAACAAAAAAATGTCTAAAAATTAAGAAAAATTATGAATGTCTCATTTTTAGCAAAAAAAAAAATCAAAATAACAGTTTTTAAATTTTTAAAAAGCCCAAAAAAATTTTTCGTATTTAGCCCCAGATTTTACCGGACCGGCACTGGATCCAAACGACTAAATTCTAGTTTCTATTAAAATATTTTGGATAGTTTTCGGATAGAATTGAGTGATCCAATCTAAAATGTGCATATCTACGCGTCGTGTAGCGGGTGCAAGTTTTATTCTCCTTTCTATTATAAAACTAGAATGACAGAATTATATGTTGCCATTAGTTGTTTATGAATGTCTGGAAATTTCGGGTGTTGTTTTCTTTCAGATACGAAACATATTTAATTGGAATTATCACAAAGGTCCAATTTTATCAAAGATTTTTCTCTTACAAGTATCCTCCTTCTGCCCTCTAGAAGATATACATGGATCCTCTCTACATGCATATCGCCTAATGGATGTTTACATAAAAGTTTCAAGAATTATGGAGTGGATACCTGTGAGCCCATGACTGCCAAAAGACAGACCACATGGGGTACTGACTGCGTCCTCACTGATTTGCCTCAAAGACTGACCAGATGGGGTAATTTGAAGTGATGGGTCTCTCTCTTGTGTGATTGTGTGAGATTCAAAGTCTCTCAAGATATTCTCCTCAACATTGGTTGCACTTCTAGCACTCAAAGGAGATGATGAAATCTGTCCATTCTTGCCTGAATGAAAATGGAAATGTTAGAAAGGAAGGAACTCAATATTCCAAAGAGAACAAGCATAATACCAGACTAAAACTACACACATTACCAGAAGCAGACAGATATAATAAAAGAATGCCATGAGAAGGAAGCTCCTCACAAATAGTGGCCAAAACCTACCAAATAAAAACAGGGTTAACAGAATGATGTTCCATAGAGCCCATAATTCCAGTTAGACAAGTAAAAAACAAAAATCAACTTACAGCCAAAAAATGTGTTATGGATGGACGATAAAGGACAGCTTTGCGAGGGTTAGGTGGCAAAGTAGGATCATTCATGCTCTGGGAGTTAATACGAGAAACTCCAACGGGAGCATTCAGACCCATTTTAGCACCAGTTGATTGATATAGTGAACCACTCGGTTCCCACTCTAAGCATTGAAGCATCCTAAAAGAATCGAGCGTGAGCTCCGAATACTTGACCTGGTGGAAATCATACAGCATGATTGCAAATTTTAGAGGGTAAGAATATTAAACAGGCGTTCATACTAAACACGAACACGTAGAAACATTACCTCGTTATAATAATAGCTGCTCAAGATTGCATCCGTCAACCTTAAAGATCTACTAGCACGCGGTGTACCAGCATCCAGATTAGGATCCAGAACAAGACTGTATCTTAGAGGTCTAGTGTTCATAAATGCAGTGTCAGATTTCAGAAATCTAACTATGTCCTGCGCCACAACCTTCCATTCTTTAAAATCGGTTTCCTGAAAACATGAAAAGTTGTTTATGTAACACCTAAGGAAATAAAAATTAGTCATCTCATACCAGAAAAAAAATTGATAGAGACAAGATCTCTTGTAAGGCAACCTAATTGTTATCATTCTCCATTAAAATAGTAACACCAACAAACAGTCTAAGGCTCGGGGAAAGAAAGTAGTCAAGATGGAGAGAATAGGTTATCAGAAAAAAACCTGGAATGTCCTCTTGCATTCATCTATCAACCGTTTAAACTGATCAACAAGTTGATGCACCATCTCACGGCGGCCAAGGACCAAACACACCATAAGAAACCTTGCAAGAAACCGTAGCTGTTTGTTTGCAATATTAATATCCTGAAACAATCCTTATTTGAAGTACTCTCTAGTGAGTATTGCTTCGTAGAATACATAAGACTCGGATAAGTAACCGGCATCACTTGTCCGCATATAATGTCCATAGTAAAGCTGTGCAATTCGAGATGCGATCTCTCCAATCTCCCATCTCTTAAGTCCAGCTTCAACAAGCTTCTGCCGATTCTCTTGCTGAAACTTCCATAACTGTGTGTATACTTTGAATACCTTGAAGAAATAGTTTTCATACCTATAAACAGAATTAACAATTCCATGAACCAACAATCGGATTCATTCTTAATCCGATTATAGTTTCCTACCAAAATCAATATCTAGCAACTCTCAAATCAACATTTCTATGTACGTTTTCCTTCAGCCTAAACAAAATTGATAGTCTCCAGGAAAAATTGACAAAATCGAAATTCACCGGTTATATCAGCGGAATCGGAAGCGTACCTGGAGCGTTCATAGAAGGGCAAGTCTCTGATCTTGGAGAATTTCTTATCGGCTTTGTTAACAAGAGACCAGTAAACTTCACTCAGCGGGATATTATTACCGCTGATTTGCTGCGACATTTCTCAGGTCACGACGAAAGCGGTCACTCTTCAGAGAGAGAGAGAGAGAGAGAGAGAGAGAGAGAGAGAATCGGAGGACCGTTGATCGGAGTGTTTGGTCGTCGTCGTCGTCTTCTAGATCGGCGAATCCGACTTTTGGATGACTATTGTACCGAGCGGTTTACCAACGAAATTTGTCTAATCGATTTTGGTTTGTTTTTTTTTTTTTAATCTGGGGGAACATTCGGCTGAAATAAATAACCAAAAAAACATCTAAATTTTTTTTTGGTGCATTTTATGATTAGGACTATAAATTTTTGGTCGAAATTATTCTCAGTTTTATAAATAATTTTTGTATTATTCAGAGCATCTCCAAAAGCAATCTCAATACCTCAAATTTGAGGTTTTATCTTTTTACTAGGGGACCGGATATACATTTTATTTTTTAGTTAGTTTGATTTTAAATTATTTTTTAAGTTTCTTTAGTATATATAAGTTTGCTTAGGCATGCCATCACGATTCGTCTTTCAACTCATGTTAGAGCATTTCCATTGGATATCCCCGTTAAATGTAACTTTCCATTACGTCACCTTTGACCCTCTATGTCATGATTAGCCTTTAAGCCACAAGATAATACATAACCAAACGTTAAATTTAAGTGATTGAACAACAGTTCCGATTAAGAGTTTGCCCACCATTATGATTAAACTGATGAAAGTTTTCATGTATCTCTATTATGCAAATTTATGCCTTCCATCAAGGGAAGAAACCAGAGAACCTAACCACAAGATAATTAAAAAAAGAAACTATAGTTATGGAGAGGAACATCCATAAAGAGCAAGATAAAGAATAACCCTATTTAGCAGAGATTACACGATTACATTTGCTTAGAATTTTGTGAACTTGAGATTCGTCATTGAAAAAAGACTAATCAAACTGTTGAGGGAGGCGGGCATTCAAAAGATGAAGAGGAGGCTGCCACTCACAGCTCCTATGTGTTTTTTAGCAGAGTACCAAAAGTATATAGTGTTAAAAAATTTGGACTTAACGAAAAACTGTTTTAGTAGAGTACCTAAGTGTTTCTAAGTGTTTCGAAAGATCTTAAACCTTTGTAAGTGAGAGCCAGACACGTTTTGGCATGCACTCTTTAGAGACTACTCTGCTCATTCATGCTATAACATTTACGATTTCATTGATTCTTTTCACCTTGGTTCAAACACAAAAACATATGCGAAGAACGATCAAGACAATAGCAAGTGTAACATTAACTGTCGATGACTACATCATACAATACTACTCACCAAGGTAAGGGGAAATAACATGAAAATAGTTAAAATTTATTTTGGTTTGATATCCAAAAAAAGAAAAGAAATGAAGATATGGTTTTGAGACATTTAGAAGATTTTAAATAAAGAATAACATGTTCATGTCAAACAAAGTTAAAGAATCAGTATGAATCAAGCATGAACAGAAACTCAAAAAGTTAACATTTTCATTAAATACTTTGTATTAATGAAGATAAAGATGAACAAAAAGACCCTTCGACACAAGCCATCCTTTAGATTCATCGCTTATCACCCTCATGTTAGGAAACTTTGATGGATTCCTCAATCAAGATCAAAATCTGTAAGCCAATTTAAAACATGCTTATCCTCTTTTGTCTCTGTAAACAAAAAGCAAAACCTCAAAAAGCAAAATCTATAAGCCAATCAAATCTGTTAAAAAAAATTGATGGTTTTGTTTTGACTATGCTTTTTGTTCCTTAACTTCTCCTCTTTTGTCTCTGTGGACAAAAAGCAAAATCTCAAATTTTAGTTGAACAAAAAGACAGATTTTTTTATTCATGCTAGGCTAACTTATAAAACTTAAAAGATCCTTCTTACCACCAGTTGCCGTACACCGCTGAAGCCAATTTTTCACAGCTAAGAACATGTCAGAATAAATATTTATATGAACAATTAGAGGCCTCCATGATATCTAGCCTTCTAGAATCCGGTGTAATTCGTCTCCATTCTTCAACTTCGCTTGCTTCTGTATATGATTCGATTTTATTGGTGGGACAACGATGTCCATAACAGAGAGGTGGAGAGATGTGTTATATATATGGAATCATTGCACTTAAGAGGATGTGAGGAAGTGCCGGGAAGTTGAGCCGGTTCAACTTTCCGAGATGTTATCACTAAGAGAAGGATATATTAAGAGGGTGCATTCAATCGTTTTGAAAAAACTGAATACCCTAATTTTGTGCGTGTCTTGAAACGTTGACGACGTAGCCACTTTGGAACAATTTAGAATTTAAGGTTAAAAGTAGGCTGACGTGGCAGCTTAATAGAAGATGTTAAATTGCTGATGTGGATGGCTTAAGAGGCCTCAATTAACATTTTTTAGAACCTGACTGGTTTAAATGCAGCGGTTGCGGTTGCGGTTGCGGGAGTTTGCGGAAGCGGGCGGTTGCGGCTTTAAGCGTTATCAAGCGTTTTGAACGATTGGTTTAGCGTTTGAAAATGGGAGCGTTTGCGGGAGTTTTATGACTGGTAAACCAGCGGGTGCGATAACAGTTAAATAAAAGAATGACCAAAATAAATAAAAAATATTACAAAAAAAAAAAACACCAATATATTATTATGATAATATTAGAAAAATTTGAACATGCTTAATAATTAAAACCATAAATAAAGTACTAAATAATTATTCAAAAATAAAGAAATTTTGTAACAAGATAGTACTTTCTGCATCTGGTTTAACATAAAAATTTGCATTAAGTAATGGGAAAAACTTTAAATAACGTTGAATTCAATAAAAAAGAAAGTGAGTTTCTATTCGAGAAAACAAATCGAAACATATATTCAATCAAAAAGCAAAGCAATACGTAATGAAAATAAAAAAAACGATGCCATGAAAAATATTCAAGTTACACATGAGGTGATGAAAGAATAAAAGGATATATGATACTTACATTTGGTTATTGATTTTCATCAGTTTGGGTGGAAGACATTGAGAGAATAGAGTTTTAGAATATTATTAGGGTTTCTGATGAGAACGTGATACAAAGATGAAAGATATATATAGGATTAATATATATTATAATAATTATAAGTAAATGTTTGACTTTTTTTTTTTTTTTCTTTTTTAATCCAACCGCTACCGCCCGCAACCGCAAACGCTTGCGGGAAAGAGCTTTTGAAATTCAGCGATTTCGAGCGGTTCGAAGCGGGACGGAGCAGTTTCTATGATTGGTTCCAACCGCTAACAACCGCAACCGACCGCTAGCAACCGCTAGGAGGGTGCTAGCGGGAGAACCAATCAAGCCCTTATTAGTAAGAGACTATAAACTGAAATGTGACTTAAATATTAATCAAGTAACATATGTGACATTTCAAAAAACTCAAACAACCCTTTAATGACCAGAAACATAAAAAGCTAGTCGTTACTAATCAGTAAAACATTAAAAGCCTACTTCACCAAAGCTTTTTTCTTCGTCACAAGAACAAGAAAATGGAGAAAGCAATTCTCATAACGTTTCTCATAGCCACATCAATGGTTTATCAAAGTCTCGCTCAAGACGAAGAGATCAGTCCAATATCTCCTGAATCATTTGCATACGAACCCGCTGCAGCTTACGAGTATGACCACGACCTCCTAGACCACATGACGACACAACGCATCAAATTTCTTCAAGATTGTTCGGATAAAATGAGCTCGAAATGCGGGGTTGAGATGACGGAAGGATTGATCGACGACAAGCCCGTGTCGGAGAATTGTTGTGTGAACTTTTTGAAGATTGGAAGAGATTGTCACGAAGGATTATTGACTTTTGTATTCGCCACTTATGAGCTAAAAGATGCTGCTTCTGAGATTCTTCCTAGGAGCAAACGGATGTGGAACAAATGTGTTGAGACCACTGCTGCTAAGATTGGTGTTCCTCTCGCATTTGAAACTTGATTTTTAAGTTAATGATCAAAAAAGTTTTATTTTTTTCCAATTATACATATATATACTACATGTTGTTAACCATTTTGATTTCGTTATGTTATTTTTGGAGATCTTTTTACTTTGTTTTTACTAATAAAAACTAGAGTATCAATAATCTTTAATTTTACGCCCAATTAAATTCTTAAATATTTACATAAACGAAATTGATGGTTATTTGTAGTATAGCTTTGGTCACATTATTTGGTAGAATGGTATTATGATTGTACAAATTTTGTAAAATTTTCACCATCACATAATTTTTTAGGATTCTAATCTACTATTCTAATATTCAAGTATTATTTAATATACAAATTGTCATTTTTCAATAAAACGAAAATAGTCTTTTTAGTAATTGTTTATACTCTATATAAGAGCCAAATAGAAAATGTATAAAGAATGAATTGTCTGTTTGATCAAAAAAAAAGTATGAATTGTCTACTGGTTTGCAAAAATTAATCTGATTAAAGTACTTTTATTAATCAAATTATTTTCAAGAAATTAGAAAAAGTTACTAAAATTTTATTTTCTTAGGCCTAATAAATTAGGCCTGAGATTATTATCCGGTATCCGCGGATATCCGTATCCGCGGATATCCGTATCCGTATCCGTTTTTTATCCGAAAAAACGAATATCCGGGAAAACAGATACGGATACGGATAATAAAATAACGGATATTCCGGATACGGATAATGTTAATTTTAAAAACGGATAACGGATATCCGGTTATTTTGTATTTTTATTTTTATACAAAAATATGGTATTTTTATACGAAAATACGGTATTTTTATACGAAAATACGGTATTTTTATATGAAAAAATGATTTTTTTTTTTTGCATGTCTACGGATATTCGTGGATATCCGCGGATATCCGGATTTTTAACGGATATCCGGATATCCGGATCCGGATACGGATACCAAATTGGCGGATAATACGGATACGGATATCCTAAAAAAACCGGATATCCGCTCCGTTTACAGCCCTATAATAAATTGTGTCGTTAGCTTCATTTTTCGTAACTCCACATTAGTCACTATAGATTTACCGTTCTCTGCGCAAGTGAGTCAAGTATCGGCCAGTGGCTATAATGTTGCTTTCTTAATGCAATCTGGGGAGGTTGGTTACTTCTGCTTCTTTTGGTTTTAGAAACTACCTTTGAAGGCCACCCAAGAGGTCATGTGGTAACTATCGGCGCAGGTTTTCACATATGGGTGTAATGCTCTCTTCAGTTGTGGTCACGTAGATACAGACAGTCCAATATATACGCCCAAGCTCGTTGAGGCTTTGAAGAGGACTCCTTGTAAGCAGGTATCATTTCATCAGGCCCGGTCCTAGGATTTTTGTGGTCTAAAGCATAGTTAAATGATATTTTTTTTTATAAACGAAAAAAATACTGTAAGTCTGTAAAAAAACGAAAAAAAAAAAAAACTGTAAAAGCTGGGATTCGAACTAGGCACCAAACATTAATTAACTAGATACATAACCACTAGCCTAAACAATTGTTTTACTAATGTGGTTCTAAAAAATTTGTTTTATTTTGTGGGCTAAAGCATATGCTTTGCCTGCTTTATGGGTGGGCCGGGCCTGCATTTCATATCTGACTTTGTAGACCATAGGAGTTTTGAGTTTAAGTTTTACATGAATGTTGAAACTGATACTGCATCTAGTTTAGATGTTTTCTTTCCTGAATGTTAAACTTGATGTATGCAAACTACTAGTATTATGTGGCCCATCTATATGTTTTGTGGAGATTCGTAAAAATTGTTATATGAACGTTGTTACTAGGTAGCCACTGGAAATATCTCCACTGTGTTTCTGACAAGGGAAGGGCATGTGTATACTGTTGGAGGAAACATACATGGGCAGCTTGGTCATGGTGATACCTTGAACAGACAAGTACCCAGCATGGTTGAATTACTTAATAAGGTTGGGCTGGTTATACACATTTCGGCTGGACCATACTATGTCTTGGCTGTAACGGAGGATGGATCGCCATATCGGTTTACTCTTTTGGCGATGGTTTCGACCTCTGTCTTGGTAATGGAGATACTCGAGATGAACAACTACCGCATGCTATTCAGGCTTTTGATAAATTGATGAGAGTAAAGACACAAAAGTGTTGTGGAAGAATTATAATTAGACTCTCATAAGATTAAATGTATAAATTACATTCTCTTATATAGAGATGAGATTTCCTAATCTAAGATAAATATAAATGTAAATAATATATTTAGAGATAATAGTAAATATCCTAAACTAAGATATTAACAAATATCATGATCTTCTGGATCCTTCTCGATCTTTATGCTTTTCATCTCGACCGTCGATCTCCGGTTCCCTCAATAGCTTTTAAAACCAAAGGTGTTCATATACTCCGTGTTTGTGCTGGTGATGAACATGCTGTTGCGATTGACTCTAACGGTTATGTAATTCTCGAACCTTGGAATGTACTTGTTTCCAAGCCTAAACCTTAAATCTCTCTGGTTTCATAACAATTTCTCTTTTCTTTTTCTAATGTGTAAGGTATACACATGGGGTAGATGTGACATAGGCGCTCCAGGAAACGGTGACGAGAATGACAAGCCCACTCCTGAGGTTTTGCTCAGCCTTAAGAAACATATAGCAGTTCAGGTTTAAGAACAATATCTTCTCTCTGTACTCTAAATCTAGTTTGTAAGTCTTACATTACAAAAGAAAGAAAAGTGTTCTCTTTCCTAGAGCCGCATTCTCTTAAACCGAACCGATATCGGTTATTAACAACAATACATATGTTCACCATATATACTGGTTTCTTTCGTATGACATTTATGTTACTGTGTCAAGCTAATGCATATACCATTTTCGATCATATCATTGTGAAGATTTTTTTTTTTTTTTTTTTGGACAAATCATTGTGAAGATATGTGCCTTCAAATAAAAGAAATACTAATTGATTCCATTAAACAAAGGGCATAATTAATTTATCAATAAGTAGTACTACTAGAATTTGGATAAGAACACATTGAGATCTGTGAGACAAGACTTTATCCAAAAAAAACAAATCAGAGTCATCTCCACGTCAATGTTTCTCACTTTTCGTGTACATCAAAATTCCACAAAACAAAAACCTATAAAAGACCCCCACTTGTTGTTTGTTCTTCATCAAAAAACATAATCACATTTCTCATATTATCCAAAACACAAAAAAAAAGATTAAAAAAAATAAGAGAAAAAAATGTTGGCTATTTTTCAAAAGACGTTTGTTCATCCACCGGAAGAACTAAACAGTCCGGCGTCTAATTTCACCGGCGAAAACCCAAAACTTCCGGGAGAAACTCTCTCTGACTTCCTTTCTCACCACCCCGACACAGCTTTCTCAATGAACTTCGGTGACTCCGCTGTTCTTGCTTTCGTCCGTTCACAAAACTCTCATCATCAAAGGTTTAAACACATTTCACTAACACAATCCATAATCTTGTTTCTTACCGGAAAAAAATCAAATCTTTATTCTTGTTATGTAATTGTTTCAGAGTGTTTAGTGGAATCGATGGAATCTACTGTGTGTTTCTTGGAGCATTGAACAATCTCTGTAATTTGAACAAACAATACGGTTTATCTGGAAAAACTTCAAACGAAGCTATGTTTGTTATCGAAGCTTATCGAACACTTCGTGATCGTGGTCCTTATCCAGCTGATCAAGTTCTTAGAGGTCTTGACGGAAGTTTTGCTTTTGTCGTCTATGATACTCAAACCTCCTCTGTTTTTGCAGCTCTGGTATAAAAACAGAAACTTTAACTAAAAATCTGACATTTTTATAAAATTTGAGATTTTTATTCTTAACAATGTTTTTTCAGGGATCTGATGGAGAAGAGAGTTTGTATTGGGGAATAGCTGCAGATGGATCTGTTGTTATGTCTGATGATCTCAAGATCATTAAGAAAAGTTGTGCGAAATCGTTCGCGCCTTTTCCAACCGGTTAGTTAATAAACAGATTCAGTTTTGAGTACAATGAGCAAAACAAAATGTGTATATGATTTGGAGGTGATTGGTTTGTGTAACGTTGTTTCAGGTTGTATGTTTCATAGTGAGACTGGTTTGATGAGTTTTGAGCATCCGAAAAACAAGATGAAGGCGATGCCGAGGATTGATAGTGAAGGAGTTATATGTGGAGCTAACTTTAAAGTTGATGCTTGTTCAAAGATCAATAGCATTCCAAGAAGAGGAAGTGAAGCTAATTGGTCTCTAGCCAATTCCCGGTAATGGAATGAAGTAGAAGACTTGTTGAAAAAACAGAGTTGTTTGTTTCTTTGATGCAATGTTTTGTTCTGTTTTTGTAAATACCCTCAACAATGCAAAAAACAATAAACACTTTCATTAGTAGTAGTGATGATGCAATCTACTAAGCTATTTAAAGGTTGGAACAAGTTTCATTGGTCCTCCTCGTCTCTCGCCGTAAATACCAAGTCTCAAAAACTCCTCTCTCCTGTTATAAACATCCCAACGTTTTCATGATTGATCTAATAAAAGATCATCCTCCATCGGAAACATATATCAAAATCGAATAACGATGTCTTCTTCCTCTATGTCGAATCGCCATGTTTCCGTCATTTTGTTGGTTGTGGTGGCAATGCTACTCTTTTTTATACAGGGTGTATTGTCTCTAAACCAGACCAATGCTTATCTGCAACACATATGCGTCAACAGTGACGGGATATACAAGTCGGATAGTTCATATGAGAGCAATGTCAAACATCTCCTCGAGTTTATGTCTTCACCTCTAGACTACGGTTTCACCAGCGGTACCAGTAGTAATGACATCTACGCCAAGTTCCAGTGTCGGGGCGACGTCTCTGAATCCAAGTGCCGCTCTTGCCTTACCACCGCCTTCTCTGCGGTAATGCCATAATAGAAAAAGAACTATATAGTATAGTACAAAAAACAATAGTTCTTGATTTTGGTATATATATGTGACAGATTCGTAGAAGATGTCCGAATAACAAAGGGAGAATAATATGGTACGACAACTGTGTTCTCGACCTTTCTTCGATTTATACCTATGATAAAGTCGATTACAAGCACAGTTTCTATGTGTACAACGCGAAAGATGTGAGCGGCAATACAAAGTCGTTCAACAAGAACACGAACACTCTCCTCTATAAGCTGAAGGAGAAAGCAACTAGGAAAGAGCAAGAGCAGTACACAAAAGACTACATGTATGCGACCGGGGAAGAAAGTCTCGGGACGATGAAATTGTACGCAATGGTGCAATGTACGCAGGATTTATCGATCAAAAATTGTAGTGTGTGTTTGGATTGGATAATGGGGAAGCTTCCGAGATGCTGCAACGGTAAACAAGGAGGAAGAGTTTATAATCCCAACTGTAATTTTAGGTACGAGCTTTACCCTTTTTGTAAAAACTTAAAAGACTGTCTAATGAGAGCTCCTAAAAAGGACATTCAAGGTTATATGTAGACCTAACTTTAAAGGCGATGCTTGTTCAAAGATCAATAGCACTCCCAGAAGAGAAAGTGAAGCTAATTGATCCCGAGTTGTTTGTTTCTTCTTTCTATGATGTGATTTCTGTTCTCTTTTTTTGTAAATACTATCGATAATGCAAACAACAATAAACTTGTTCATCTTTTTTACTTACAGAATCAGTTGAATTTAAGAAACATATCATTGCAAGACAAAACTTGATTCTGTTTGATCCTGAGCGAAAAAAGGGAAAACTTGAGTAAGACAAAAAAAAATGTGAACTGATACAATTTTCCTGAATTCTGATCATTCATCATCTTTCCACATATCTGCAAACTCATCAGGCTCCAATGGGTTTGAGAGCTCATGCATCTTTTTCCTCGTCTTCGCCTTGATCTTCTTAGCAAATTTCCCAGCTTTATTTCTCTTCTCCAGTGCTCGAATCTGAAGACATTGATTTAAAATTAGCTCAAGGAAAGTTCTAAGATTCATTTGGTTAAATCTTCTGCTTGCAAATAAGACATTAATCAAATGATACCTGGTTTGGAGATACGTATAACGGGTTCTCATAAAGAGTAGGACCTCCAAAGCTGCCTCCGAATATCTTGATTGGATTCAGACAAAACCTTGGACCAACCTGTCACCAATAGTGCATTGTTTCAATCAAAACCATGGTCAAAAGACTATTATAAAAAACTTGCAACTCTTTGTCTACAAACCTCGATAAGGGTCATTTTATCCAGGCCGCCTTTTGCAATTTTATCTGATTCATTGTGAGGAACCGAAATCTGGTAATTCCGGAACCATATATGCTCATCAACAATGGAAAAGACAAATACATGGTCATGGTAAGGCTTAGATTTCCTGTGTTCCTTGGGAATTCCAAACACCTGAGAGATGAACAAAACAAAACTAATTAGGATGCGAAATTCTTGAATATTATCGAATATCGAGAACTAATGAACCAACATTATTATCCAAGAATATGAATCTGGTAACAACCTGAGTAAGCATCTCCTTCAAGAGTTTCCAGTGCGCATCTTTATCAAAATTGGATGAGAATGTCAAAAGTGGACGCGACCCTTTTAGATGATTCCCAGTGAGTTTCAGCTCTTCCATCGCGTGCACTTCAACAATAGAGAAAACGAAAGTAAAAACCCTTTTACCAAAAAATTCATAGTTACAGAAACAGAACTTAGCTATAGAACAAGACACGAGCTGATTGAACCCATCATAGCTAAATACGTGACTAGATCTATCAGCTCTAGCCACTTAAAACTAACGTCAGAGGATCTCGACACTTACCAGCTTTAACCAAAAACTTCACAGATGGTCCACTAGGGGATTTGACCATCCACATGTAAAGATCCTTATGTTTCCTACACTGAAATTGGAAACAGAAACAAACACAAATCAACCAACACATTCAAAGATTGTCCATTTACATCAACATGCATATACTTAAAGCTTCCATTGAGTATTCTAATAACAAATTTCTAAGACTGAGTCAAACATTCCACACTAAAGCAACCAAATCCTAACACTTTGGGATAACTATCAAATTTCGATAACATGGAATAAATACTAAAATAAACACAAATCAACCAATATGCATATAAATAAGCTTCCATTGAGTATTCGAATCACAATTTTATGCGGTTTGAGTCATACATTTCACTCTAAATGAACAAATCTGACTATCCTTTAGTACATAGAACAAAAGCTAAGCCTAGAGATAAGTAAGTAACTAAAGATGGAAACTTTACCTCGAAGAACAAACAGGAATTAGATCCCTTAAGCTCAATAAGCTCATTCAAAGTCGCCCCTTTGCTACTCTTAGCTTCAACTTTACTATCCTTCTTACAGTGTGGCAGAAGTGAAACCATGTTCAACATCAAACTCCGATACCTTCACACAAAAAACCCCCAAATAAACAAATCAATTTCAAACCCTAAAAACGAAATCAAACCAAAAGAAAGGAAACAACTTTTGCAAATTAAACTCAACCTGAAACTGATACGACGAGAACAAGTAACCAAAACCTTCTCTTTATTCTTGAATCCAGATGAAGACAAAGCTTTAGATTTCTCAGCTTCACCTTCACTCTTATCTTTCCATCCCAATAGAGTCCTTTTGGGTCTCTCCGGAGCAGACTCATCGTTCTTTTTCACCGGCGCCGGAGCTTCCGTCTCGCTATGCTTCCGCTTCTTCCCCATTTTTTTTTTTTTGCTTTTTCCGCGTAGAGACGTTTTCTCTAGGGTTTTAGCAGAGAGTTTTAAGGTAAGAGACGAAACAGAGAAAAACCTCATGGGCCGGTTCTTATTGGGCCTAAAGTAAGGCCCATTAGCAATGGTAACGATGTGTCACTTCGTCGTTAGTTCTGTTCTTCGCAGCAACCGCTGAGAGAGAAAGAGAGAGTGACAGAGATGGGAGAACGTTTTTCCCGAAATGAGCTACCGGAATTTGTACCGGAAGAATCCGCCGGAGAAGATGAAACTGTTACCGCAGGTAAAGATTCGTTGACGAAACTGCTATCACTTCCGTACAAATCATTCTCCGAGAAGCTTCAGAGTTATGCTCTAAGCCTTAAAGATAAAGTAACTCACTTTTCAATTTGAATTATGTTGAAGTTATGTAGTTGTAATAATCGAATTAGTGAAGCTATGTCTGAGACTATTTGTGTTTTGTCTTGTTTGTGTGGTGATTCTATTTTTAGGTAGTGTGGGAGACATGGGAAAGATCTGGAAAACGTGTTCGAGATTATAAATTGTATACTGGAGTTCTTGGGACAGCTTATCTCTTGTTCAAATCTTATCAGGTTACTAGAAATGAAGATGATCTTAAGCTATGCTTAGAGATTGTTGAGGCTTGTGATGTAGCTTCAAGAGATTCTGAGTAAGGGGAATTTCTTTAAAGAGCCCATTTTCATATATTCATTTTGGGGTAATAAGCGCGGTTTTTTATCAGGCGAGTGACATTTATATGTGGTCATGCTGGTGTATGTGCTCTTGGTGCTGTTGCAGCCAAGCATTTGGGTGATAACCAGTTGCTGGATCGTTACTTAGCCCGTTTCCGAGGGGTAATTCCAGTTTATTTTGCTCGCGTACTAATTAGATAACTTGACTTGTACTTTGCTTGAGTGTTGCAACTTGATCTTTTTAACAGATTAGGCTTCCTAGTTACTTGCCATACGAGTTGTTATATGGTAGAGCAGGATACTTGTGGGCATGCTTGTTCTTGAATAAGCATATCGGGAAGGATAGTGTATCATCTGAGAGAATGGTAACAAAGTTTTTAAATTTCTTTGGTTATTTGGTTCAAAATTTGTTGATTTCTATATATCTTCAGAGATCAGTGGTTGAGGAAATCTTCAGGGCAGGAAGACAGCTCGGGAATAGAGGAACTTGTCCGTTGATGTATGAGTGGCACGGCAAGAGGTACTGGGGGGCTGCACACGGTTTAGCCGGGATCATGAATGTTTTGATGCATATGGAACTTGAACAAGATGAAATCAAAGATGTCAAAGGTACACTAAGCTATATGATACAAAACCGTTTTCCTAGCGGGAATTACCTATCTAGCGAAGGAAGCGAATCGGATCGCCTTGTTCACTGGTGTCACGGTGCTCCTGGTGTTGCTCTCACACTTGTAAAGGCAGCTCAGGTAATCATTTCTTGATTGAAATACTCTTATCAGTAAAACCATAATGCCAAACTCAGTTCTGGATATTGTCAGGTTTTTAAGACAAAGGAATTTGTAGAGGCAGCAATGGAGGCAGGAGAAGTTGTGTGGAACCGTGGATTGCTTAAACGAGTAGGAATCTGTCACGGTATCAGCGGAAACACATACGTGTTTCTTTCTCTATACCGGTTAACAGGAAAAGCAGAATATTTGTACCGCGCAAAAGCTTTCGCGTCTTTCCTACTCGATAAATCAGAGAAACTCATCTCAGAAGGTAAAATGCATGGAGGAGATAGACCCTTCTCTCTATTTGAAGGCATTGGAGGAATGGCCTACATGTTTCTCGACATGAACGATCCAACACAAGCTCTATTTCCAGGTTATGAACTCTAAAAAGTATAAAACTTTCCCTGTAACAACAACAAGCTTAAATACTGAATGTAAAATAGCTGTCTATATTATATAAGATTTATACATCACAAGAAAACCAAAAAAGCAAATGTGATTCAAAACGAATACAAGCAAGAAGCAAAATCACTAACATCATCAAATTTTAATATCCTATTGATCAGTGAGTGGACAAACTCGTTCAGGGTTTAGCTTTTCTTGTTCTGGATCTCACTCACTAGTAATGTGGGTTTCGGTAACCATCCTGGGCACGAGAATAGGAGACGTAATAGAACTGAGAGACAATAGCAGTGAAGAGAGCAAAGGAAGCACCAGCAGCAAACACTCCTTTACGGATCACTTCACAGCTTGGAGGGTCTTCGACGTTCCACATCCTTCTGTACTTAGTGTGGTACGCGTTTCTGATTGATCCCGCGAGCAAACATATCTCAGCAATCAAGAAAAACACCCTATCCAAAACCGATAAACAAGAAGGGTCAATACTGAATTAATGAAACATAATAAGAATGTGCTAAGTATAGAGCTTTACCAGCAAATGAGGAAGAGCATAATGGCACAAGCTCTTGAACCACCGGGGTTAAGAGCTTTGCCGCAACAGAAACACCGGCTAGCCACCATAATAATGACTTGACTAGTGAAGAGAAGCACAAAGGCACCAGCTCCATAACTTGTAGCTATGTCGGAGCCATACTCACAATACTCATAATCCTTCTCCTTGTCCGGAACAACCTTACCCTACAAAACAACAAACAAAGAAACCAAAAAACTTAAGCAAAATGATAGATCAAAAAACCACTAATCTGAGATCTAACAATGCAGTAAGCTGCACTTATCTACAAAGGTCTTAAAGTCTACAAAGATCTTTAAAGTACAATTTTAAGATCCGTATAGATCAAGAAACAAGATTCTTGAGTCAGATCTGATAAAGAGTCCACTACAAGAAATCGCACCGACAGAGATGTCGGTACCAAAACTAATTTAAAAGTCTAAACACTATTCAAATAAAGATTAGAATCTCATAACCAAAGTTTGACTTCAGGAGAAGAAGAAATCTGAAAGAGAGCAACGAACAGTAAAGAGAGAAAAGTGATTGATTCTTACGACACTTCTTCTTTGTTCGGCGGCAATGGCTAATCCAACAGCAATGAGATCTAGAATGAACACAATGATGATCACGAGCTTTGAAGCCATTGAGGAAATTGTTCTCAGAGAGCTTTTCTTGTGATTCTTCTTTCTCTTTCCCTCGAAGTTGTTTCGTTTCTTGATTATAATATTTATAGACGAAAATGTCAAGAGACTTGTGACCGAATTAAAGAAAACGAAATGACTATTTCTTTATTTATGAAAAAAAGACAACGCTAATTCGTTGCCTTTTGAAGTTTCATTAGTATATGTCTATATGAATTAACGTTAATAAATAATAACGTGGTGCAGGTGGAGTTTCATTTTGCTTTATCTACGGGTTAATTAAAGGGATCGTATAACTTGTTTAATAATTAAAGCTCTTAAATTAATTTCCCCCAAAATAATATAATAAATCGTAATTTTTTTTTTTAACTGGTTTTGTGGGAAAAGAAACGTAAAATTATCTTTAACACAAAAAAAAAAAAACCCGCTTCATATCACTTATGTAAACAACATTCCACAAAAATAATTCTTTTGAACACTATTTAATTACGGATGACAAAAAAAAAAAGAAAAAAACGTAAAATTAGTACGAAAGATTAGAAGAAGAATTAAATTGAAAAATGGAATTGAATGTCACCGTTTTGAATGATGAAGTCAAATTTAATGCTTAGATCTAAAACGGCTGATCTACAGTGAGTGGTCATGTAAATAAATGTGCATGGTTTAACCGGAATCCGGTTTTCCCGATTAGGATTATGATTACTAGAAATACAATGAGAATTTGGATGAATAAATCAATGGTTGAATTTTGTGACTACCGTTGAGGGTTGGATTTGACCAATCCAGCCCAACCTATTTTCGGCCCAATAATCAAAAGTCCAGTTCGAGGGTTTAGGAAAAGCCCATGAGTTTGATAGGCCCATAAAACGATCGAGTGGACGAGTCATTAGATTAGAGGATAAATTCGTCTAATTGGTCAAAGTACGACCGACACTATTCCCTATAAGTATCAAAATACCAGGTACTGTTAGAGGATCTGAAATTCACGCTCACTGAGAGAGTACGCTCAAGCTACGACCTCAACTCGAAGTGCGACCTCGATTCATCTACGACTTCTGATCTTGTAGTTCGTCTAACATTGTTTTGAACGAGATAATCTTTGTAAACCGACCTGTTTTGCCTAAATGTGGGCTTCTCTATAAGAGAAATTTTTGTTACTTCTCTTGAGATCTCATTCGTACTTGTGTGATTTTGTATCAACTGCAAATAATATGGATTATGATTTATTCTATATATCTATAATGAGAATTCGGATGAATAATAATAGCACATATAGTAAAACAAAGTAAATTGTTCTTTATAAGAAAGACACGAATGGTAAATTGTAATATATGCATATTGCGTATAACAAGAAGAAAAACTTCTAAATTTACTCTCAAAGCCACACATTAGTTGAAAACTTTACATAAATGGGCTTTTCGAGTTTGGCCCAATACTTTGTTGTGTTCCCTTGTGTTTTCGTTGTCGAGTTTTGTCTTTGTCTTCAATTCAAAGGACACGACCCTTTGTTCTTACTTTCAGCGTATTCTTGAGAAGAAGGTCTATGAAAATTCAATTTGTCATGCGTAGTGATTAGAGAAAGCAAAAAAAAAATCAAAATAAAAAATGTTTTCTTGTCTCCTTTGTGGCTAGATTCTCAGCGTATTTGTGGAAAGTTCGTAACATTTGTCGGCTAAAATTATAATCAAACGAGAACACTTCAAAATAAAATAAAATTATCAGTCACTTTTTCAATAACTGACGCATTTTCTAATCTAACATTTGTGGAAAGTTCGTAACATTTGTCGGCTATATCTAATCTAATTCTACTAAATTATCAGTCACTTTTTCAATAACTGACGCATTTTCTGATTGACACATCAGCTTACAACAATTTTTTTTACTCTTTCTTTCTAATGAAAAGATTTTGTTTAGAATTAAAAAAAAAAAAAAATCCTTGCGTTCACGATCTCCACAAAATCTTTTTTTTTCCGGTTTGTTTTCTTTATTAGAGATTCTATTTTGCAACTGTTCCGTCTTTTTACTCCCATACATTCCACGATCTCCGTTTCTTCTCTTCTTCGACTAAAAGCTAATTATTTTCGAAATCCTTACTGGAAAATTTCTAGAGAGAAACCAGTCCCCGGCAATAAATGAAACAGAGGGCGGGGATGAACACACCAAACGGTAAGCTACGATACGTTGGGAAGTAGTACGCACTAACCAAGAGAAGGAGAGGGTGGTACTGTGTAGGTGGAACAAAGAATTTTTGACGCATCCAAGTTTTGCTTTGATTACAATTTCTCACTTGTAGTATTGTTCTTCTCTCTGACTACAAAGTTTTTTTTGGGGAATCAGATAAAAGGTTATTTGATTTTTTTACTTTCCATCATTTTTTCCTTGCTTAATTTTCTCTGTAACTCAAACTTATTTCTCTATTTTTGCCAACAATCTTATTTTCAGTTTCTCATTCCGAAAACTTTGGATTATTCATGTGGAAAAAGATTAGTGTCGCATGCTTATATATCACACATAGATAAGATAGAGTATTCTTTCCCGTGCAGGCTCCATACTAGTTGAGACCTAAACGAACGACCATTATAGTTTTTATGTATACTAAAAGTATAATTTTTTTTTGTCATGAAGAAACTGATTGGTATATTCCAAGTTATTAATGAGTATGATTTTATCACGCGACCTTTGATGGCAGAAGAAATTCAACTATAATGTTGTACGTAATTAATCGATGCTTAATACAATACGAAATTTTCTTTTTAACTAGCAAAGTATAGATTAGTACATTAACAAACAGAGAAAATAGTTGATGTCAAGACTTTAGTTTTCTTCGGTCATATATACCAATTGGTAGTTCGAACAAGTAAACCAAGATTTAGTACTGATCTTCAAAGATCCAAGAAGTTCCAACTACAATATAATTGATAATCTGGAATCTCTGCTTTCTTTACCATGAATAAACAATTTAAACCCATGGGGTTTGCTCATAACATATTCTTTATATTCTATTAGAAATATTACATTCTAATATTTTACTAAAATGAACCACATGGTGGTGGGCGAGTGGTTCTCGTTTGGTTGGAAGGATCGTCCTTTTGGTCTAGGCCAGGGATCGATCCTTCCCAGACGTAGTTTCGCTCTCTCACTCCTGTGGCCACCTGGGAATTTACCTGCGGACTTGCTCAGGCGCCCCAGACCACCAGTTTATCAGGGGGCCCTTAAGTGGAGGCTTAAAAATCCCTATGACGCGGGCTTAGGCCCAGTGGGCTAGTCAGATCACTGTGTGGTCTGGATACTGGGTTATCAAAAAAAAATAATAATAATAATAATATTTACTAAATGTTTTTTTTTAAAATATTTATTAACAAGCTTGTCTAAATGTATGTAGAAAAAGTTACTATAATTGATATCATCATGTTAATAAAAAAAACTTTGAGAGATTGGTATTCTTTTCACAAATTATTGATCACTGATAATTTCAGCTGGTAGCAACATCATCCATATTATGAGTCTAAAGTTTCTGCCTAGTTTTTTTTTTAACAAAAAGATACAATAAATAAAGAAGTTTATGCCTAGCTAGGGTTTCAATGAATTAATGTGCACCAAGCATGTTGTGTTTTTGTCTTTGAGTTCTAGCTAGGGTTTTGATTTAATTTTTTAGATTTAATTTCGTTTGAACGATCTGATTTATATTACCATTTATGAAAAATTGAAAAGATACATTCAAATGAGTCACTGTTTTGATTGAAAGTCCACCAAGAAAAAAAATTATACAAATAAACATAGTTGCCCTAAAAAGTATATAAATTATTGTGATGTTCTAGCTAATTGTTAAAAAATAATTATGCTTATAAAAACTTAGAACTTAATTACTAACCCTTTTTTAGTAACTTGAATTGATTTTGGACTGAAAGTTTGAAACTCAGACTAATATTCATCGAGAATCAGATATTCTTATCACTAGCTTAAAACATCTACAGTAGTAAAAAAACGTCCACTACAAGAAAAACTTACATTCTTAGCGCGGAAAAAGTGCTATCATAGGTAATACATAGCGAAATAACAACTGCTATGATTGCGGCAGCTATGGTAGATACCCCACCTACAATAGCATTAATTTTGTCTGCTATAGTATGTTCATCTACAATAGCACTTTTTTAATGTCTTTATTTATTGTTTCATAGCAATAATCGAATGCCATTACTACCTTTAATAGCATATTTTCTTGACGCTCATAAGTTTTATGATAGCGTTGTTATTACGTGCTACTGTTTGGTCTGTGCTATTGTTTGGTCTGTCTTATATGTGATAAACATCCAAAACATACATATACATCATATCATAAACCAAACATCATTTTTGAACCAAACACCAATTCATACATAAATCAAATATGAATCCAATACCTAAACTAATATCCTTACGTCTAATTACCATTGTTGCCATTGGAGATAATAAGACGACTAATAACATCATACAAATAGCTTACTTTGTCTTCTAGATCACTGACTCGGTTCTTCAAGTAAGTTAACTCTTCTTCAACGGTTGGTATTGTAGGTTTTCGCTTAGCCACTCTTCGAAAAAGACTTCTACGGTTTTTGTCTATTACGGCATCGTCTATGTCACTATCCTCAACTACCAACTCTGTTAGAAATAACAAAACAAACATTTCAAATCAGAAATATGCACAAAACAAACATTCATATATTGACTGCAGAATTGAATCATTTTAATCGCATCACATTATAATAAAGCCAAAACAATAACATATATTTGTTCACCTGAATATGCAGCTTGCGAGTCAGTCATATCATCAATCTTAGAAGAGACTAAGTCATCGATTTTTGTTGGTGTCTCTTTCTTCATTTCCAAATCCTTTATACTTTCACTTTCTTTAAGGTCAGAGAATTCAAAACCATAACATGTATCCAACATCGGTGATTCATAGACATAGTCCGGAAACCATTTACTTAAATGAGGAGGTTCTGATAATCAATTGAAACAAAACATATTAGGTTTGATACAAATGATTAACATGTACAGATTTAGCAAGAGCATAAGAGAAAAGAGTACTTACCAGAAAATTCTGAATCATAAAGATCATTATCTGAAGTGTTCTGCACAAAAGTACCCAAATTTAAAAGCTACATAAGGACACCAAGTAATAAAACATTTGCTTACCTCTGTTTTCATTTCATCTCTGAACTTTTTCTCTTGAAAATGAGCTGAATATGAAAAAAGCAAATATCCATAATATTCAATTGATATGCTAAGTTGACTATATCATACAAATTGGTGTGATGCCTCTTACCGTGAAGATGCGACAAGTAGTCTCTTTCGTTGTTATGCATCTTTAGACAGATTTTACATTCGTAACTTCACAATATAAAACACACGAAAGAAAACAACAATCAAATTAGTCACACCAGATTCAATAATGATCCATAACTAAGTTCAATAATGAACTAAATGTAATAAGCTGTACATAACGCCAAACAATGTCAAGAAACAAGCAAACCAATAATGAGGCAATTCGTCGAACACATGGAGGGCATGAAATCATCATCAGTTTACACAACAAAAACTATTCTAAGGAATCAGGTAGAGACGCACAATAGTTTTGTGAATTCAATCTTTCCAAAACTCAGATGTTGGACTCTTTAACGAATCCATGACCACAAATCTATGAACATCCTAAGTCAAAAGCAAAAATATTCACTAGATAACATGATTATACATTGATTAACACTGATACACAACTGAGAGTTTCAAGAGAAACATGATCACAATCATGAAACATATCAAAGCATAATCACTCCAACACAAATTTCACTACCAAATCAAATCATCATCATAAAGATAGTATCAAATGTGAAATTCAGATTCAATAGTTGTTGTTTGTGAGCAGCATCGTCAATACTCGATACACAAATCAAAAGCAGATCAAAATTCAAACACATGACAGAGTAACCAAAAAGCAAAGAAGAGTATCGATTGATACTTGATACAATGGCACAAATCGAAGGCTGAAGATCGAACAAATCTGCAACAGCGACGCTCGAACCGAAGACGCCGTGGACAACCGGAGTCGGTGGAGATGATGGGGTAACGGAAGAACGACGGCCGGAGGTCATTCACATCCTGAAATCGCCTCCAGTTTCTCTGTTTTGAGCAAATCGCGATTAGAGAGAGAGAAAAGAAAACACCCAGAAGAGGCAGTGGTCGTCGTCTTTGCAGAGAGAGGGATGATATGTCGGAGAAATCTAAAGAGATTGAGAAAAGTTGCAGAGAGAGAGAGAGAGAGGCAAGGGAGATCGAATGGAGAAGAAGATTGGAGGAGAAGAGGATCGAAGATGGTGAGAGTGAGAGAGCTTTTTTTTTTGTTCAAAGTTTTGTTTTTTTTTTCTCTCTCTATCCAATTGAAAAGGAAAAGTCACCGTCTGTTTTTTTTAAGTGTTAGAATCGATGAAAAAATTGGCTCTAATAGTTCCCGCTTAGTTAAATTTCGGCATAGCATTTATAAAATGCTATAATAGAGTATTCCAATCCGACATAGTCTTTTTCATAGCAAAATCGAAAATCGTGCTATGCTTAAGTGCTATCAATGTAACTTTTTTTTGTAGTGGTCATCTACCACTTCAACAGTTAACACTATTAATTACTACTATTTTATTTCATATCATTTGATTTTTGATCGCACAACAATATGATCCTATTATTTGACTATATCAATTTTACTTGTAGCGCAATATGTAACCACATCAACTTTCTTTTTCAAAAAAAAAAAAACTACATTAACCTCTTGAGCCTTATATAATTAAGGGGCTTTTGCAAAAATGCCTCTTTTTCAATGCCACTTTTCAAAAATGCTCTTTCTTTAAAACCTTATAAAAAATGCTCTTAAAGATTTACCCAAATATGTATGTAACATTATTAAAACATACACAAACTACATTTCTATGTATATAAAATCTTATAAATACTTTATAAATACTTTATAAATGCATTTTAAATACATTTAAAAACCTTTAAAATATCTTGTAAAAACTTTGAAAAACCTTAAAAATCTTTTAAAATAACTTGCAAAACCTTTAAAAACACCTTATAAAACCTTATAAATACTTGGATCGAGTCTTCAAGTAGTAGTTACAATCCATAAGTACCTTATAAACCTAATAAAACTTTCTAAAAATTTCAGATTTAAAAAGGGGCATTTTTGAAAATGAATATCTAAAAGGGGTATTTTTGAAAAGGGACACACCAAAAGGGGTATTTTTAACAATTTCCCATAATTAAATAAAAAATGTGTTCAAAATTATTTACTTGACTGGAGAGATATTATAAACTCTCAATTCATTGCCCTTGAAATAAAATAAACGAATTTAGCCATATTGGTTGACTTAATTTCTCGAATAATACTTTTTTTGTTGGCGATGGAAAGAAAATTACATATTTTCTGATACTTCAATATAATAGAGACCACAAAATAACAAAAGAAGAAAAACAATAGTTTCTCTTTTAACTCGTATACAAGGAAAAGAATTTTCAAGCACATGGTTGGCTTCTTTGACGGGAAATGGGGGAAAACGGCCAAAATCCACCCAGACTTTTTGCTGGCGGCTTTTTTCAACCCGAACTTTGATTCCCTGCATAAATCAACCCCGACTACATATAAATTCAAATTCCAAACCCAGACTATATAATTTTTTGCCGATTTCAACATCTGCTTTGACGGCGTGATGAAACCGTTAAACTGTGCCGAGTCAGCGACTACGTGGCATCACTCGTGGCCTCTGGGCTTGATAAAGCGACGTCGTTTAACATTTGGTTTGGTGTTGAGTATAACAAAACGACGCCGTTTTAAAATTGGGGGAAAAAATTAAAATTGGTTCTTAGAAACATTAGTGAAACGGAGAGAGTGTGAGTGAGTTTGAAGAGAAACATCTCAATTCAAAACGAAACTGTGTCTAATAATCGAAGAAGCGAATTCTTGTTTGACGAAAACGACTTCCAAGCTACAATTTTGGGTCTTTGAGAAGAGAGGATGAGGTAATGAGTAGTTTCTTCTTTCTTTGTTTATGTCAATTTAATTTGTTAAGTCTAAATTCTATGATATTTTCGTATTAGAATCATTCTTTTTTTCAATTTACATATAAAGCAAGTCTCAGCAACTTCAATTTCTTCATGGTAGAGTTCGATTTTAATTAACCCTCCAAGTGTTCGATGAAATGTCTGAGAGAGTTGTAATTGGGTTGAATGTTAATTTTTTGATGTCGTTTGCAGTACTATGGATGTGGCAACATTCAGTGTGTACTACGGTGGGAATTGGGTGACTAGTGAAGATGAGGAGGATGCTTATATCGGTGGAGAGGTGAAGATAGTAGAGTGTAAACCGGAGGAATTTTATACAAAATTAGGGTCTGAACTGGGTGAAGCATTTTATGGGAAGAAAGTGTCCTATAATTACCCTTATGAAGACAGCAAGGAGCGAAAGCTATTGTGTGAGAGGGATTCTAGTTTGAAGAAGATGTGTGATGGGGCTCGATGGGTGAAGTTTGTTAATGTTTATCTAGTTGATTCTGAAGGAGATGAGGAGATTGGTGCTGAACCTTGTGAGGAAGAGCTGAGAGTAGAAAGAAATGTGGCTAACTTTATTGATGAGGATGATGATGAACAGTTTGATTATCATAATACTCCTCCAAATTCTGACGATGAAGGTAGAGAGGAAGATGAAGTAAAGTATGTGAGATGTAAAAGAGGAAGTGGTGTATTTAAGATGAACCAAGTGTTTGACAGCTTAGATGAGTTCAAAGAAGCTTTAGTTGATTATGCATTAAAGGGAGGATGGAACATCAAGCAAAACAGATGGGGGAAAGACAAGTGTGAAGCTATTTGTGGAGTAGAAGACAGTGAAACTCCTTGTAAGTGGAGGATATATTGCGCATTTGAGGAGCCAGTTGGGAAGTTCATGGTGAAGACATTTGAACATGAACACTCTTGCACAAAGGATGGATATTGCAAGATATTGAAGTCAAGAGTGATTGCAAAGTTGTTTCTAGATGACATAAGGTCTGATCCTGACTTTAAACCGAGGACAATTGAAGAGAATATTCTGAAAAACTGGAATCTCGTTGCCACAATAGACAAGTGTCGAAAAGGGAAGAAGATAGCATTGGAAATCATTCAAAAAGAGCATGAAGAGCAGTTTTATAGGCTTAGAGACTACAAAGCTGAGCTGCTACGGTAAGTATCTCTTGTCTTCTAGTTTAATCATTCAATGTTAGTTTTTTTTCACTAAACTGTTTTTATTTTCTTTGCTAGTTCTAACCCTGAATCCACCGTGGAGTTAAACACAGTTTTAGACGATGATGGATCTGAAATCTTCCATAGATTTTATGTGTGTTTTGCAAATCTCAGAAAACAATGGTGTACATGGTGTCGTCCCATCTTTGGACTTGATGGCTGTTTCCTCAAAAGCACTCTTAAAGGACAGTTACTAGCAGCAGTTGGTAGAGATGCAAACAATGGAATGTATCCCTTTGCTTGGGCTATTGTTGATGTTGAAAACGAAGATAATTGGACATGGTTTATACAGAACATCAAGAAGGATTGTAAAAATCTTCGAGATGGTCAGGGGTATACAGTTATATCTGATAGACAAAAGGTAAGGTTCTTCTCTTTACTATGTTTATTGTGCAGCTTTTCATTGGATATGACAGTTGTAATATGAAGTTTGTGTTTAACCTTTTCAGGGTTTGATTAATGCTGTAGACAGAGAACTGCCCAAGATTGAACACAGGATGTGTGCTAGACACATATATGGGAATTTGAAGAAGCTTTTCCCAAATTCAAGTGAAATGAAAGGGCTATTTTGGAGTGTTGCTGAAAGTTGCATTTTGTCAGAGTATGAAGCTAATCTGGACAGAGTTAAAGCTTATGATATCCGCCTCTTTGAAGCAATAATGCAGAGGAATCCAGCCAATTGCAGTCTTGCTTTCTGCACACCCACGGCTTCTTGTATAGATGTGCACAACAACATTTCAGAGTCATTTAACAATGCCATTGATCCTTCAAGATATTATCCAATGGTTGAGATGCTAGAGATAATCCGGAGAAGAGCTATGCAGCGTATAGAAGCAAGGAAGAAGACGGCTGAAGATCACAAAGGAAGATTCACTAAAAGAGCCACTGCATTCATAGCTGAAGAACAAACAAAGCTAAAGTTCACCAAGTATGTGTCCGGCTCATCAGATGGAAGGTGTGAGGTTCTTGACTGTGGAAAATCTGTCAGCTTGCACATGGGAATGAGGACTTGTGCATGTAGGAAGTGGGAGATGAGTGGACTACCTTGTCGTCATGCATTGAGGATCATTAATAAGAAGAAGCTTAACTATGAAGACTACACATCTGAATGGTACTCCAATGCAAAGCAGAATCATATTTATTCTTCCTCAATAGAACCAGTCAATGGTTTACGATTTTGGAAGAACTCTGGCTCTGTGATCAAGCCTCCTCCTGCTTTGGTTGAAGAGATTCAGAACACAAAAGGAAGAAAACCGAAGCCTAAGAGGAAGAAGGCAAGACATGAATCTCCAACAAAAAAAGCTTCAAGAAAGAAGAGGATTATGCATTGTGGACGATGTGGAGAAGCTGGCCATAATGTTACCAAGTGCAAGAATCCGGTTTCAGAGAAGAATAAGTCAAAGAAGAAAACTCCAATAGATGATGGATTAGACTCGCTTACTCAAACTCAAACAACACAAGATCAGGTAAAACACTTCTTTTCAAGCTCATTTTGTTTTATCTGTAATATTTCTGACTTTTGCTTCTGTTTTCATGAAGGAGTGATAATTCTGTGGGATTTAGAGGATGCGGCAATGTGATGTTTTGGTTTGTTTTTGGAGAAAGCGGTATTCTAGATGATAATTTGGTAGGTTTTTGGCAGTAGAAGATGCGGCTATATGGAAGACTACTTCTTCTTTTTTGTTTTGCTTAGATGTAAAAGATGTTGTTCGTTGGAATTCGTTTTAAGGAGCTGTTTGATTACAGTTTTAATTAGCTTAGAAAAACAGGAAAAACTAGAACCATTGAAACACCAATAGCAAACTCATACATTAAGCATTGACACTCATACATTAAGGTTCAAACACAATTACTACAAACAACATTAGCTTCTCTCTCACCACAATTCTATTACAAACATAATCAAAACAGAAAAAAGTAAACCAACATCATCACCACAACACATCCGATCATATTCTTCAAGCTCCGAAGCTCCATTTTGCACTCTTGCAACTCTTTTTCTACTACAGCTTCACAAACCCGAGTTTCCATTTGTAGAGTTTCAACCTCTGATTCACAAGCATTGAAACTCTTTTGTAATGAGATTGAATCTTCTTCCACATTCTTCACTTTTAACTTCAAATCCTCAATCTCTTCAACCATACTCTTATCAGTCCATTTAAACGTGTGATACCATCGATCCTGTAACAAATCAAAACTCAAATTCAAGTTTTCAAACATAAAAGTAGAAGAGAATCGGGAAATTGAAAAAAAAACCTCATCTGATCCATTAGGACAAGAGTGAAATAATCTTCCAGGGTTTTTGGCAGTCCTCGATGTACCCATCCTTACAGCTTCACCGCATCTGCATGTCGTCGGGATCCCTCTTCTTCTATCACCCATCGTTTTCTCTTCAAACTCTCTGTTTCACGACATACATAAAGAACCCTAATTTTGATTTTCTCCCCAAATCAAAACGACGTCGTTTTGTAAGTTCACACTCAACACCAAACCAAATGTTAAACGACGTCGCTTTATCAAGCCCAGAGGCCACGAGTGATGCCACGTAGTCGCTGACTCGGCACAGTTTAACGGTTTCATCACGCCGTCAAAGCAGATGTTGAAATCGGCAAAAAATTATATAGTCTGGGTTTGGAATTTGAATTTATATGTAGTCGGGGTTGATTTATGCAGGGAATCAAAGTTCGGGTTGAAAAAAGCCGCCAGCAAAAAGTCTGGGTGGATTTTGGCCGTTTTCCCCGGGAAATGGTCAAAACCTTTTCGTTTTTATTTTTTTTTTGGACAAAAGAAAATGGTCAAACCTATTTCAACGCGACTACATAATTATTTACCCATACCTTTCTTATTCTTCATTCTTCTTGTAACCTAAATTCAAGTCTAATATTTTACTTAGAAATATTGTACATTGATTATTAATTTATCGCAAACAAACTGACAACAAAAATTAATACCCCCGAGTTTTAGAAATTGCAACAGACTTGTCGGTGTTTACAGACTTATAGATTATTTAGTATTCTACAAGTTAATTTTACATATACATTATACTTATTATTATGAAATTAATAAACTCTGTTTCGGATTACGAACTTTTTCTGTTTCCTATATATTTACTATTATCTTAACATAATAGCTAGTCACATTATAAAACTTGTTTTACTTTGTATCCTACAAATATTTATAATTTTTTTATCATGCATAGTAGTTAAAGAAAATGTGTATTTAGTGAAAAACTTTAATTATTTTAAAATTTCCTAACCTTTGGAATATATGTGACATACTCGCACACTAGAATTAATGCACATAAATAATAAAATGAACTATTTTTGTTGACTCGGCCAACGTCTATTAAACATTCCTCATTTGTTGTTCAAAATCCACCATTGCCCCTCTTCTTGTATTCTTCTCTGATTCAAGCCCATTAATCCACGACAATTTTACTTCAAACCCTATATATAGTTACACATACAAGTAAGATACTCAAGCCCTATTCATCATCCCAACTTCGATCTAATTACATCGCAAGAGAAAACATGATCTCTAGGGTTTTCAACTTCATGAAACAATCCAAAACCGCTCAGCTAAACAACAAACTATTTCTCGATCTTCTCTCTTCCTCATCATCGGCCAAACCTAAAGTTTTGCATGACGTGTTCATCAACCACAGAGGATCCGACACAAAGAGAAACATCGCAACATTGCTTTACGACAACCTCAAATATCGTAACTTACGTCCATTCCTGGATTGCAAGAACATGAAGCCCGGAGATAAGCTTTTTGATCATATCAACAGCGCGATTCTCACTTCTAAAGTCGCTGTAACGGTTTTTTCTCCCAACTACTGCGATTCATATTTCTGTCTGCACGAGCTTGCTCTTATAATGGAGTCCAGGAAAAGGGTCATACCGATATTCTGCGACATCAAACCTTCACAACTCGATGTTATGATCGAGAGGGTGACATGTTCTGATGATGAAATCCAAAGGTTTAGATGGGCTCTTCAAGAAGCTAAAGATATCGTTGGACTCACGTTTGATTCCTACAAAGGGTAATTTAGATTTTCTATCAAATCTTTTTATTATTGTATTTTTTTATTAAGTTTCTGATTTAACTCACCATTCCTTTATTTAGGAATTTATCGGAGGTTGTTACAATTGCATCGGATGTTATCGTCGAGAGATTGGTCGAGTTAGAGGCTAGCTGAAGATGGAAATGTATAGGCGTTGGAAGACATTTAATTTACTCCAAACTAAATGCTTCTCTCAAAATTTGTTTTTCTAATCCTAAGAGTAATTAATTTAATTGATTTCATTCATGCATATCAATCAATAGTTGACAGAGAAGAGGCAACAATGTTTTATATATATATATATATATGAGGATTTCTAATCTCCTTCATTATTTGTAGATTTTTCTTGTTTGTAATGGCAAGTAGTTGCTTTGTAAGTTCAAATATATGGAATAACATTTTCTCTTTCTAATACCGAGAATTATTTAGTCTTTTACACCGAAAGTTGTTTGTTTGTTTTCAACATCACATTTCCAAAATCATTTTAATCTATTTTCATCTCCAAAATCTTAAATAAAAACGATATATGTGTGCATAAAAATCCATAGACCTTTTTAACATGTGCTTGTGTAAGGTGTTGTTCGTTTGTTCATCCAGATGGACCTTTTGGATGGAGATGTAAAATGATATTCGTTTAATGCACTTAAACACTTCATCCAGATGGACCATCTGGATGTATTTGTCAAACTCACCCAAAAAACATCAAAAAAATTGGATGAGTTTAAATGGTGCATTCAGATGGAGATGATTCTTCCAAAAATTACAAATGTCTAAATTACCCTCAATTACATTCATATACCAAGTAACTAGATTTTAACTCGCGGTGTACCGTGGGATGATTTAATTTTAAAGTTAGTATAAAAATATTTTGTAAATTGTATCTCCTTATAACATATTTATTTAGATTATAGTTTACAATTGCTATTAAGTAACGATATACTACGAGTCCACGAGAAAATTATTAATAAACTGAGGATTTAACCCGTATTAAAGCGGTATTTAAATATTGATTCAAATTCGTCTGCCATATAAATCCTTTCCGAAATATAATTCGTTCCGTAATTTCTTAACCCGTCCCGTGATTTGTTTTTATTTTAAAATTTAAAGATTATTTATTATATATAAAAGTTTACAAATCATATCACCCTCTAAGACCACGAGACATTATACCACGGGACAATTTTTGGTTTTATACAATCTTTTCTAAATGAGACTGATTTAATATCTCTAATATTTGTGGTATTAAAAAAAAAAGATTTAATCCGTATTGAAGCGGCGGATTAATAATATTTTAATCTTTTTATTATTGTTGATTCAAAAACCCGTCCCGCCAAACCCGTCTGGCCAAAAAACTCATTTATTTTATTAATGTTCTTATTATGATATGATTCTGAATCATTGTCTAAATATTTTAATCTATGTAGAACGTTGAACACACATTTTCCTCAACTGGATAATATATGTCCGTTTTTTAAATTTCGAATCACAGTATATGCAGAAAAAAAATTGATTTTTTTTTTACTTTATGTATTATATGATGATTCAAAACAGTTAAAAACAAATTAAACAAAGATGATAGGAGAATCATAATTATAAATTTTAATCAAATCTTCTAAATATCTAAATTATTAAATATGGAATATCCGGTGTATGAGTTGGGTTAAATATAACCCGACCCAACAAATTTTTTGTGAAAGAATTTTAAAAACGGATCGGGTATCCGATATACCCGGAAGCATTTTTACCCACCCGACACCAAAGTGTTGCAAAAATACTAGTATAGATATTAAATTTTTATAAATTTTTCATTTTATATTTAGAAATTATATATTTGCACCAATATTTTTTTTATCTAAGTATCGTAAATCACATATTAGCATTTTCGGCCCAAAATCGCAAAACTGCGTTTTTTACAAAAATCAAAAAATACGGTGTTTCCTTAAATTTTTGTTTGCGGAATTGTGTTTAACGCCAAATCATATTTTCCCGCCAATATCGCAAAATCATGTTTTCCCGCCAAAATCGCAAAATCATGTTTTTCCGCCAAATTGCGGAATCATATTTTCCCGCCAAAACCGCAAAATAACATTTTCCGCCAAAAACCGCAAAATTATATTTTCCCCCCAAAAATCGTAAACTTATGTTTACCTACCTAAATTGCGGAATCATATTTTCTCGTCAAAATTGCAAAATCATGTTTTCCCACCAAAATTGCGGAATCATATTTTCCCGCCAAAATCGCAAAATCATGTTTTCCGCCAAATTTGCGGAATCATATTTTCCCGCCAAAACCGCAAAATAACATTTCCCGCCAAAAATTGCAAAATTATATTTTCCCGCCACAAATCGTAAAATTATGTTTACCCGTCTAAATTGCGGAATCATATTTTTTCGCCAAAATCGCAAATCATGTTTTCCCGCCAAAATTGCGGAATCATATTTTTCCGCCAAAATCGCCAAATTATGTTTCCCGCCAACCGCAAAATAACATTTCCCGCCGAAAATCGCAAAATTATGTTTTCCGCCTAAACCGTAAGATTATCTTTTTCCGTCAAAACCGTAAACTTAATTTATATGTTAAAATAATAATTTAAAAATTATTTAGATAAAGATATATTTTAGAGCAATAATTAAATTAATATAGCTTAGATTAAGATTTAAAATATAAGTAGATTAAAGTATGGGTATTTTAGTAATTTTTTTTGTTAAAGTCATCTAGATGGAGATGAAGATTTGCAAAAATTAAACAAACAAACAAAAATTCATTCAAATGTTCTATCCAAATAAACATCCAAAAATTGAAACGAACAACATTCAGATGGAGCATTTAATTTGGATGGAGCATTTAAATGAACCATTTGGATGGAAATGGTAGATGATGAAACGAACGGGCCCTAAATTGAATAATTAAACATGGTTCCTATTCAACTGCTTAAATTTTCAAAAAATAAAATAAAAATAATAATCTTTAATTAAGGTTTAAAGATACGCATAAAAATGGTTCTAAAAACAACTATGTCCACTTTAAACATATCTTCAGTACAAATTTTCAACAAAAGTTACACATGGTTTGAGATGATCCTAAATAAATTAAAAAAAAAAAAAAAGCCTGTGTTTATGAGTGTGAATCACAAGAGCTTGTTTTGTGAGGGTTGTTGACAAACGTATGTTTGCGTCCATGTGAAAGTTTAATGGGTCTAAAATGGGTTTGGGCTTAAGAACCCATCAAATTTCACATTGTTCTTCAAGCAGTGTGGGGAGTCAAAGAAACCAACTCAACACCTTAGAGCATGTTTATTGGTGAGATTTAGTGGGTATCAGCCTAATAAAAAGAATAAAAAAATCGATTTTGGGCTTGATATTGGGTGAAACGTCTCAATTTACTGAGACTTTTGGATCGGTTCTTCTTGGCCACGTGTGACGCATTCATTGGGCAAAAAAAAAAATCTGTGTTTCTCGTTTTATTTCTCTTCTCTTCGTCTATCTCTTCTCTCCGTTTCATTTTTTTATTATTATTTTCGTGATACCCATTGAGTTTCACCATTAACCATACAAATTTAACAAAAATCTTTTTGAGTATCATAGATTAAACAACTAATTAAATTAATATTAAAAAAATTCTAATGATACTCAAAGGGGTTTATTGATAAACATGCTCTTAGATAGATCTCATTTAGACTCGAATTTAATCAATACAAATCAAATCGAACAGTTCCACCGAATTTGATATTTTTAAAAGTTCACATTCACACCTTTAAATAGAAGCTGATGATTCATTACCTAAGAAAGTGATTACCAGAATATCCCACTCACCTTTTTCTTTGTTTTAAGTTCCGAGAATAGTTGATTTTCTTTTTTTGGTTTTATGTTATAGGTAGTCTTCAACTATTATTATAAAGTCATGTCTAACTTTTTTTTTTTATAAAAAGAATTCAAAATTTGTAGCCTCCATATATGCCATGTATGATAAACGTAGTCACCGAATCAGATGAGCCCCTTGACATAAAAATGCCCAGTTTTACGTAATCCGAGCTAAATTAGCCCCTAAAACTTTGCTTAATTTTTTTTGTTAACTAAAATCAGATTATGTTTCGCTAAAATCAGGTTATGTAGTTTTTTCTGTACCATGGTGGATTTATAATTCAGCTGATGATTTAAAATTTACTTGATCAGTTTTAAAAATTAAAAGAAAAAAAAAAACAAGACAAGGGAAAAAGTTGAGAATTATTGGTGGTTTCTTTTAGTATGACGCAATACGAATACAATTAACAAATCTATATGACATCGGGTAAGATGACCTAAACTTCCGAATACACACACACGTGCAAAAACAGAAGTACTTTGTTCAAATTCAAGAACTTATTAACAGGGGGAAAAAAAACAGAGAATAGAGAAATTGTTATAGATAAAGCAAATTAAAGACCAATCTTTGACTACCCCCATTCGTTGTCATTTGATTAAATGATAAATCATTGATCTGAAAAGAGAGATATAGATAAAACAAAATAAAAAAAAGTAGCATCAAATGGTTAGCACGAAAACTATTGAGTGAAAGAAACCCTAAATCTTTAAGTTCCACTATAGAACTAGATAATGATCATAATATATATTGTGATATAATTGATATCTCCGTCTAATCTTTTGAAATGATATATATCCTCTTACTCACTTCACAATTAATTTTGTTCTGATTGTCAGATGTCATGTATGCTTTATAAACTTTAATCAAAAATTTAATCATTTCAGTGAAGTATTCTAGGCTTAGATTAATATAGATTTTTTAAAAAATCATTCATCAGATACTACGATCACGTACAAAAGTCTTGCCCTTCAGATCGGCAATATGGATTTATTTATGAAATATCACGACTTCAACTGATGAAAACTAACAAATAGATAAATACAGACGGTAATAATTACATCAATACGTGATCATATAAAAAAAATTTAAATTGATGTATGGTGGCATAGCGGTATATATAGGGTCTATAGCTAATTTCAGTTTCGATTATAATATATGCATACTTCATGTGGATCACTTATTTTTCGGTTAAGATCATTATGTTTTATCTATGGTGGATTTACAGAAAACTCTTAACAAATTTTTGGCTAAGTACTTAAATTAGTTAAGACATTTTGTTGAAACCAAGCTAAAATCAACACTACAAATGTAGATAAATACTAAAGTATGGTCCAATTGGTTTATACATTATCTAAGAAGGATTTTATCCAAATGGTGGTACCTAGGTGATCAATCAATGGTTAAAACCGGAATGTAGGTGTTCTAAACATGCTCAATTAGTCAATTATATACCGCTTTCCAACTCAAAACAGCATATTCTGAGAACAATACGGATTTTTATACTATAACATCCAATTTCCAAATAAAACAATACTTCTTCTGTCCTATTTTATAAGATGTTTTGTGTAAAAACACAAATATTAAAAAATAATTAATGTTTATTTTTTTATAGGAATTCAGCCAATAGAAAAAAAGACTACAGAATTTAAATGGTCATAACATACTAAATAAACATAAATTATGCATAAAAATCTGAGAAAATCTTATAAAATAGAACAAGAAAAAAAATGCTAAAATATCCTATAATTTATGACAGAGAGAGTAGTAAACAAAATAAAATTCCGACCATTATAGTTTCTATCCTTAAAAAAATATGGAACTAAATGATGAAACTATGAAGTTTTTTAAACCGAATATATATAAAAAAAAAAAAAGGGAAATACTATGAAGTTTTGAAGCAGCTACAGTGAGTTTGTGTATGTTAATGTTTCTGAAAAAAAAATTGAAAAAATCTTTAGTCAACATCAACTCGTGTTTTTCTCTTCTTCCATCGTTATAACGTCTTTTTGACAAATGACAAATTGCGCCTAACTTCTGCGATAGACACGTGTACACGTGTCGTCATGTTGTAGTTTTGTCCGTATGGAAAACGCTTTCCATGTTGTAACCTAAGATACATTGAACAGTTCCTTTGTCCTCTCAACTTCGCTTTTTTTCCGAAGCTCTTTACCTCAACCTACCAAACAATTACACGTGTCTTTCTTTTTACAACATTTGGCACATATACATTTCAAAAAAACCCGTCAACAAAAAACACGTGAAATAAAATATCTCTCCTTTACCAGTTCACACATTTCATGGTCACTGTTCAATCATTTCAAATTGTTCCTCTGTTCTAAAATTCAGTCCCCTACACGAATATATAGACCACCAAAAATTATATGGACGGTTTGAAGTTGATTAAATCGACCAACATAAAGTCAATAGTGTTTTGTGGTTTAGGTGTCTAGTTACTAGAGCTATGTTTACATTAGAAGATATACTAAAAGGTATATCGAAAATCATTTTTTGATTTATTTTACATTACTTAAGTATATAAAAACCAATACTAGATTAATTTCGTTTGGTGCTATATGTTAACTCCAAATGTCTAATTAGCAAATTTCCAAACATTCATTTTTTTCATATACCCCAATATTAAACAAAAAAAAAACAGAATCTTATTTTGATTGTACGTAAATTACTTCTAAATTTAGCGGAACACTAGAAATAAGTGAACAAATAAACAAATGTTAACAAAAAAAAAACATTTAAAAAATAGTACGAGGAAGAGCCAAATCTACTCATGTAGGTTCAATGAACTCAAGGGATTGCATAAATCACGACGATCTAACTGACACACGTGTCAGAATTCAAAAGTGTTTATAGATAAACACAAAGTGGGTCCCATATTCAGTACACACGTTAACCAGCGGCGGTGGATTCGCCTATACACTGCATCCATATATAAGTAGCACGAGACCCAAACATTATTGTCAAAAATAAGAAAGAAAGAAAAAAAAAATGGGTATCCAAGAAACTGACCCGTTAGCCCAGTTGAGCTTACCACCAGGTTTCCGATTTTACCCGACCGATGAAGAGCTTATGGTTCAATATCTATGCAGAAAAGCAGCTGGTTACGATTTCTCTCTTCAGCTCATCGCCGAAATCGATCTTTATAAGTTTGATCCATGGGTTTTACCAAGTAAGTATACTAATTTAAACCCTTTTTAAAAATATTTATTTTTCTTATTAATAGATTCATAATTTTTTTGGTTGTTTTGTGATTTATAGATAAGGCATTATTTGGAGAAAAGGAATGGTATTTTTTTAGTCCGAGGGATAGAAAATACCCAAACGGGTCAAGACCTAACCGGGTTGCCGGATCGGGTTATTGGAAGGCTACGGGTACAGATAAAATAATATCGACGGAAGGACAAAGAGTTGGAATTAAAAAAGCGTTGGTGTTTTACATCGGAAAAGCTCCTAAAGGCACTAAAACCAATTGGATCATGCATGAGTATCGTCTCATTGAACCCTCTCGTAGAAACGGAAGCACTAAGGTAACAAAGAAAATCTAAACATTAAAACTATATCTTATATTTTCTTGTAGTGAAATTTTAATAATGTATAGTTAATATTTTCGTTAATTTTTTCAGTTGGATGATTGGGTTCTATGTCGAATATACAAAAAGCAATCAAGCGCACAAAAACAAGTTTACGAAAATGTAATCACGAGTGGTAGAGAATTCAGCAACAATGGTACTTCGTCAACAACGTCGTCTTCTTCTCACTTTGAAGACGTTCTTGATTCGTTTCATCATGAGATCGACAACAGAAATTTCCAGTTTTCTAATCCAAACCGGTTCTCGTCGCTAAGACCGGACTTAACCGAACAGAAAACCGGGATCAACGGTCTTGCGGATACTTCCAACTTCGATTGGGGTAGTTTTGCCGGAAATGTTGAGCACAATAATTACTCGGTACCGGAACTCGGACTGAGTCATGTTGTTCCTAATCTCGAGTACAATTGTAGCTACCTTAAGACGGAGGAGGAAGTCGAGAGCAGTCACGGGTTTAACAACTCGGGCGAGTTGGCTCAAAAGGGTTATGGTGTTGACTCGGTCGGGTTTGGGTATTCGGGGCAAGTTGGTGGGTTCGGGTTTATGTGATGATGCAATGCTGACGCAGTAAAAATAAGTCGTTAATTTTTGTCCCGTGGCAAATCTTATGTATTTGGATTTCAATTCTTTTGTGTTTAGAGGCAGATTCATAGATTTAAATGTAGTAGATTTGTAATCTATCATGCCTAGAAAATTTGACCAATAGATTTTGTAACTTTTGTTTGTTGTTGTTGATCTTTTGTATTGGTAGAAATTTAGTGGATTGAAATTGCATATTGTATTAGAATATTGTCCCACATCCACTACAAGAAAACATAGCAATTTCCGACGAACATTTCCGACGAAATTTTTAGTCGGAATTATTCCGACGGATTTCCGGGGAATTTCCGACAAACTTCCAAGAAAATAATATTTCGTCGGAAATTCGTCGGAAACATAAAAACTTTTCCGACGATTAAAAATTCGTCGGAATTTCGTCGGAAATATTTGTCGGAAACCATGGAAAATTCCGACAATCCAATGTCATCGGAAACTGCTCGGAAACTTGTCGGAAAATTTGTCGGAAACAACGAGGTAAACACGTGATTATTCACTGCACATGTTCCGACGTAATCCCGACAACTTGATCGAAAAATTAGTCGGAAAAGTAGTCGGAAAATCTAAAGTTGTTACCTTTAATATTTCCGACGAATTTCCGACAAAATGTCGGGAAGATCTGTCGGAAATTCGTCGGAAATATTAAAGGTAACCACTTTAGCAATTCCGACGAATTTCCGACAAAATCTGTCGGAAATTCGTCGGAAATTCGTCGGAAATATTTAGCAATTCCGACGAATTTCCGACAGAATTTCCGACAAATTTCGTCGAACATTTTGTCGGAAATTCGTCGGAAATATTAAAGGTAACCACTTTAGATTTTCCGACGAATTTCCGACAAACTTTCCGACGACATTTTGTCGGAAATTCGTCGGAAATATTAAAGGTAACCACTTTTGAATTTCCGACGAATTTCCGACAAAATGTTAGTCGGAAAAGTTTTATATATATACTAGACAACGAAAGAATCATAGACACAAGAAAAAAGTTGAAAAAAAAAAAACAGAAACACAAAAATATCTTCGAAAAAAAAATGTCTTCTCATAATATTTATAAAATTAGAGAGTGGATGTATAATCGATTAGATGATGAGACCGGAGCTATGAGGCAGGAGTACAAGGAAGGTTTAATGGAATTCATGCAGTTTGCATCTAATCAAGAAATGACGCGTATCGAAGGTATTATGGCATGTCCTTGTGTCAAATGTTGTAATGATCATTTTCTTGCAAAAGACATTGTTTGGAATCATTTATATTGGGGAGGTTTTACACCGGGATATTATATATGGTTTTCTCACGGGGAGGATTTTAGATCGGGTCCTAGTAGTAGTCGTGAAAGAAGAGATGAAAACGTTATAATTAGCGATGAGCATATTCACCAGGAAGAAGATAATGTAATTGGAAGTGGTAGTGGTGAATTTCATGATAACGTAGAAAATACTAATGTTGCGGAGGAACCCAACTTAGAAACACAGAGATTTTTCGATATGTTAGATGCTGCAAATCATCCGATATATGCAGGATGCAGAGAGGGTCATTCTCCTTTATCCGCCGCAACACGTATGATGAACATCAAAACAGACTACAATTTAAGTGAAGATTGTGTTGATGCGTGGGCTGATTTTATCCACGATTATCTACCGGAAGATAATTTATCGCCAGTTTCATACAACGCAATCCAAAAATTGGTATCTGGGCTAGGTTTACCATTCCAAATGATTGACGTGTGTAGAGAAAATTGTATGATTTTTTGGGGAGATAATGTAAATATGTCTCAATGTCGTTTCTGTGGTGCTGAAAGGTTTCAGGTTACTGGTGGGCGAAACAAAATACCATATAAGCGTATGTGGTATTTGCCCTTGGCTGATAGGTTGAAGAGGTTGTATCAGTCAGATCGGACAGCGGAGGGTATGCGATGGCACGCTGAACATGAGTTCACCGGGGAGATTTCACATCCATCGGATGCATCGGCCTGGAAACATTTTTGTTCTACATATCCAGTCTTTGCTAATGAACCAAGGAATGTCTATCTTGGTTTATGCACGGATGGATTCAATCCATTTGGAAAGTCAGGTAGAAAATATTCTTTGTGGCCAGTAATAGTCACCCCTTACAATCTCCCACCTTCCCTTTGCATGAAAAGAGAATTTCTTTTCTTAACCATTTTGATTCCTGGTCCAAACCACCCTCGTCGTTCACTTGATGTGTTCCTACAGCCGCTTATAGAAGAGTTAAAAATGTTATGGTACCAAGGGGTTTGGGTATATGATGTCTCCACAAAGACAAATTTTAACATGCGTGCTGTATTGATGTGGACTATTAGTGACTTTCCCGCATATGGCATGTTATCGGGTTGGACAACTCATGGAAGACTGTCGTGTCCATATTGTCAAGATAATACAGATGCCTTCCAACTAAGACATGGCCGGAAATCAAGTTGGTTTGATTGTCATCGTCGTTTTCTAAGACGAAATCATCCATATCGTCGTAGTAAGACGTTGTTCCGCAAGAACAAGAGTATCCGTGATCCACCGCCACCTGATTATGATGGTGATTATATATTGAATCAATTTCGTGATTTTGATGTTGACTGTACATCATCGGTAGGCGGTAATGGCCATGTCCGAATTGATGGATATGGAGAACATCATAATTGGCATAAGAAAAGTATCTTCTGGGAGTTGCCGTACTGGACAAATCATCTACTCCGCCACTGTCTTGACGTTATGCATATTGAGAAGAATTTCTTTGACAATATAATTAACACCATTCTAAATGTCCCGGGTAAGACTAAAGATAATGTCAAATCCAGAATGGATTTACCCGATATTTGTGCGCGCGAGGATCTCCATTTGCTTGCAGACGGAGTAGGTCCTATTCCTATATGGAGATTAGATGCAAGCAAGAAGACCAAGTTTTTTCAGTGGATAATTGATGATGTTAAATTTCCTGATGGCTATGCATCAAATCTATCATATTGTGTTGATGATCACAGTGGTAGATTAGCTGGGATGAAAAGTCATGACTGTCACGTCTTCATGCAGCGTTTACTACCATTTGCGTTTACACAACTCCTACCAAATGTTGTCCATGAAGCAATTGCAGGTACAAACAACTTATCTTTCAATTATTTTAATATGTTATTATTCATGTATATATTCTTTTTTTGTTTACAGTTATTAATTAAATTGCAGGGATAGGTGCATTTTTTAGAGATTTGTGTTCAAGATCTCTAACAGTCGAAGGACTACATACACTTGAAGATAATATCCCGATTATCATTTGCAATTTAGAGAAATTATTTCCCCCATCATTCTTTGATGTCATGGAGCACTTGCCTATCCATCTACCTCGTGAAGCAGCACTAGGCGGTCCAGTTCAGTACCGGTGGATGTATCCTTTTGAGCGTTATATGTTCCATTTGAAGAAAAAAGTAAAAAATCTTAGCAAAGTTGAGGGATCAATAGTAGCTCAAAGCATAAACGAGGAGACTTCTCATTTTTCGGCCTACTATTTTGCTCCAAATGTCCAAACAAAAGCAAGAAAACCAGGTAGGTACGATGATGGGGGTGTGCGGCCTTTTTACCATACATCTGTCCCAGATATCTTTTCTCAAATCGGGAGACTGAGTGGGAAGAAAAGAGAAGTATGGTTTACAGATCAAGAATTTAATCACATTCATACTTACATACTCCGGAACTGTGACGATGTCATACCATTCGAGAAGTAAGAAACAAAATTCATACCTTAATAATACGCATATATTATTTGCAAAATAATTACTTATACAACAAAACAAATGTCTGTAGGATCTTTGATGATCAAGTGTCTGGAGCGTATCCAAACATGACAGAGGCTCGAAAAGAGGAAATGAAGCAGACACAATATGCTAATTGGTTAAAATATTATGTAAGTTTTCACCGTTGATTTTACATATATTATGAACATGGTTACTATTTATTAAAATCGTACATTTGCTTGTATGTTTTGCAGATCAAATCAGCCGCAAGTAGGCAGGAACACTATCCAACATGGTTTGAAGAGTTGGTTGGAGGTCCTCTATCAAGGGCAATGGCATACCCGATGTATTGCACTCGAGGCTACGTTTTCATAAAACGTCCAGGGATTACTAACAGAAAAACAGTGAATTATGGGGTCGTTGTTCGTACAGATTCGATAGACTACTATGGTGAAATTACTGATATATTAGAGGTTGAATATCCGGGAGTCATAAATTTGAAATGTATACTCTTCAAGTGTGACTGGTATGATCCTAGAGTTGGAAGAGGTGTTAGACTTACAAAGTATGGTGTCACAGAGATCAACTCGACTAAGCAGTTAAGAAAGTACGATCCGTTTATACTTGCATCTCAGGCAGCACAGGTTTGCTACATACCATATCCACAAGTAGGTGTTCGACAATATCCATGGATTACGGCTCATCAAATAAATCCAAGAAGCAGAGTTGATGGGGTGAAAGAAAAGGAACCGCTACAACAAATTGCAGTAAACGAAATTACGCAAGTAGATCAATCTGTCGGTGACATTCCCCTCGTTGATATTGAGAACATAGAACTCGAAGAGATATGGGAAAATGCGGAAGACGAAGAGGATGGAGAAGAGTTTGAAGATCAAAATGATTCTGCTAGTTCAGATTATTCTTCCGATTCTGAGTAAATCAAATATATCGTCTTTAGTTTTATATATATATTTTATAAAATCTGTTTAAATGCTTTTAAATTTATCATATTATATGCATTATAATTTATTTGTTAAAAAAATCTGTTTCTATTTTATAATAATTAAACCATTCTAATATTTTATTTTATTCATACTTTCATCGGAACTGTCGTATGAAACGTTTGAGATTAAATTTGTACCGCTTAAATATATCTTGATACAAAACAGGGTATATTTAATTAAAGAAATACTTGACACAAAATAATTAAAATTATTTAAATAAATATACCCTGTTTCCGAAGAATTTTCCGACGACATTATTTTCTCCATCGGAAAATCGTCGGAATTAGGCTATATTGAATTAATTTATTTTTTTTACTTTTCTTTCAGAAATACTGAAGCGGGAACATTTACGAGACTCGGGAGATTTAATGTCCAAATTCCGTCGGAGATTGGGTCTTAAATTTATTGCCGTTTACTGTTCCCGGGCGTCAAAGAAGTTAATGTAACCAATTTCCGACGAAATTTCCGACGAAATTTAAAAATTTGTCGGAAAATTTGTCGGAAAATGTTACCGGGAGATTTAGTTTCCGACGAATTTTGCGACAAATTTTGTAAATTTCGTCGGAAATTTCGTCGGAATTGGTTACATTAATTTCTCGCGAATCTCGTAAATGTAGAGGGAAAGTTACTTGGTTTGAAATTCCCGCTGCATTGTTTCCGACGAATGTCCGACAAATATGGTCGTCGGAAATTCTTATATATATACGACTCACAGATTTTTGCCTCTTACGCACTTATCACTCTTATAAATCTCTCTACAATATCTCTCTAAAATCTCTCTACAAAATCACTCTAAAATCTCTCTAAAATCTCTCTGTGATAAACAAACGTTAAGGTAAGATGTTTAGTTTTATTTTCTTCATAATTTTGTTTATAAAATTCAAAAGACTAATTATAAATTTTTTATTTGATTAAGGAGATGGATAATGGATCGTGGAGTGGATATATGGCGTATTGCAATGAACGTGGGTTTGCTCCGGATTTGAATCTTGGTTCCGAAACCCAACCACCGGAGGATTTTCCCATGGAGGACACGGAAGTTCCGGAGACGGAACCATTGGCGATGCCTACACGGAATGATGATGCAAATCCACTCGATTCTATGACGCTAGACCAATTACTCCGTGCTCCGGGTCGAGATAAATTGAAAAAGATCGACCCAAGCCGTATGCACGGAACAACTTGGTAAGAAATTGTATTATTTAATTTATAGTTTTACGTAGATAATCTTAATTAAATAATTTGGTAATTATAGGTATCGATTCGATAAAGGATTCACAAAGATTATCAAGAAAATCATGGAGAGCGATTTCCCCGATCCCGCTCCGAATATTACGTCGGTCTCCGGAGACACAAAGAAACGTTGGTTTAAGGCATTTGCGGTTAGTTTATTTAAATAAAATTTATGCTTTATTTACTTTGTTTATAATTGTAGCTAAAAAAATTAAATTTTAAAATTTTACAACACTAAAAATATATATATTTTAAATTGTTTAACATTGTAGCAAAAATTTAATTGGGATTATGGTCTTACGGGCGAAGTACAAGAAAAATTTGAGGAGATATGTGGGGTACGTTTATTGGATTATGTTTATGGATGGAAAAAGAAATGGCTTAACGGGAAAGAAAAGCCAAAATGGATGCGAGAAAACGTTTGGCAAGGGCTTATTGCATATTGGTTACAAGAGCAAAATAAGTCCCGTAGTGAAACTAATTCTCAAAATCGCAAGAGTGAACGCGGAGGCTATGGCATGGCTAAACATACTTGTGGATCAATGCCATATGTCCGGAAAAAGGAAAAAATGGTAAATAAAAATTTAAATTTTTTACATTTCAATTTGCATTATAATAAATTTTATTGTAAATTTTTAACTAATAAATATTTTAAATGCAAGCGTAATCCCGAAACCGGTGAGTATCCCGATATGGTGACATTCATGGAGGAGACTCACAAACGGAAATCGGACGGGACATTTGTTGATAAAAAAGCTGAGGCAATAGCTCGTCGATGTCGGGAGATGGAGAAAGAGAAACTCACACAATTGAGTCAACAATCAGACACGCCCGATGATTATCAACTCACCCAAGCAGAAAAAAACGATATTTTCCGATCGGTAAGTAATAGTAATTAAAATATTATAATTTAGATAATATGTTTTATTTCCTAACAACATTTTCATTATAATAGCAAGTTGAAGTTAAAAAAGGACGTAGATTTGGATACGGTTCCATTCCGTATGACGAAGACATGGGCGGAAGTTCGTCGTATTCACATGCACACGTGAATTGTCAAGCAAACGCAGCCGAAATCATCGAGTTGAAGACTCAATTAAAAGATTGTAAGTTTTGGATGGATACGATGGCCCGTCTTCATCCCGACATCGTTCCGCCTTCTCGCCAAGATCAACCCGGAAATCAAAATGAAACAAATAACGTTGACACTCTATTTGATAATATATAATATTTGCGTTTGTAATAATTTTTAGTTGTTTAAGAACTTATTAATGTTTAATTATGTTTTTTATATTATGTGGTGAATTTTATTTTTTTTAATTATGTTTTTATATAATATTTGTGTTTGTTTTATTGAATTATTACAATTAAATTAAATTAATATTATTTAATTTAATTAATTATATTAATTAACAATAAAATATAAATATATTTTTTTTTAATAAAATATAATATTTCGTCGGAAATTCATCGGAAAATAATAAAAAAATACGATTTGTCGGAAATTCGTCGGAAACTATTAAATATATTATTATATTATATTTTGTCGGAAATTCGTCGGAAACATCCATTCGTCGGAAATTCGTCGGAACGTTCCGACGAACTTCCGACGATTTGTGGTCGGAAAATCGTCGGAATCGTACTCGATCTTGCGGCGTCGTTTGTAGGAATCTCCTCGGAATGGCGTCGGAATATGCCATCGGGATATCGTCGGCAATTTTCCGTCGCTATTCCGACGGACATTTCCGACACCTTTCCGACGGGCTTTCGACGAATATTTCCGACGATTTTCCGACAAATATTTCCGACGAATTTTCCGACAAATCATCTCGACAGAAATTTCCGACGAATTTCCGACGAATATTGTTTTCCGACCAGAGAATTCCGACAAACTTGGTGTAGTCGGAAATTCGTCGGAAACATCCATTTCCGACGAATTTCCGACTATTTGGTTTGTCGGAATTTGCTATGTTTTCTTGTAGTGATCGGTTGGCTTTGTGATTCTTAGGCAATATATATGTGTTGTGGCAATCCTCCTCCCTTGAGCTAGTTTTTGGGTGTGAGTTAGGCGCACACTAATATAGTATCAGAGCCTAGACCCAATTTCGATTGTGGACCACCTGTGGATGTCCAGTCCCACAACTTCACGTTTCAGATGTCCAATCATGAGCGTGAGGGAGGGTGTATTAGAATATTGTCCCACATCGGTTGGGTTTGTGATTCTTGGGCAGTATATATGTGTTATGGCAATCATTCTCCCTTGAGCTAGCTTTTGGGTGTGAGTTAAGTCCACGTTTATATATTGACATGTTATTTAGCATGGTAGCTACAAATTGAGGTTTAATTGTTCTGAACTATCCAAAATAAAAAAAAGTTTTAATAGTATTTGAAAATGGAGCGATGGGTTAGCTGAACTTATTAGGTGGGTAACGTGGGCTTGCTTGTTTGACCAGCTTGACAAGAGATTATAGAGAAACAGTTCATACCGTACAAGTTTCAAACACATGTTTATTGCGGATCGACTATATGCGTTTGCATTTGGGGTGTGAATGATAAGAGTTATAGATAGTGCCCAAATCAGACAAGAACATGAAAAAAGTAAAACAAGTGTATTTATTGCGCAAAAAATTGCAAGTGAAGCAAGCCATATGTAACGAGGACCACAAAAATTGAATGAAAATCATGACAAATGTGGTGCGAATAAATTTTTGATTAATTTTTTGAACACACTTTATTTCACTACCAACGAAAACACAGAATACTCTATTTCTTAATTTGTACGTTTAGGAAAATCCGACCCAATTTCTGACATGATTTATGTAAAAGTTTTAAAACATCTCTATCAAAGGCTTTTCAAACGTTATTTCAACATTAAAATAATAAAATAAAGAATGAAAAGTTCGAGAAATAAACTATTTAATTCAAAAGAGACCGAGAATACTCAAAAGGGATTCTAAACCATTCGAGATGCTCTTATAAATTACTTATCGTACTCTTCTTAGAGAAGAAAATGGAAACACATCTATTTTGATTTAGAGTGCGCGTTAACACAATCTCTAGTATAACATTAACCACATTGTGAATGAAGGAATGTGGTTCGCTGATCATTCGATATATTTCATCTCCTACCTTTTTTTGATCCTCCATGACTATCATAGCTTTTCAGAGAGCTTTGACCATCCTCTGAAATACTAAATCTCTATTTTCTAACATTTACCAAATAACAAATTAGATTTCAGATCGTTTTGACGAAGGACCAAAACTTAATTGTCTCTCGCTCTTTTCCTTTATAGACTAGTCTTGCTTCTAGTCATGCTGATTAATGATTATATCATAATTTGAGTGTGTGAAAATCTTCGGGAGGAGAAACTCATATTTGGCTTTCCTTGGACCTTGTTGATTGTGTTGATGTGAGAGGTAAACGACACCCGGAAAATGGTCGAAGGAACGAATTTTGTAACAAACATCTACATGAGCCTAACTTGGTTCGTTCTCTAATAGTCAAATAACTTGAGACACATGCATCAAAATTAAAAACACAAACAAGAATTGTATTTAATTTTGTATTTACAAGTTCCTTTAAAATTTTAGATACTCGATTTGTGGAACTTGGTAGGGTGAGCTCACATTGTTCACATTTTTTGGTTTGTGGGGTTCCATTTTGTGAGAGCTCATAGAATCGTTTGACGAGCCATTCTCATATTACTTGGAAGGAGTATGTGATTGAAGGTTTTGAGTACTTTGCCTTTAACGGCACCTTTTCGGATCCCCTTTGAAAGGCTTCTAGTGTTTTTTGTCTTGGTAATTTGGCTCTACAATTTGCATTTGTACCTCGTCTCAAACATCAAAACCGGAAAGAACAACAAAATCGTAATTACTTCGTGTAACTCCATTAGCAATTCCGCTTTTGTTGAGTGGATGGACTGAAAATGTTTCACTTATTTATGCTTGCATGTTTTTGTTTTTTTTGCCATGAGACCATTTGTATAAATCTACGATCGTTCGATTGTAAGTTTATACCATTTTCATATTTAATAAAATATTAATATTCTTACCAAAAAATGTAAAATTCCAGTGGCAAACTAGTATGATAAGGCAACGGCATAGGTGATAGTATTGTGTTTTGCCCAAAAAAAAAAAAAAAAAAAAAGGTGATAGTACTGTGAAGTCTGTGATAGTGTATTGATTGGCCCATGGGCCAAATGTCCAAAGTAGAATTCTGGTTGGGCTATAGCAAAATATTAATTTTCCATCTATTTGGTCATTACCTTTTAGTTTTTTCTAGAATTGGAGCTCAAGAAACTCAAACTACTGGTATAAATTTCTGTTTTACCTATAAAAATTAAATCGTCTCTCGATATGCTTTTCTAGACATTTTTCAAAAAATAAAAATATTATTTTCTAGACTTAAAATTTAAAACAGAAGAAAAATCCTTACAAGATTTATAATATAAAATGAAGGAAGTATAAATACAAACTATCATCTAAAAAATGTTTTCCAAAAATTAATCTAACAACAACAACACACAAAAAGGGTTTTGGCTTCAAATACACGAGGGATTTGTATTTATTAATAGATTGTGGCTATACTTCGAAGAAAACACAATATCTTAAATCATAACAATGACAGTTGTGATTAGAATAAAAATACATTTAACCGAGACATAAAAATTTATTTGTTTGGTTTTTGTGGTATTTGCACATGCGTGATCTACGAGTGGTTCGAAAAGCTCACTAATTATAGCTGACAAAGCAGACAATTAAGGAGCGGTCCTTAATGACTTTCCTAAACAAGCTTCAAAACAAGGCTCGATTAGTAAAAGCAACGACTACAAGGATCCATCCATTCTTTTTTTACGGAAAATATTTAATTAACTCTGGACGTAATTACCCCTAACTAGCCATACTGAATACATACGCATGACGTCACAATGTACGTATAAGAATATTAAATGTTTTTCTGGTAGAATTTAAGGACACATTTTATAAATGTTTGTTTTTCTGTTACATAATTTCTACGGCATTACAGTACTTATTGTGCTATAGATAATAGATGTCAGAAAATCAGAATGTGAATTGGAGAAAAACTATGGTCTATAAGTATTAACATTAAAACCCAAAAAACAAAAGAAAAACTATAAGTATTGTTTAATACGTGACATAAAATCGGTTAACGAGAGAGCAAAGAGGATCATGCAGAAAGAGCTCTACTCAAATCTGTTACAATGAAAATAATACTTTTTAAAATAAAAAATTGGTTTCACTTATGATATCTCTTATTATCTCTTAACTCCTTTTTTTATAATAATTATCATCTCTTATAAAACTGCAATAAGTCATAGAATATGACTTTCTTAAGTACACAGTGTATAAGTTTTTTTGGTAAAATACATTATATTATATATAAGTTGACGTTTGCATATATCAATTCTGTCAAGACAATATATATAGTTGTAATCATAAATACAAACAAGAAATCAAACAGATTTGATAATAACATATACAATTAGATATATTAAAATGTATCCAATGACACCATTCTTTTGGTGAACTATATATTGACATAAAATATGTTTTCCAGTATTATGACGGCGTTTGGTGAGTCACGTTAGATAAAGTCATATAATTATTTTATAAATTGATCAATTATGTGACATATAGCTAGTGACTTTCTAATTATGGAATCAAAGTAAAGCATCACATGTTCAAAGCAACTAAGGTACAAAAAGTTATACTTGACCACATTCTCCGATTAGATCACTGATCACTTGGTTGCTTTTTCTTGCAAAAGTTATTGTTATGAGGAAATCTCACCATGACCAAAATCATTATATAAAGTTTGAAGTTAGGTTACCATTATAAAATATGAAAGTGTAAAACTGACTAGCTTGTTTGCTTGTTAGTATATATCTGTGTGCTTGTGTATATGCATATGTATCACGTACGCATAATTCAATGCATTTAACTATGTTAATAATTAAAAAAAAATCTTTGAACTAAGAAGTTATATCTTTTTTTTTTTTTTTTGGTATCAAGTATATATCCTTAATTGAATTGGAAAAGACAACCACCTATTTGGACATGCATATCTCCGAAATTAACCAAAACCACATCTTTTTTATTACAGTGAAGTAAACAGCATCGAATCTTGTTGTCGGGTATATCTTTCTGATTAAAACAAAAAAACTAGGACCTAATTAATAATGAAAAAAATTAGTATATATTTTATTATCGTAAATATAAAGTGGGGATAATTTTATTTATCTATTTGGGGTTATTTTCTTCTATAATTAACAAGAAGATAAAAGGATAACAAGGAAAATGGGTGACTTTTCTCAAATATATATGCTGGTGAAACTCCTTTTTATACACATTCTTGAATCTTAAATCCAACATTGGGCTCCACATTTCACAATACACCATCATTACTTTATTTATCTATTTATTAATTTCCTAACAATCTCACATTTCGAAAGCTGGCAAGCTGACGGTGGACAATACAAACCAATTTTTTTGCTCGTATTTATATTTTGCATAAATATCTACTTTTTATCTGCACTAAGTCAAAAATTTAGTTTTTAGTGACGAAAAAAAGTTAATACGATCCGTTCATTGCCACCTCTCAAATAATCCTTTCATTATCCCTTTATCTATTTGTATGTTTTTGTTTTTGTTAAAGATATGTTTGTAGAGTTAATTAGTTTGTTAAAAACACGCATCACGTCAGATAAATATACATTAACATATTAGAGTTTGAAGAAAAAAAATAAATAATAATAAAAAGTGTATATATAGCATTACTTAAACAGTGGGTAAAATTTTTTACTTTTTTTTTACATTCGGTAAATCTTGTTTCTATTGATTTTTTAAAGCATAAACCAAAAATAGATATGTAACTATGTTTGGTTAGGCAAAGAAAAATCTAAGGTAAATAAGTTGAAAATTATCAAGAAAATTAATTGGATTTTGTTAACGATAATTGATGAATTTCTATTATAAATTCCAAGTGGTCACAAAAACAAAAATAACAAAAGCGTGATATGACATTTGAAACGTAAAAAGCTTTTTTGAATTTTCCCTTTGTTGCCTTGTGTTGCACTTAAGCGGGTCCCACATTACAGCTGCCACGTGTCGACCTAACGCTTGCTCAGAATACCACGGTACTAGTGGAAGCATGCACCTTGATTTATTTGTCCACACTTGATAATCAAAATTTAAAAAGTGCATATGTACGTAGTAGATTTTTCATTGATAAATATTTTTTTTTTAAATATTGAGTTTTCTTTATTATTTTAAATTATTTTCTATTTTAAAGCATTTGCTTAAACCGTAAAAACGTAAAACTATATAGTTTACCACTGAATTTTAGGGTTGACAAAAAAAAAAAAAAACCACTTTATTTTAGGGTTGATCCAAAAGAAATATACTACCACATAAAACCATAATAATTAATCGGTTAGTTGACATCTTGTAAGAGCATGATTAACAGCAATATCTTAGAGATATCTTAGTATTAAAGTTGATTAAATATAATCAAACCAACAAAATTAATCTAAGATTTATATCTTAGGTAAGATGTTTTTGTTGGTCTAAGATGTTCATACGTGTCAGTATCTAACATGTTAAAAAAACAAATAAAAGGAGAATTTTTTTTTTCTCCCGTGTTTTCTTTCTCCAAGCCAAGCGATTTCACATCTCTCTCTCTCTCTCTCTCTGTTTTGTAAACGCCGACGATTTAAGCTCTCCGACGGTCTTGTTCCGTCGAATTGAGAGTAGCACTTGAAAGGAATTTCGTGTTTGAGCAGTCGTTATGTTCACTCTTCGATGTTGTCTCACTCTCCCTCAAGTTCTTGAAACTTCCGCCGGAGAAATCTCTATCAATCGGCTTCCTCCGTCGAATAGAGAGGTTAATTGAGTGGGGATTGCAGTTTTGATCCGTCTGTATCATCATCTGCGGGATAAATGGTATGTAACTCTTTGATTTCACTTGTAGATCGAAAATCAGGGTTTTAATTATGCTTCGAAAATTAGGGTTTTTCACAATTGGAAATTGACTGTATCAAAATTAGTGTTCTCTGATGTTTGCATGTCGTTTTCAAACCAAATTAGGGTTGGGTTTTGTTAGCAGAAAGTTTTATAAAAAATTAGGGTTCATATGATGTTAAAAGATTGGGAATTCGTAATTTATCCGTTTGTTTCCATTTAACATCGCAGATAGTGTCGTTTTGAACCATAAAATTGATCTGTTTGATACGTGTTCTCTGTTATCATTGCTTTGATTTGAGATGATTTGTTTTTGATGAGTTTGATATGTTTCTCTGTTTTTGGCAAGGTCAATTGGAGAACTTGCGACATATGAGGTTTATTAGAGATGAGGTTCATTACATGGAGTACGGAGTAACAGCTCATTGAAGGTAATTCTTGTATGAACTTGTTTGTTTTAGTCTATGTGAAGATATTAAATCATTGAATGAGTAAATCTTGTTTGTTTTAGATTAGGTTAAGATCTTGAAATGCTTTAATTTGATTGTCTACATCATATTTAATTTTGTTTCATATGTCAGTTAGTCTTATTTATGTGTATGTTATTAGATCAATGTAATGCTTGAACTTGCAGTTTTTTAAAATGATTGAATTTGGTTTGAATGTGTTTCTCCAAGTGTTTATTTGGTGATCTCTGCTCAAGTAGAATACCTAATCTATCGCACAAATAACATGAGCCAATGCTAATAGAAGCATATGTTTATTTGTCTTTAAAGTTTAAGCCTGAAATGCTTTAATTGGATTTGATTGTTTTTTATTGTTGTCTTTGTGTTTACTCAATGCTTGGTAATTGGTATGGATTGCTTGTTGTGTCACACGTAAAACACCTAGCACTTATTGTCTAATTCATTTCTTATCTGTCAAACTTCTTGTCTAATTGATTTCTTCCCTTTTAATAAAAACCTAAACACTCTATCTCTCATTATGTTCTATCACGTACACTTAAACACACACCCCTACTCTTTTTTAATAATGCCCTGCCTACTCAACAACAAATCTTTGTTATCAATGCCTATAGCCTCTGTGTTTTATTTGATTAGGTAAAGAATTTAGTGTCACACTTAACACAAACCAAGCGTTTCTCTTGTTATATATGAACCTCTTCTTCTCTAACTTAATACTGATTTACACACACCAAAAACACTTCTTCTTTTTTTATCCTGCTTCCTTTCAACACCAACCAGAGAACTAGGCTATGGATTCATATCCATATAGTCATGGATCAGGCTTTGTGAACCTCTTAACTAGTCAACAAGAGGTTCACAATCTAGAAGCCAATCCGTATGATGATGTCCCTGTCTTTCCAAGCCAAGCTGACTCTCCAAGCCAAGCTGCACACAAACCCAAGGTGAAAAGAGGGAGAAGGAAATGGTCTCCCATAGAAGACGTGGTGCTCATCAGTGCTTGGCTCAACACAAGTAAGGATCCAGTAATAGGCAATGAACAAAAGGGTAATGCTTTTTGGTCACGCATTGCTAACTATTATGGTGCAAGTCCAAATCTGAAAGGTGTGGAAAGGAGAGAGCCAGATCACATAAAGCAGAGGTGGGCTAAGATCAATGATGGTGTATGCAAGTTTGTAGGGAGTTATGAGGCTGCGTTAAAACAGCAATCAAGTGGCCAGAATGATGATGATGTGATGAAACTGGCTCACCAAATCTTCACCAACGACTATGATGCAAAATTCAATCTTGAGCATGCTTGGAGAGAGCTTCGCCATGATCAAAAATGGTGTTCAGCTCCTACTACTAAACCGACTGGACAGTCTAAAAGAAGAAAGACTAAGGAGTCTGTTGAGCCTTCAAGCTGTCAGCCACTGTCCCATGGAGTAGAGGAAGCAATGCATCGTCCTATTGGTGTTAAGGCTGCAAAGGCCAACGCAAAAAAGACTGTGGGAGAAGAAGGCAATGGTCTCTCTAGGTTGCAGGGCATATGGGAGATCTCAAAAAAGAACTTTGAGTTAAAAGAGAAACAGAGCAAGCATAGTATGCTTGATAGTCTACTTGCAAAAACAGAGCTTAGTGACACAGAAATTGCCTTAAAAGACAAGCTCATAAATGACATGTTGTCAAATGCTTGAAGGATTTCTTTTGTTTCATGTATCATAAGTTCGGCTTTCTTTGTTTCATGTATCATAAGTTTGTCTTTTTGTTGTATTTCAATTTGTGTTTTCTGTCATAAGTTAAGTCTTTTGCTTGTATGAACTTGTTTGAATCAATGAATCAGTGTTTGTATGAATTTGTGTTTGTATGAATCAGTTTTGCTTGAAATAGTTGAAGTGCATGACAAACAAGTGGAGTTGTGATATTGTGATGGTAACACGTTTGTGTTTTTGTGCAGGATAGACAAGTTGCTTCACTAGCAACACGTGAAGCAAAAAGACAAGTTGACAAGAAGGGGACATGTTAAAGAGGACAAGATTCCAGCAAGTACACGGACACTACAAGTCTTGATTCTAACCACATGTTTGAATGAGTTTTCTTTTTACCACAAGTCCTCTCTGTTTGTTCACGGATACAAGTATTCATTGTAGCCACATGTTTCACTTTGCTTCTTAACCATGTATATGTTTTGTGTAGTCCACTATAAATATGACCATGTAATATCACTTTGTAATATCAATTGTCCAGACTCTTTCCTTCTTACTTTGCTTCTATTTCTTTTCTACTCTAAAAACAGTTACTTGCAACAAAAATCTCCAAGGCTTCTTTTTCTTTTCTACAACTAAAATCTCCAATTTCTTTTCTACGCCAAGGCTTCTATTTTTACTCAAAAAAATCCAAAACAATTCTACATTGTAAATGGCATCATCTTCCCATGAAAATTTAGAAGAAGCGTTGGACGAAGAATTTAGTAATATTTTACAGCAAGAAATAGATAATTCTTTGTATTCTTACGGTGATCGTCCACAAACCGCAAAACCGAGGAAAAAACGAGTCCATATTGAAAGAAATCGAGAAGAAGGACACATCCAGTTATGGAACGATTATTTCGCAGAAAATCCAACTTTTCCTCCTAATCTATTCAGACGCCGTTTTAGAATGAACAAGCCATTATTCATGCGTGTTGTTGATCGACTCTCCACAATTCCATTCTTTCAACAAAAAAGAGATGCTACAGGAAGATACGGTTTTTCTACACTACAGAAGTGTACAGCAGCAATTCGTATGCTTGCATATGGTTTAGCAGCTGATGCGGTTGACGAATATCTCCGGATTGGTGCAACCACTTCGATGAAGTGCATGGAACATTTTGTTGACGGAATTATTGATTGCTTTGGAGATGAGTACCTACGACAACCCACTGCAGAAGATCTTCAACGACTACTCCATATTGGAGAGATTCGAGGATTTCCCGGGATGATGGGAAGCATTGATTGTATGCATTGGGAGTGGAAGAATTGCCCTACCTCTTGGAAAGGACAATATACACGTGCCTCTGGAAAACCAACGATCGTTTTAGAGGCTGTAGCTTCCCAAGATCTTTGGATATGGCATGCGTTTTTTGGACCGCCAGGTACTTTAAACGATATTAATATTCTAGATCGCTCTCCGGTTTTTGATGACATCTTAAAAGGGCGAGCACCAGCAGTGAATTATACAGTCAACGGGAACGAGTATAATTTGGGTTACTATCTCACGGATGGCATTTATCCTAAATGGGCTACTTTTATCCAATCTATTTCACTTCCACAAACTGAAAAAGCATCTTTATTTGCAACCCATCAAGAAGCTTGCCGTAAAGATGTCGAGCGTGCTTTTGGAGTTTTGCAAGCTCGATTTGCTATTGTCAAAAATCCGGCTCTTCTTTGGGATAAGGTAAAAATAGGAAATATTATGCGAGCATGTATAATACTTCACAATATGATAGTAGAAGACGAACGAGATGGGTATACTCTGTTTGATACGACCGAATTCGAACAAGCGGAATCTGCAGGAAGTTCACGGGTGGATTTCACATATTCTACAGATATGCCTTCAAATTTCTTCGATACGATGGCCACTAGAACTCGAATTCGTGATCGAGGTATGCATCTACAATTGAAGAAGGATTTGGTCGAGCATATATGGACAAAATATTCTAGAAATTAAGTTTAAAATATTTGTGCTTTATGTTATTTATGTTATAAATTGTATCTCATGTATGTTTTAATTTTTTTAATTTGCAACAATTATTAAATTTTCTATAATTATAAATTTTATTTTTGTATTAATATTTTTTTTTCTAAGAACCACATGTTAAGAACCTACCATTAATCACACAAAAATCTTAACCCAAAAATACTATATCTTAACTATCACTTTTACAAATATATTACTTAAATATTCCTAAGATTTATTTCTAAGATACTACCAATAATCATGCTCTAAGTTCCATGTAAAATTAATAAATTTATATTATATAAAAACTAAATTAATAGTGCATTTTCTTATATGATTTTGTTATTATAAATTACTATAGAGACAATATATATGCTTATTGGATGAAAACAATCGCTATCGTTGTTAATCGCAATTCCACGTCATGGCCGCTCGTGTCGAGCCACTTTGACACAAGACGATAATACATAGTTAAGAGCTTAAGAAAGTCATTATCGACTCCCAAATCTCTAATTTACCCTCCTCTGCCTTGGTTAGTATCGTAATTTAAAAGATTCGACATGATTAGTCAGACTTTGTATATGTGTCGAAATGTCGCTACTCTTTATCTCCTTTTAGTACAAACCAAACCACACTAAACTCGGCTGAATTATGGGATATTATGTATTATTATTGATTGCAAACAAATGCTAATATTTCGGGACTAAAATAATGAATTCACAATATTGTACAATTGTTGATAAAGTTATTTTCACGTTTAGTAATAAAATGAGTTTACTGATCTGGGATTAACAGTGCGTTTTGAAGGTCAAAGAAACTTTATAATTTATAAAACAGATTTTTTTTTATGAATTGAATATGAATCTACATAAGATGAAAGATAAACTACAATTTAATTCTAGCTAAGTACATATAGATAACATTAATTCGTGAAAAGGATTAAAAAAAAAAGCAAATTACATGTAACTCTCTCATGATTCACGAAGATATGAAAGCATATCTTATATTTTAATTTAAAATCAATGATAGGAATCTCTCTACCTACACCTACATATATATATATATATATATATATATATATATATATATATAGTTGGGTCAAAAAGCCTACATATATATATATATATCTACAGTAAACTGTCTTAATTATTTTTCTAACTAATAATTATTCATAGAGAAATTAATAACTAACTACTGATACAGTTATTAAAAAAAATCTAAAAATTAAAAAACATTGTAACCCTTTTTCCTGTTGTTAATCTACATAATTACATAGCACACCTATAAAAACTTAATAGATCTCTACAATAGGTTAAAGTATGTAACAAACTATTGCATTAGATAGCTACGGTAATTAATACGTTTTGATCGTCCACAAATATAAATAGAAATACCATTTGATGCGTAACTAAAACCTCATAGACATTTATAGTTTTAATACTCGTGTTATATAAAAAAAAATCTAAAAACAATTGAAAAATTCGTAAATAAATACGAGTGGATACGATGGTGTACGTACAAAAGATTCCAGACGATAAAAACCATTTTGATTTGTCGTTTTATTGCGTTTCCATTTAAAAAAGAAAGATTACTAACGCCGACTCTCTCAAACTCTCTCAACCAAAAAATGGAGAGTACAGATTCCTCCGGTGATCCTCCGCCGCCGCAACCAAACCTCCCTCAAGGATTCAGGTTTCATCCAACAGACGAAGAACTCGTAATTCATTACCTCAAACGCAAAGCTGATTCTGTTCCTTTACCAGTAGCAATCATCGCCGACGTTGATCTTTACAAATTCGATCCATGGGAACTTCCCGGTAAGTTAAAACAAATCCAAGATCATAATCCGATCAGATCTGTTTCATTTTTTTTTTTTTGTGTGTTCTTGATTGTGACAGCGAAAGCTTCGTTTGGAGAACAAGAATGGTATTTTTTCAGTCCAAGAGATCGGAAATATCCAAACGGAGCAAGACCTAACCGAGCTGCGACTTCCGGTTATTGGAAAGCGACTGGTACAGATAAACCGGTGATTTCAACCGGTGGTGGTGGAAATAAAAAAGTGGGAGTTAAAAAAGCTCTAGTGTTTTACAGTGGTAAACCACCAAAAGGAGTTAAATCAGATTGGATTATGCATGAATATCGTTTAACTGATAATAAACCTACTCATATTTGTGACTTCGGCAACAAGAAAAACTCTCTCAGGGTATATTAAAAAATATTATTATTAAATTCTTAAAATCTTGATTTAGAGAAAAAAGTTTTGATTGGCTAATTCTTGATTCTTGTTTTGTAACTATGTAGCTTGATGATTGGGTGTTGTGTCGAATCTACCAGAAAAACAATAGTACAACATCTCGACATCATCATCATCATCATCTTCATCTGGATAATAATGATCATCATCGTCATGATATGATGATTGATGATGAGCGATTTCGTCATGTTCCTCATGGTCTTCACTTCCCGGCGATTTTTTCAGATAATAATGATCCGACGGCTATATATGATGGTGGTGGCGGTGGATACGGCGGCGGAAATTACTCGATGAATCATAACTTCGCATCTGGATCGAAGCAAGAGCAGTTATTTCCACCGGTGATGATGATGACGAGTATAAATCAAGATTCTGGTATTGGATCGTCGTCGTCACCTAGCAAGAGATTTAACGGCGGCGGCCTTGGAGATTGTTCGACTTCATTGGCGGCGACGCCGTTAATGCAGAACCAAGGTGGGATTTACCAGTTGTCTGGTTTGAATTGGTACACTTGAAATAATTCGAAAATTTTTCCGATGAAGAATTTTAAGAATTTCGATTTTATATTTTTAAAATTTGTGTATATATATACGGTTTGAGTAATTAGGGGGCATTGGGGGATTTAATTACGGTTGATTATTATTGTATAGTGTTATAGAACGAATTAAGGAGATTAATTTAAATAGATTAATGGAGGAGAGGTGAGGTAACATATAGAAATTATACAACAATTGCTTCTTCTTTTTTTCATTAATGTATAGGTGATTTATACTTAGATGTTTGTAGCTTGTATAATTGATGCATGCATATATAAAAATATATTAACAGTAGTAGAAACTAATTTGTATTTTCTGCAGCTATTTGTTTTCAGTACCATCAGCTTCAACATTCACATGATTTAGTAGATTGTTTTAAAGATGAAATCAGAAATACTTAAGAGATTTGATAGAAGACCGTAACTTTTAAGAAAAAGACGATAATGAAACTCTGTGCGTTGGATCTTTTATTTGACTTTGTCGAAAACATGTTCTTAAATTCGAATCAAATACATGTAATGGACATCTTTAAGCGTTTTCACAATCTGAATTGATGTTTGAACTTTCGATATAAATTACAGACACCATACATTGCAAATCCACTTCGGATCCGTTACAGAAGTTGATGTAAATTTGATTAAACAAGTACCGTATAACCAATATTTAGGTATACTCTAAAAAAAAATGTTGAAATTGGCTAAGAGTTACAAAGTTTAGGTTTGTTATTTGATTCTTTTGTGGATTCGGGTTGATAAGTGCGGAGAATCAGAGTTTGTGTTGAAAAAAGCCGCATGAAAATAGTTGAGGTTGATTTTGGCCGTTTTCCCGTAGTTTTCTATTTAAAAAAAAATTAATATATTTTTTTTTCTTTTCTTTTCATAAGGATAAATACAACTTTGATGCTGAGTAGAGAAATAGGAACACAATATTACGTGTGGATATATATAAAGATTAATATCTCTTGATAAATATTCTCATCCTTAACCAAATTTGATTTCTAAGAAAAGAGAAGCCATGGCAAATAATGAAGTTCAAGCTAATCAATTCGGAAGGCAGAATGCTGCTGTCAGCGATGTGTTAGCCAAGCCTCTACGCACATGTTGGTGAGTTCATAACACAATTTAATTATTAGTTTCCAAAATTTTATGTTCTTTCTAACAAATTATATATATATATATATATATATATATGTTCTTCTTACATAATTTTTGTTTTGAATCTGTTTTAATTTTACTATGCAGTTGTGATAAAAGATGGATTTATCAATTGATCATCATGCAAGTGCTCATCACCGGCACTTATGTCACGTTATACTTGCATCTCCGAAAAAATTTAGATGACGACTACCATCGCTTCGTAGTGTACCTAATGTCATTGCATCTGTTGTCAGCTATAATCCAAATTAGATCCACGAATTGGTTTCTGGCAGCAGGAAGTTTCAGTCGTGTCTCGGGCATCACTGCAATATTTTTACTCCTACTTAAAATTTCTCCACTCATAGCTATGAACGTGTGCTTACCAATTCTTTTGTGGTTTGGAATTACTTTGATCTACCACTTATGTTTAATGTGTTTTGGAGCTATAGTAGACGTAGACGATGTGGAAGCTCAACTCGCTGCACAAGGTCTCCCTTGAATTAAATTTTGAGTTTTTTTTTTCTTTCTCATGTCAATGAATTTTTAGTTAATTTTCATTTAATAAAACAAAGATTTTTTTATCGTCAATAAAATCCCTAGTGTTTATTGAATTTGTTATGGTTTCAGATTCTATATTGTTTCATTTTTAATAAAACTTTTTTTCTTTCATATATAAGTATTAGAGCACTGTGATCTGTTTATTAAGCTGTAATCTAAGGATCAAATAAAATGTTTTCTCTTGTGTATTCAAGATTCTGGTTATTATTCTTACACATTAAGAGATACATCCATTTGAATATCTTCATCTCCTCTGTATCAATCTCAAATCTCCAGCCACTCTGTTGGCTAAACTCTGTGTATATATACAATATGAAGCTGATTAGACCTGATTTGCCTTTTCTGCTTTCTCATTCCTGCCATGAATTTGTGTTAGATCCATGTTCTTGTGAATCAAATGCGAAAGGTGAATGCTTTTTTTTCGGGATGTAGTAAAGTACCTTTGAGGGATCAATGGATGTAGTAGAACTCGAAGAGGTTTCAATAACGGATTCCGAGATTCTAGCTTCTGATTTCTCGTTCGAGTAACTGAAATCAAGAACACAAGAAGAGACCACATAGAAGAAAATAATAGAATTAGAGATAGTTCGTCTTCCGAAAACCAGAATGTACCAAGATAGTTAAAGAAGTTTGATTCTCACGTCGAAAGTATAGTGACCCAAATAAGCTCCACGCAATCTACCCAGAGAAGTCGTTGTTCTACAGGCACCAAACCGTATGTGATCAAATGAGCAAATGGCCAAAGCTTCCACCCTGCCTGCATTGAAAACAAAGTACGTTTACTCTTTAATCTTAAATCTTGAATCTTGAATCTTGAAGATACAGAGGAAAGAGAGGAAGGAAAAGCTTCTTACTGTTAACATAGGCAAGAAGGTAGCTTTTAGTTCTTTGAAGATGCTGAGAGGCGATTCAAAACGCAGAAACCCAAGAACCGTGAAGTAAATACTGTTCCATATAGCCGACCATACTGTTTGATCAAAGACAACTTTCACAGGAACCACCCACCAATCTTGAAAAGGGAAAAGCTCTTCACAGAACTGGTAATAGAAATGAGACAACGAGCCATGGAGAGTAAAACCCACTAGTCCTGATCTCAATGTTCTTGCTCGATCAATTTCAAACAAGGGTTTGCCTTCGTAACACTAGACAAGAAAGATCACAAATGTTCACCAAACGATTCAAATTCATAGCAACATGGCATAATAGAAGAGAATGAAAACAGAACAAAAACCTGAGCTATCCAATCTCCTACAGAGTAGACAACTCCACTTATGACCATTTTCGCTAGAACCGGGTTTTGCTTTAACGCTTCTTCGTAAGCAATCCAGTTATGTTGAGGAGCATATCTTAGAATTTCTAACAGTGTCCAACCCTGAGAATACAAAACCATAAAAGAGAACATCAAGAATCATATAAAATACTCTGGTCCCTGGCCTGAGGGGATGTGCGGGTCTAGGCTCAGAACCTCTTAATTATAAAAAAGAAAAAACATCAAAGTCACAATCTTTGTGATGGAAACAAGAAAGCATTAGCACAAACAACTCAAGCAAGATCAGATTCAACACTTACATGCCAATAATCATGATCAATGGTGAGCAATTTGGTAATGGCGTAAGAACCAGCAGCTAAAACAATAGTAGCGTTAATGGTTCTATCAATCATCTTCTCCCTTTCTTCGTTCTCTCCTCTCTTCTCATCTCCCAAATCACCTCCCGAAGAAGGAAACCCTTCCAACGAAAGCTGACCTTCGCTCGTTGCTGCACTAAACCCTACAACCACCGATTCGTTAACATCTCTCTCCGTCTCAGTACTCATAACCACCACCGAACCTTCCTCATGGTCCGTCCGATCTCGGCTCTGAACCGGAATCACGTCGATTTCGTCACGGATCAACGCGCACGTCCTCTGTTTGTTTCTCAGGAAAATTTGGGAACGGTGAGGTTTCAGAGACGGTTTAGAGAGAGGAAGGAAGCTACGTGGAGAGATTGAGGTGTGGAGTGAAGCAGCAGCCATGGCGGAGACGAAGAGTTGACTCGGTGATGACTCAGTGAGTCAGACTTGCTTCGGTTTCTCCGAGTTGGGGGGGGGGGGATTTGAAACGGACTTTATCTTATTTGTGTGAGTCGTGAAGATTCCCCCACGTAGCTATGTTCCGCTATGGTTACGTTACAGTGTTTGAATTAAATCTAACGGTTGTGATTCATTGTTTGACTTAGATGATGAACGGCTACGATTAGAAACTCTGGAAAGTTTCGGTGTGATCGAGAAGTTCTTGTTGTTTTAAGCCAATAGAAGATTCTTCAGATTAGAGGATGAGAGTAGTGTGTCCACAAGTACATGTATACAGATTCTTCTCAATTATAATAATACTTATTTGTTGTCGAAATGCTACAAATATTTATAACCATAAGATATTGAATGATATAAAATCTTTAAGTCCATATATGTGATGAAGGTAGTATTAGCCATTTTCCAATTATTTTCTCAAACAATTTCTATATATATGATCTTCTTCATTTTTATTATTTATTTATATTTATATTTGACCGACTCTTTTAGCTTTATAAAATTTGAGTTGATTGTTGAAAATGGGGTTTTCATTTTGATCTTTTTCTAAGTTATTTGTTTTGATTATTTTGAAATGATAAATAATCAACAATGGTTTATATAGCGTGGATGTATGAACAATTAGCAGTCATTGATGTATCTCTTCCCTAACGAATTGATGCGTGCTGATGTATTTTCCTAACCAGACAACTTGAAGCTTGTATTTGGATCATTCTTAGACAATGTAAGAAATGTATTGACATCTCAGTCAATTATTTTTGATGCGGCGAGCCCAAGAATTTTTTGGACTGATATGGCAGATGAAGATGGGTTGGAGGAGAAAAAACACATGGAGAGTAGATTAGGTTCACAGGGAATTGATACGAATTCTTTCGTTGGAGATTCGATGAAGACTTCCGAGAAGCGTAAATTGTTTAGGAAAGAAAGAGAATGTTATCGGTTTATGAATGTGAAAAAAATGAAAGTGTTTTTTTTTTTTTTCGAAAAAATTAGACGAAGATCTGGTAATATTTTCAAAACACTTGAATAAGTAAATAAGAACCATATATTTATCCAAAAACAAAAGAAGAAGAAAATAACTAAACTTGATATAATATTAGTATTGTTTTTGGTGTAGCCATTTTTTTCAATACTTATAATGGTTTTAACTTGGAATTGACTTAGAACACTTCATAAAGTTTAGGGAATGTACCATGAACCCAAAATTCTAGAATGAATTGGAGGTAAATGATTGAGCCTAGATTTCTTTTTTTTTTATATGTCATTGAGCCTAGACTTTTAAATTTTAATATATAAACAAACGATAATGAGCTGTTAAAACAGTATACATAAATAATGATGTTACAATATCCCAGCGTCCGACCTTAGCTCAGTTGGTAGAGCGGAAGACTGTAGTCTGTGACAGCAAATCTTTAGGTCGCTGGTTCGATTCCGGCAGGTCGGATTTTTTTTACTTAAATTATTTGTACAATAAACAGAAAGATGACGTGTTTTAATTAAACAGAAGCATGGTGTTCATATCTTTTTAAAATTTGGCCTTATGAAAAAATAAAACGTAACCTTTCGCTTGGCCCAGTAAGGCCCAGCCCATCGTTATGTTTAATATTTAGCAAGTGTTTATTTTCGCAGCGATTTAACTGTTTAACCATATAGCAAATTAATAATCTATCATCTCAATTACAACATCTGACAGGTTTGATGCGATGATTTAAACAATAATGTAAACAATACCCATTACAAAATTATGTTCATTTAAAGCGTTAGAACGAAGAAGATTAACTAGTCCTAACTTTATACTCCCTCCGTTCCATAAAGATATTTTTTTTAGAAATAATATATAATGACAATTTTAACCTTTTAACATATTTTAAAAAGTATATTATTTATTGTTGTTTAATAAAGGTAAAATACAAAACTTCTATCTTTGTGGGACAAATTTTTTATCTAAAAAATTCATCTTTGTGGGATGGAGGGAGTAAGATATAAGAATTTAACCGAAATGTTTTTTGCCAATTCATTTTCAATCTTTTTGACCCAGGGGCAAATTATTTTCACATAAGATTAAGGTGACGATTATTTAATGCTAGAGAATTGTCAATAAACATGTTAAATCAAATTGTTGTAATAGTATAGTCATCGTTATTAATTGTTTGATTAGGTTCAATGTTTTATAAGTATTTGCTAAGTGATGATTTTTCTTTGAAAGCAACCATATTCATGTAAACAATATCGTCATTAATAATTTATGGACTTTTTTTATTTGTCTGCATATGATATATAGTCATAGTCATTTGTGGAAGATATGAGAATTAGAGGATGGGAAAGGTTTGAAATTTCAGTATTTTTCTAAATTAACTATTAGAAAAGCTGTTGCCAAAATTCAATGAATGATAGAAAGTTCTCAACTATAACGATGCAGATATATGTACAAGAAATTAATCAATCATAACAACGCCCATAATTAATACTTAAACTCATTAGCTTAGTGATGATATAATTTTTTCCTCTGGTTTTAAAATGATTCAAGTTTGGATTATAAAAACAAAACACGAGATAATGACCTACCCTTTTCAACATCTACATTGAATGTTTTAATACTATTCAACAATATAAAGTTTGCCATTACCTGCCGCTTGCCGTTTTATCACCGAAACTATATTGTACTATGAATTAATAAATGCAAATATTGTTGGTGAAATGAGAAAGAAAAACAAACGTAACTAATCATCAATAAGGCTTTCAATGAATGTTTCGGGTAGAGGCGTGGAATGGACTAAACTAAAGTACATTATAGCGGATCTGTTAGCACCAAATGTTCCTGTTTATCCGCATTATATTATATACTTCCTCCGTTTAACAAAGAGTGTCATTTTAAAGTTTTATTTTTGTTTCACAAAAAGTGTCGTTTTGTATTTTCAATGCAAAATTTTGAATAAATCTAATTTTAACCTTATTTCCTTAATGTATTAATAAGAGAGATAATTTTGTTTAGTGTATTGATAAGGGGTATAATAGAAATTTTAATAGTTTTCTTAATATGTGTGAAAAAGTTTAGAATGATACTCTTTGTGAAACAAAGAGAGTATGTAAATAATAGTAATTTTTTTGAATCTTTCAATTAATAAAACAATGTTGATAAAAAATAATTAATGGACAACAATTCGTCCCGAACTGTAAAATAAGGGTTGCCGTATTATTACGACTTGTACTATTTCCATTCTCACGATTTCGACCTATACTTTTCGACCCTTCATAAATAGACATAAACTATATTTATTCTTTACAAAACGACCTGAACTTTTTTTTCGGTCCAAATGTCTACACCTCCAATCGAAATAGATAATCCCGATTTTTAACCCGATTAAACCGTTAAGTCGCGATTACTGTTTCACGTTTGACCAGATCCGACTGTTTTTTCTTTGACTCTATAAACCCAGCTTAAAAACGACGTCGTTTGCTAAATATAAAAATCACTCAAAATCTGTTTTCCCCAAATTTCCCAAAACCCTAGCACCCAAATTCAATCGTCTATCGATTTTTCCCCAAATATGAAGAACCCTAGATGCAATTTAATTCTGTCCCCAAAACAAACAATTTCGTTTTTAAGCTGGGTTTATCGGGTCAAAGAAAAAACAGTCAGATCTAGTCAAACGTGAAACAGTAATTAATTGCGATTTAACGGTTTAATCGGGTTTAGAATCGGGATTATCTATTTTGATTGGAGGTGTAGACATTTGGACCGAAAAAAAGTTCATATCGTTTTGTAAAGAATAAATATAGTTTATGTCTATTTATGAAGGGTCGAAAAGTATAGGTCGAAATTGTGAGAATGGAAATAGTACAGGTCGTAATAATGCGACAACCCTAAAAATAATCAGTAGTTACTTTGTTTTCTAATTTTTTTTTCTTCCGCATCACTAAACACTAGAATTTATAAATAGTAAAACAAAAATAATAGTCTAATATTTTTTTTTAAAAAAAATTGAGAATGGAGGAGAGGTTTTCTCAGTCAGAACCCTTGTTTGAAAAATCGCTAGGCGCTAGTCGGGCGCTCGGCATGGACCTAGCGATTAATCGGAAAATCGGATTAAAATCGGGGATTAATCGGGGATTAGTTTTAGGGTTATTTTAATATTTTTAAAATATATTAATCCAATATTGTAAAAATTTATGATTTTTATTACAAATTTATGATTTTTATTAAAATTTGAACACAAGTTATTGTAAAACATCACAAACTCCCCATTCAAATGATTGAATAACAAAATTATAAGGTTTTTTTTTATACTTGCAATCTAAAAAATAATCGGGGTATATAAGATTAGGTGGAAAATAATCGGATTAGGCGGGAAGTAATCGGATTAAGCGGAGAATAATCGGGTTACTGATTTTTTAGGGGATTAGTCATTAATCGAGGCGGATAGGGTGGGCCTATCGATTAAGCGGAGAGTAATCGGGGGTAGGCGGGGATTTTTAGAACAGAGGTCAGAACCCATGTTTCTGATAAGAGGCAATGACAATGACAAACTCAACATCCAACTGTTTTATCCACGTGTCAAGCTACTCACACTTTCGTCATGACACAAAGCCTTTGCCACTAAGGAAATTCATTATGTCACATTAATACGGAGCTAGAGACTTTGTACCTACGTACCTCTTTTTTCTTTCTATGATTTTAATATATAAACTATTATTGTCACTGCTAAATTTTCAAACTTGTCAATTTACAAATATTTTGACGTTACAATGTAAAGTTTAAGTGTATTAAAAAGTAGAAAACAGAATTTTCTTTCGGTAATCACTGTATTAAAAAGTAGAAAACAGAATTTTCTTTCGGTAATCACTGTAAATGAATAATATACTACATAACACAACAATTAATGTTGGTAATATATTATCGCAAACTATATATGAGAATGCAAGTACTAATTTACATCTATATGTGTCCAGACTCCAATCTCTCAAAATTATTTACTTCCATTTATTTTCAAAACTCTCCCCTCACGACATTATTTACTTCCATTTATTTTCAAAACTCTCCCCTCACGACACGAGTGAATGATTTAAGCTTTAATTCATTCCTCGTCCATTTTATTATTTATAGCCACAAAATTCCAGAACTCATAAAACTGCAAACCCACACAGAGAACATTCTTCTCTGATAACAAACCTGGTCGTATCCAAAAGAGTTTTCATTTCTTCTCTGATTGGTCTACATATATATCGGAGTTTTCTTCTTAAAGAAGATATGGTTTGTTTCTGTTTCTTGGTTGATCAGACAAGGAAAGTGAAACGGAGCAAACCGGCGGCTGGAACTTGCTCACGGTGTGGCCATTGTGCGAGCATCGCCGACATGAAGACTTCGACAAGATTCTGTTTCATTCCTATTTATTGGAGATCTTGGAGAGCTGTTGTTTGCAGTTTCTGTGGCTCTGTTCTTAAGTCTTATCGTTGAATCAGATTTTCCAAATTTAATCACAACTCACTGTTTTTTTTTCTTTCTTTAATTTAAATGATGATCCTCCCTTAATTATAAGCAACACAGAGTTATATATATTATAGAATGATATGTGATATATATCATAGGGTTTGTTGAATCTTCTAGGATTCTATCTACCTGCAAGAGGATTTTCTTGTCATGTTGAATCTCTTGTAATTAAACGGAAACTATATGGTTTAGTGTGGTTTAGTGTTACTGTATATATAATATTAGTGTGTTGAAGATGTTATCTAATTTTTTTGACTAGTTTTTCTAAATCATTAGAATAAGTTGATTTTTTTTTTTTTTGTTATGAAATTGTTGGAGTATTCAAAGAAATGTTTACTTATTAGAACGGTTGACTAAAATTATTCAAAATACTCCTAAATCTATGTTTATAAAAAATGATGATAAACCTTTATTACAGTTCAACCACAGTAATTACAACAACCATCCATACTACTATTTAAGTATACGATTATGGATGGTATAATGCTTTAAATCCTACTACTTAAAAGCGTAAAATGATCCCAATTCAAATGTATTAACTTTAGCTCATCGAAGTCTAATTGGAAATATTATACCCGAAACTATATATATACCATTTTTTCCAAATTTTCTCATGTCAGATATACATAACATTTCCACTTTCTTCAAGTAAATTTTCCTTACCTTTCACAATTTAAAGTATTTTATTTTCAGTAGTAGTAAGAATTAACTTTTACGAAAATGGAACGAAAGAAGCCTAACACCCCATTCTAAGAATTCGCCTTTTCTTCGGATTAATTTGGTTGTCTCCACTTTCACGCTATACAACCTCTTTTATTTTCTTTCAAGCAAGATATAAATAAGACTTGTCTTAAATTTTGTTTAACAAAAAAAAAAAAAAAAATTGTTTAACAGAATTTTGTCACTTTTTTTTTCATGTCATTTTCTCAACATCAATAGGACGTGTAGATGGAATCTGACAATTGGAATTCTTAGATCCAACGTAATCTGATGAGTGAAGAGAACATCAATACCATGTGTAGTGTGTAGCGGCGTAATAAATATCGTACCAAGTTTTCCATCAGTGTATATATTACAAACACATGGACACGTTTCTTGTCTCAAACCTTCTGAAAGAAACATCTACGATAGATATTTACTAACCTTTTTTGAAGCTTATTGGTATAGAATCAAAGTTAGGCATACGTTAAGACAAACAAATATTAAAATCTAAGATTTTTTATAACGTGATTTATTGGGACAAAGACTATAGTCTTATATATTAATAAATGTGAGAACCTAAGGCCATTAATTTGATAGTTAAAAACTCTTTGAAATGGTCAATGATCAATAATAATGTTCAAAACATTTGAAGAGTTATAAAATCAATCCATTGAAATCGCAAAAAGCAAGAAAGTACTGTAACAGATCTTATCTTCTCACTACATTCCTCTATATCTCCAATGGCTAATAAGCTGTTGTATTGTGTAATTTTTTCTATGTTTTTGTTGCTTACAATGTTACGAGTTTGGCGAACAACCGCGATTGGACCGCATGGTTCGTATGACAAGTTTATATTGTCGATTCTATTTTGTATTAATTATCGTTTGTTAAGTATAGATAATGTCTGACACAATATTTCTTATGTTTTGCAACAGTTTATAATCGAAAAGAATTGATTGAAAGGCTTTTCGAATCTGGATTTGCTTGTCTTCGCGTGGGATTTCATGAAGATCAAAAGTACTTTAGGTCTTATTTTCTACAATAGCTAATCAGTACACATACTGATCAATGGTCATGTTCGTATTTAAATTTGATGAAGAAAATGTGTGTACACTGGCGTGACAATGATTTATTTCTTATGTTTTTGGTCACTGGCTTCCTTCAAATGAAGACAGCTATGTTCTTAAATATTAACGCATGGAAAAGGGCCTAGCCCATGGGTAACTCAAATTTACTAATTAAGAGAAACTTTTTCTTGTTGGAATTTTAAATTTAATTAACGAATTAAGAATTAAAAGAGAACTTTGAATATCATAATTTAATGATGATGTAAAGTATATGTTAGAAACCGTGATGATTAAGAAAAGATGGTGATAATTTTTTAAAAACTTACACGATATCAAGTAAGATATCCCTATGCGTAAAATCTTCATACATATTTTAGTGTTTAATTACAATTAGTCAGTCAATAAAAGAAATCAAATTTTCCTTCAAATAGCATTAATTTGCATATGAGTATTTTCACTTTATCAGGGTTGATTATACTATTATACATCCTAATTATTATTTTTGGGGTATTGGTGTCTTCCAAGTTTAACTTTCGGTTGGATCGATTGTATATTCATAAGGACATATTTGCCAGCTAATCTCGGATATTGGGAGGAAACAAGGCTTTTTTTTTCTTTAAATGATTTAGGTCTGAATTTCTAAATTAAGCTTTGGCCATCCAAAACAAAAGTTCCTTTTCATAGCTTGTTTCTTATCAATAAGACAATTACTATGGTTTAATAATTACTGTTATTATGATTACCATATTTCAAGAGTATTAATTAATCAGGTATCTATTTCAGAATTATTTTTTTGTTAATTTAATAACTGTCTTTGGAAGGTTATAAGGTTAATAACTCCAACTTAAATACTTCTTCCGTTTTTAATACTTGATGTTTAAGATTTTCGCTCACATTTAACTTTTATTTTTTTCTAAACTAAAAAATCATTTATTATCTATCTAAACACGATTCAACCAATAATAAACAATATGCAGAATATAAATCGTCAAAACTAATAAAAAAAAAATTGCATTTGAAAACATCATCTAGTTTTTAACAAACTTTTTTTTTTCTTTTCTAAAACAAAAAGTTATAAAAAAATGGATGGAGTAGTATTTTAAAATATTATCAAACTGAATCATTCTTTTTTTCTTATGATCTCTGTATTTCATTATCATCACACATGTAAATATCGAATTTTATAGTTGTCTTGATGATTTCGAACCAGATATATATTATGTTGATTCTGATTACATTTATGTACATAAATATATTCCAAGTTGCCTGTTATTTATTTTATCAGAATTAGTAGATGAGCCAAACTAAAATATTCGTATCAAAGTTCATGCGGTTTCATCATTTAGCTACGCGATATGTAGAAATTAGGAACATTCTTATTTCTTGTAATCTTATTTTTATTTGGTCGTGCTTCTCTCTTGAATCACGTTTTGGCAGATGCGTATTACTAAATTATCTGAGATTAAATATGTACACTATATAGAAGAATTAATGGGACATAAATCATAAATACATGGAACATTGGGGGAAAGAAACTTAACACTTGGGACGACCAATGTTGTATGATATGAAGTGGAATTAACGCGTCTGCCTAATGGTTATGGTTCATATTATGTCACATAGACCAACTTGACGTTCTTCATCATTAAAGAAGCCAACTCACACGTTTAAAAAAAAAAAAAAAAAAAAAAAATCTAACTGCATATCATATTGCAAATGCCAAATTTGAATATGATGCAAAAGATTGTTTATAGCAGACTAAATAACCCGATTACTCATATCTAGTCAGATTATTTGTGTTTGTATTTTATAACTAACTTAGGTCACTAAGCAACGAAAATGCATGTAGTCATTCAATCACACAATTCAGCCGTAATTTTTGGTAGTATGAATTTTTTCATATTCTTATGTTCGTAAATGAATTGTGAGTTAAGCATCAAAATAATAGCCACAAATAAAGAAAAAGACAAAAAATATATATATATATATATATATATATATATATATATATATATATATATAGTGATAGATGTGTCCTATTGATTGCATGTTAATTATTTCCCCACTCAACTTCCTTCGAATTCCAATCCTTTATGTCCTCACATTATGTTTTTTTTTTTTTTTTTTTCCATTGATTTTGAAATCTACATTATGTGATTCGTGATGTACTTGTATGTACAATTTTGTATTCTTGAAGAGCAACTTTTATCAAGTACCAAATAAAAATGTGAACAAGAATAGGCTAAAAAATAACATTAATATCCTTACTTAGGATACATAATTGTAAATTATTAAGGAAAACACATGGAATGTTTAGGAAAATGGCCAATGATAAATCTTATAAGAAACCTAACAAATATATATTAACACCGGTAAGATTTGTTCCCTTAACTCAAGATCTTATATTAACAAAAATGAAAAACGGACCCAACTTATGTCTATCATGTGACCGACCAACACATCCTCAGTTGACCTGTCTTTGGTCTAACCCTGTCTTCCTCCACAAAGCTAATAGAAATAATTATGAATATTATTCTATTCCATATGTCAGTATATTATTGGATCTTGTGGAGCAACTTGACAACATATAAAAGCACAAGGCATCAGCACAATACTATCATTCCAACAATAGAAGTGCTTGAGAGGAGAAAAGTAACAAAACTTCATATAGCCAAAGGCAAACAAAAAAAAAGAAGAGAAAGAAATAAATGGCAAAGTGTCAAATATTATGGAATAAAATATATTATTGAGTTGTATCAAATATGAAAATACAAGATACATATATATAATGTCAACATTAACATAATACTAACACCCATATAATGTAAACTTTCCTAAACACATAAGTATATAGCTTGTACAAGAGGTAATATAGACATCTATAATATTCTTTGATTTGGGCTTCACTCCATAATGGACTTTAACGATCCATATTACTTGGTCCGCAAGATACACATCTTGCATATCTCCAATACAAAGGAAGGTCTAGGACTTGAGATCACAGAGCTTCGATTGGGTCTTCCAGGAGATAATTATAGCGAAATCTCAATTTGGGGATCGAAGAATAAGAAGAGGGTGCTCTCGGATATGATGACATCGTCATCGTTAAATACTGAGAATGAAAACGGCGTCGTTTCATCGGCTGAGGATGAATCTTTACCGGTGGTGAAGAGTCAGGCGGTGGGGTGGCCACCTGTGTGTTCTTATAGGAGACAGAAGAACAATGAGGAAGCATCGAAAGCGATAGGGTACGTGAAAGTGAGCATGGATGGTGTGCCATACTTGAGGAAGATTGACCTTGGTTCGAGCAACGGTTATAATAATCTAGCCACGGTTCTTGAGAATCTCTTCGGCTGTCTTGGCCTAGGTTAGTGATGGCATTGACTTTCCCGTAACGTTAGTTTGTAGTTACATGACATGTTTATATTTGAGCTATAAACTGTATATAAACGTATGATTAGGGTTTCTAAATATATTGGAGGTGTGAAGAGACTAACACACATACATTAGTTTGGAAATTTATGAAAGATAACACGTATATATAAAATATGCAGGAGTAGCGAAGGAGGGTAAGAAATGCGAATACATTATTATATACGAAGACAAGGATAGAGACTGGATGCTCGTTGGAGATGTACCTTGGCAGTAAGTTTATGTTCAGCTTGCGTTATAATGATCAATTATCAAATTTACCAAAATGAAAATAATCAACATTTTACAAGTCACAAATTTTTATTTTTAAAAATTGGAAGTTTTTTTTTTTTGTTGGCAGGATGTTCAAAGAATCATGCAAGAGGCTTAGGATCGTGAAGAGATCAGATGCGACTGGTTTTGGCCTGCAGCGAGATTAATTATACTAGTGATATATATGATCATCTTAGTTAACCACAAACTTTGAAACCGTTGAGTAAAATATTTTTTATCATAGTAATTTTTCAAATTGTAAAATTTCATGACAGTGGATAATATAATACGTTTTCTTCGAAATTATATGTTTTTATGGCTAGTCGGTTAATGGCTACCAAAGGTGTTTCTTAGCCTCACACATACTTTGCCTTACTTACCTAGTTATTATTGTAACTTTATAAATCCTCCGGTAAATCATCTTTTTATCACCGATCCAAAAATAGTAGAAACGTATGAATCTTCATAGATTAACGGCGCTAAAATAGTGGAAACCTAATGAATCTTCCCGGCTAATTTAAGAAAGAATGAAAAATGTTAAATATTTGTTTTTTTTTTAATCACAAAGAGCGAAATCAAAGCCTTGGCTTATTCCTATATCATATCATATGTAGTTTCGGGTGAAGATTCTAACCACTTTGTCGGTCCAAATAAATGTTGCCATATCTTCGTATTAAATGATCATATCAATTGCAGGTAGCAGATTTGAAGTTTATATATATATACTACATCCAGTTAATCCCCCAACCCCTAAAGTTATCAAGACACTCACACAAAAAAATGAAGGCACCGTCACAACAAGACATGACTTACTATGGCAATGTCAAGAAACAGCAAGACGAACAAGGCTGCTTATACGCAACGTCCGTACCAATATATAATCTCTTCTCTTTTCATTTTGTATCGTAGATTTTTTTTTTAATCGAATTCGCAGTTCTTGATTATTATATGTCGATATTTGATGATCTTTTAATCTGTTGTAGGTTTTACGGGTTGTTCTGTTGCTGTTGCTGCTACGAGAAGTGCAAGTGTTGTTGTTGCGTTTGATTTCTATGTATCATCATCTCAAAATTATTCTCATTATGTGTCCCTCGCATCGCATTTGCTCTTTTAGATCTTGCGAATAAAATGTATATTTGTGCTCAAGAACTCAAAAGTCTCGTGATAAGATTGAATATTAATGAACTACACATGATAAAAAAAAGAAAAAGAACTAAAGTCTAAACCAATATTAGACCCCGGTCAGACTGTCAAATTAGAACTTGAAAGAACCATTCTTGGATAATGTTGTTTACATATATGATATGAAGCGGTTCAGTACAAATTTTTCGTACCAGTTAAATTTACCGTATTATAGAACTAATTCTATACTTAGATCCTCTATTAAATTACAAATAAAATTTCAAGTATGTTTCGCCTAAATTTTGAACCGAATCCAAATAATATCTAACAGAAGTTTATCAAACCGAACCAAATTACAAATCCCTAGTTTTTATCTGTAGTTTCAGTTTTATAAAACAACCGTTCCAAAATCAAGTGTTGATGAATTTTGGCTTACAAATATTAAAATACAATAGAATTGGTTTAGAGTTTTGGAAAAACTACAAAATCTACCACTTATTCCCAATTTCTTTCAAAAGCTACCACATTTCTTCCTTTCTTTCAATTCATACCACATTTTGATGTAGAGTTACCATTTTGCCCTCTCTTTTTATCTTCCTTTTTATCTTTCCTCCCTAATTATTTCTCCTCCCTATTTATCTCTCCTCCCTATTTATCTTTCCTACAACATTAGCTTCTCTATTTATCTCTCTCTCACTGGAAACACGTGCACTTTAACCAAGAAACATTATATCTCCTGAGACTAAACAATTAACTTTCGTTTTTGTCTCCAGATCTTGTCTCCGATTGGAAATTCTCTATTGCGTCTAGATCTTATCCCCGATTTTATCATCTTGCTCTATTATCATGAATTCCACATCTTGTCCACCAATTGTTCTCATTTAAGGGTTTCAAATTTTATTTAGATTTTTCACCATCTATTTTGGTCAACAGATTAGTTGAGCATTATTGTCTTCACCTACCCTGATTATTGAATTTTTTTTCCTTCTATTGCAAAATAACAAAAAGATCCAGTTGTCCCCGAGTACTATTACTCATTCTATTACTCATTCGATATGAACTTGTCCCCGGTCTAATTCTATTACTCATTCGATCTGAACTTGTTCCCGATCTAATTCTATTACTCATTCGGTCTGAACTTGTCCTCGATCTATATCTATTACCCATTCGATCTGAATTTGTCCCCGATCTAATTCTCTTACTCATTCGATCTGAACTTGTCCCCGATATAACATATTCGATCTGATTCTCTTACTCATTCAATCTGAACTTGTCTCCGATCTAATTCTATTACCCATTCCATCTGAATTCGATATGAACTTGTCGCCGATCTAATTCTATTACTCATTCGATATGAACTTGTCCCCGATATAATTCTATTACCCATTCGATCTGAACTTGTCCTCGATCTAATTATATCACCCATTCGATCTGAATTTGTCCATGATCTAATTATATTACTCATTAGATCTGAATTTGTCCCTGATATAACATATTATTTAAATAACCGTGCAGCATTTATTGCAGACCTGCTCCTTCTTTGGAAGCGCCAGACAAAACTGTCTCTGTCTCTGACACAGACTCTGTCCCAATCAGGGGTATTTTGGTCCAGCATTCCACATGTGCTATTGAAATATGGTAGATTTTGAAAGCTTTTTGAGATTGTGGTAGATTTTGAATGCCAGTTGTTAAAATGTGGTAGATTTTGCAATATTCCCTAGATTTTTTCAATTAATTTAGTTTTCTTTTCGAATTTTTATTTAAAATAAAAAGGAAAAATTACCAAAGTCAAAGGTCAGCAACAAGTCCTAAACATAGTTTGTCGTCGATTTGATCCAATTATTGTCAGTTCATCAAATTTCAATCCAACAAAATCCCAAATTTCGAAATCAAGAACCCTAAAATCATCGTAATCATCGTGGGTTCTCAATCTTGGAGTCTCTTACAAATGTCGTCAGTAGGAACATCAAAGGGGATTCTTGAAATCGCCAAATTCGGTGTATACGTCGCAGTTCCAATCGTCTTAATGTATACATTCGCCAACAACAGCACCAACATCAAGAAATTCATGGGCAATCATTCATACGTTGTTTATCCTAAAGAAGCTCCTCGTCCTCCTTCGCCTGAAGAGCTACGAGAGATGGCTAAAGAAATTGCTCGCAACAAGAACATCCCTTCAAATTGATTCTACTTGTATTAGTATATTGCAAAAAAGGTAACTTTTTGTTTTTGATTTATTGAAAGATCATATCGAAAGTCACACACTTTGGTCGAAATTTTCATACTTTTGGTGAAATTCTTCTTATTGATGTAAAAGGGTACTTATAAATTGAGAATTTGAGCAAATGAGAGAGAAGATTGAGGTCTTTGTCCAGCTTCTGTGTAGTAGAATTGGTGAAATTTTTTTACTTTTGGTGAGATTCTTCTTATTGATGTAAAAGGGTACTTATAAATTGTTGAGAAGTGGGTAAATGAGAAAGTTTCTGTTGTTTTTAGATTCCACAGTAAGTTTTGAGAGCAGATTGAGGTCTTTGTCCAGCTTCTGTGTAGTAGAATTGGTGAAACTTTCTTACTTTTGGTGAGATTCTTCTTATTGATGTGAAATGGTACTTCGAAATTATTGAGAATTTGAGCAAAGGAGAAAGCTTTTGTTGTTTTAGATTCCACAGTACGTTCTGAGAGCAGATTGAGATCTTTGTCCAGCTTCTGTGTAGTAGAATTGAAGGAATTCGACATGGTCAAAGGGCTTGAACAGTCGAGGATGCTCTTCGTCCACGAGCTCCTCTGGCGAACTCACGATGTGTCCTGCTTTTGGAATCGAGAATAATCCGAGTGAGTATCTCGTCTCTGTTCCTGTCATCATGACACGGTGATAAGGAGAGTGTAATCGTCCATTCAGCAATGCCTGTGACATCAAAACATTTGGGTTGATTTTGTATTCAAGCATTGATTCTGTTTTTGAAGGAAGTTAAAATAAGGGCTTACATAGAGGGAATCTCCGATCATGACAATGAAAGAGTCTTGTGTTGGCTTCACTTTGATCCAGTTCTTGTCTTTGGTCTGCACCTCTAGACCCTCGACATGGTTCTGGTAAAGTATTGTGACGATGTTTTTATCAGTATGAGCGTTTAGTCCCAATTTGCTCTCCTCTGTATCAGGTTCTTTGTACTTCATCACCCGCAGGAGGTAATTCGTCGAGTGAAGATGTTCATCGATGTATTTATCGAGTCGGAAGCTCTCCATGATCATTCTTCTGATAGTTATGTCTAGCTCTGATAACTTCTTAGAAAACGACTGGATCGTTGTGCTGGTAGTAACAGAATGTTTGATCAATATATGTCAAACTAACTGAAATAATGAGAGAAAGTTTACTGACCTGAAACTGTTGTTGCCTTGAGGCCATAGCTTTACAGTGAAGGCGTCTACTTTCGCTGCAACTTCAGAATCATCAATTCCCATGCTCTCGTACAGTGGCACCATTGGGTACTGACCAACGTATCCATGGAACGGTTTCTTGGACACGTTTCTCAGTTTGGTCTGCAAGGGTAAGTCGAAAAGCTCTTCTAAGGCCCCGAAAACCGATTTTCGTAGCTCAATAGGGATTCTATTGAAAGAGGCCTCGAAACAGCCATAGTCTTGTAGAGCTTTCTGTACATCATCTCTGGTTAAGTCCCATTCGGGCTCTCCAGGTTGCAGGTTTTTGTTTGAGAAATCGATGACCGGAAGACGAAGAGGAAGAAGAGGAGTTTCGGAACCCATTTACTGAGACAAAGAAGGAGAGCTGAATATGAGGATACTAAACTGAAATTTTGAGACGCTATTTATACATGTGATGATATCAGCCTCAAGGAATCTACATCCCAATGATCCCAATGATTCTCAGCACAAGATGACAAATTCCTCTCTAAAGCTTAAAATCATTATTTATTGTTAAACATTAAAAGTTACGTAACGCAATTAAAATCACAAACGTAAAACATGCTCGAACACGTGTATGGTATATGCCACAAAAACATACACACAGACACAGTTTGATTACATCGCAAGTATGCTGTATGCCACAATATAATTAGAACATTTTGTCTTGATAGTCTCTATTGGGGCATTATATGAGTTAGGGATAACGGCCTATAACTTCATCAACTATATCTGATGGAATCCTAACAGAGTTTTGAAATCTTTCGATGGCAACACAAAGAAATATAATTGGTCCAAGTCTCCAAGACATTAGGATCAATGATTTGCTAGTTAGATACCACTCATTATATGCTTTTAGTTAACTCCATCCCATAGGTATCTGAAATTTACTATACATGATTATGAAAGTTCATCAAAAACCTAGCTAGTAGCTATCAACGGATGACTGTTTTACTCTAATACCATAAAGGTTCATAGTTTTTTTATTTTTGTCAAAATCAACTTCAAGTGAAGCATGCAAAATTTATAGTTTTTTCTTTACTCTAATAACATATAAAGGTTCATATGTTGCTTATATGATTATCTATTGACATTACAAGTATAGTGTTAGGATTGAGAACAGAGCAAGAACAGACCCTGAAACTCATGTTTCCTTGGGGTCAAAGTTTCTGAGTAAAGGCACTGAATTTATCAGCTAAATCAACTCCCTCATACAGATGGTTTGTCCAGCTTTTGATTTAGACTCATGAAGTCAATGACTCGGAGCTAAAGAGCAGGAGCTATTTCCTTTGTGTGTTCTTTTGAAGACCATCTATAGTAAACTTCTTTATTTTCTCACAACACTTTGTTTTGATTTATAGTACTCCGAGATTACATCACATACACACACACAAAAGAAGAGCTAAAAACATCAAGAAGAACACAAATCAAGAAATAGAACTTTGTTATTTTGAATGTTGATAGGTTTCATTTCATGGAAACAACTCATATTATTTCTTCTTATTTTGGGTACATACATTTTTTTTTTCTTTCTTCCTCAGAGACCACAATAAGTCCTGAGAGCCTTTGAATCTCTCCTTCCAGATTCCTCAGTGGTGAATTGAAAGTATGCTTCAAAATCTAAGGGCTTAAAGAGACGAGGATGCTCGACGTCAACCACCTTCTCTGGTGCATATATCAATTCCTCTGTTTTCGGAACAGAGAAAAGTCCAGCCGAGTACCTTGTGTTTGTTCCCATCCTCATCACACGGTGAACCGAAGATAACACCCGACCGTTCAGTAGTACCTGAAAACATTGAAAACATTAAAAACGTTCTGAAGGTATGTCATAGACACTAGAGAAGCTGTCTTTATAGCCTGAGCTAAACTTACATGTAGCATAGATCCGGCAAGAACTATGAATGAAGAATCTTGGGAAGCATTGGCTTTGATCCAATGCTTATCGTCTTTTGTTTTCACTTCGATTCCGTCTGCTACACTGTTTTGGCAAATTATGGTGAGCATGTTTCTATCTGTATGAGCCTCCATGCCTGACTCCTCCTCCTTTGTGTCTTCAACTCCTTTGTATTTCATCATGCGCATGAGATATTTTGTCGAATTCAGATGTTCGTGTATGTACTTGTCATCGAGCCCGAAAGTTTCCATTATCATTCTCCGGGTAATGAAGTCCAGTTCCGATACCTGCTCGGTGAATGATAGAACCGTCTCACTACAAAAACAAAGAAATATTTTAGAGTTGGATTTGTTCAATACTAAAAAAAATAAAGTTAAAGATCTTAAACCTGAAACTGCTGTTTCCTTTAGGCCAAAGCTTCTGCGTAAAGGCAGTGACTTTCTCTGAATTGTCTGCAAATTCAATGCCCACACCCTCGTAAAGAGGATTTGTTGGGCTATGACCCACATATCCTTTGTACTTAATCTCTGAAACAACTCTCTCTTTTGTCTCTATAGGTAGTCGGAAAAGCTCTTCGGAAACATCAAAAACCGCCTTTCGAAGTTTGACAGGGAGTTTATCGAACAAGGCCTCAAAGCATCCAAAATCTTCTAGAGCTCTTCGAACATTGCCTCTCACCAAATCCCACTCAGATGTTCCCGGTTTTAGGTCTTGACTCGTGAAGTCAATGACCGGGAGCTGAAGAGTAAGAGTGGTTTCCAAACTCATTATTGTTGTTGTCTCTCAAAACCTGTGATCTTTGTGTTCATATATAAGCTTTTGAAGGCTACTAGGGATGGACATTAAGCATTATTAAATTTCAAAGTCCTATTGTATATTTATTTTGCTAGAAACACTTAATTATGTAACTAATAATACAGAAAGACCATAATTTGGCAGTCTTATTATAGATTTGTTATGTTTGTAATATAGAACGACCATTAATTGCATGCGTCATGTTTTTGTAATATATATATATATGCCAAAAACTTTTTTATAGGTCTTAAATAATTATAATGGTATTATAAGTTAAGAGAGAGAAAGATATATATATATATATATATATATAGATATATTGATCGGTGGAGAGTGAGATATGAAGATGCTTTTTACCTTTTCTTAAACTGATACCCATTCATGTTCTGACACGTGGCAGTAAAAACTGCCTTACAACTGATCTTGCTCAAGACCACTCTTCCCCTTGTTCCTCTACTGTTTGAGTTTTTTCTATTTTTTTATACCCAAGAACAGCCATATGGACATCATATAGCAGCAGTTTTTTCTATTTTTTTATACCCAAGAACAGGGTAAAAGATGCTGCGTTACATATGGTCTCACAAGTATACCACAATGTAATTTGAATCTTTTGCTTTAAGAGCCAAGTTGGTCTGGTGGCATAGAAGTTATTAAAACCCACGAACAACACAAAAGAGAGAGAGAGTAGAAACAAATCAGATAGCAATCAGACCCATACAACAGTTTACTTTGTGTCCAATACATTGGGATCAATTATCTGCTCTTTCAGTACAACAATAAGCTTTGAGATAACTTCACAAGTTCACATGCCATCACATAAAATTTTTTGGAATCCACTGTTCTAAATTACGGAAGTTTCATCGATTGAATAACCAATTTGGCTACAAATAGATGACTTTTTCGACCAAATCCAACATGTGAGTCATACAAATAGATGAATTTCTCACTGTTCTGTTTCCCAAAGATTCAATAACGTAACAAATCGATCATCCCAAATTCTTGTCTTTTGAAAGTAGAGATCTCAAATTCTTAACTTATTACATATAAAAAAAAGTCTCCTGGAACATACATTCTTAAACAAAGTCTTCCACTAGTAGCATACTGTTCTCTAGATAGATATATTAAGAAGATAAAACTGTCTTCTTGCTTAATTGATGGATAGGCGTGGGACACAAAAGTCAAGAAGCAGAAGTGTTGGCCCTACGTCCGGCTCTATGGCTATGCCCTGATTGTAGTGGACAAACATCCTGCTCAAAGCCACTTTGAGAAATCTAAACTTCTTGTACCACACCTTCACTGTTGCCATGGGCTTTCCTTGAAACTTCTCCGTTCCAACTATGATCCCATCTCTAAGTCCAACATAGCTCCCTGGCTCACCTGACGGGCCACAGTAAATCGCCTACCACACAAAACAAATATTATAGATCAACTGCCTCTCTCATTTTATATTGAATTTTAACTAACAGCAATATATAGCACTTACGTCTTGTTGAAGTTCAATGTGTGGTGTGAACACATGCAGTTTTGCTCCCACCGGTTGATGCACCAACAACTCACGTACTTCCTCCATATCCTTAGGCTCAATCACTTTCCCTTTCATGGAAACGAGAGCAGGTTTATACGATGGTGGGGGCTTTGACTCAGATCCCAAGGGTATCCAATCTTCTGCTTTTGGTATGCCGCCTTTCTTTAAGGCAAAGGTAAGACAGTCTTTCACAGTGAGCTTGCGATTGTTTGAGCCACCAGCTTTGTCCACCAAATACGGAGCTGAGTACTCATTGTGGACACTATCCAGCTTAAGTGCAAGCCGTGCAGAGCTTATCAGATTAACCGCTACGATAGCAGCAGAAGCAGATTCATCTGCAAAGACAAACACACAAAATGAATCAAATCTGAAACACACAAAATCAACTGTGATAATCCAGGCTAAAACTAAAGCAATGTGGCAAAGCAATTGATTCAGCACAACATCCTAATTGTACAGCCACAATTTGGCTGATAGATTGATCAAATGACTCAAATCTCACTGTTAACATAAAAGAGAAGCTTTGAAATCATGATAAAACGTACAAAGACAACACACGTTAAGGGTCTAACACACATGCTATCAATATCGGAGAGAATCTAAAACCTATCTTAGCAAACAAGTATCAGAGCCAACAAGAACAAAACTTAAGACATTGGTGTAAGAATATGATCAGAATCTACTGTGGCAAACCAATGATTCAACACAACATCCTAATTCAACAGCCACAATATTCACCATTCCCATCTTACAAGGGATTAGATCAAAATGTAATTTTTTTTAAAACCAGAGTAGCTAGGTACTATTTGTGAGTATATACTAGAGTGACAAGTTTACCGTGCTCTTGGTCAAAGTCGATGTCTGCGCGTCCGACGATTGTGGATGCCATTGTGAAATTGGGATCATAGGGAGGGAGTGCCATCTACAATTACTTAACCCTGAAAATTTGCAAGGTTCAATAAAAATACATTATGAATGTGAAGAAAAAATGGAAAGAACATTATTACAAAGGAATCATCAAAGTGAAGAGATTTTCACACAGTTTATTGTTCATTTTAGGCATTAATGAAAGAAAGGAAAAACAAGAAAGTTTTGGAGACCTTTGTTTCCAAAATAAAATCAAAGAAATAGCAAAAAGAAGACATTTTTATCAATGACAAAATAGCAGATGGATGAGTTTGTGGCTAAACAGAACCAAAGTAATAGCTTCTTTCTCAAAGAATCAATGACCAAACTAAAGGAGGATTAAACGCTATTACATAACTAAAAGCTCCTCATTGTTCACTAATCACACTGAAAAAGGCAAAGCACAAGCAAGCAAAATCCGTAACAAACCCTAATACGTTATTAAAAAGGTCCTCATTGTTCACTTATCACACTGAAATAGCAAAAAGATGACATTTTTATCAATGACAGAAAAACAGAGAGAGAAGTTTGTGACTAAACCGAACAAAGTGATAGCTTCTTTACCAAAGAATAACCAAACTAAAGGAGGATTAAACGCTAAAACCTAAATAAAAGCTCTTCATTGTTCACTGAAAAAGTAAAAATCTGTAACAAACCCTAACACGTTACTAAAAGCTCCACATTTTTCACTAATCACACTGAAAAAGGCAAATGCACAAGCAAAAACTGTAACAAACCTAAGCAAGCTAAACAAATCCCAAACACTTAGAAAAAAAAACCCTAAAAAGTAACACTAATCTCACGTATAAAGGGAAACTCACAAGCAGAGTAGTAAACCAAAGGAACCTAATAAAGGAAGCCAAATGATTTAGTATTTTTAGACAAGAGAATGGGGTAACTCGAAAAACCCTAGACAGGACAGATGTCATCATCCGGTGTCATCAAAGCATATCAAAGGCTGCGAGAATCTCCGTACAAGCTTTCAATTTCATCACCTCTGCTCTGTGTTTTTTGTTTCTTGTCCTTTTCCAACATTGGAGATGAGATGACCGTTGTTGTGCTTTAGACGACGTCGTTTAATTATTGGGCTTCATCTTTGTGTGGCCCAACTTTCTATTTTCTTCATTAGACCCATTTTGTCAAACACAGTCGTTTTTGACTCTCTCTGATTGAGGAACTGTGTGTCCAGAGCCGTGCCTCTTCAATGAAATAAGAAACCTTTGCCTACGGCATCAAATTTTACACAAAATGTAGGAAGCAATATTTGGTAATGGTTGAATATTAAAGTAATAAACTTTATAGAGATTTTCATAAGTAAGGTATAAAGGAAAGCCGTAGAACGAGCAAAGACATAAGATCCCTAAAATACAAGGAGTAATTATTGACTATCTAAATGACTTTAATAGCTCTATACAATATTTAGAAATTGTTAACTACGGTAAATTGTTTTGTTTTGATTCTCTTTACCTAATTGATTCTTTTTTTTTTTTTCCTAACACATTTACCGATTTCTTCATTAACTATTTTAATCTAATTTATATTCATTTATACTTATTTTCAATATTGATATATTAAATTTCATAATTTTTAATTATTCACAATTTTTTTTTGTTTTGTCTTGTCAACAACAACATGCATTATTCATTGTATCATGTTTGAACTCGAGTGATAACCCATCCACAACACTAGCAATTAATACTAATACACATAATTAGACTATATGTCTTGATTAATCACAAAACAGTTTCTATTTTTTTGTTATCATTATGCAGACAAACTATTTTGTAAACTCTTGCTTAAAAATTTTAATTTTTAAACATTCAACTATATTCTTAGATTATATTAACTAAAAATTATTTAAACATTAACTATATGTTTTTGTTTCGCCTATCGCATAAAGAATCCTTGGCACGGCTCTGTGTGTGTCGATCGGTTTGGATGATTCACATCTCGCAAACCAAAAACCGCCGTTTGAAGTTAGACAGGGAGTTTATCGAACATTGCCTCAAAGCATCCATAATCTTCTAGAGCTCTTCGAACATTGGCTCTCACCAAATCTCACTCAGAAGTTCCCGGTTTTAGGTCTTGACTCGTGAAGTCAATGACCGGGAGCTGAAGTGTAAGAGTGGTTTCCAAACTCATTATTGTTGTTGTCTCTCAAAACCTGTGATCTTTGTGTTCATATATAAGCTTTTCAAGGCTACTAGGGATGGATATTAAGCATTATCAAATAGCAAATATGTTGAGATTGAGTTCTTGATTAAACCTGCAACAAAGGAGAAAGCTTTAGTGAGAAGAAGAAGAAGAACAGAGCAAAGAGAAGAAGCTAGCGAAGAAGAGAAGTTGTCGTGAAAGAGGTCAACGACAACAATAGAACAAGTCAACAAGGTAGAAGAAGTTGGACTTGTTGTTTTGTAATAATAAAAGGGATTGGGCTAATTGTTTAGTTAGGCCCAAACATGTGTTAGTGTTGTTGTTAGCTTGTCCAACTAATAGTTGTTGGAGTTTGCTTATGATTTTAGCTAGAGTAGAGTGGAGTTGTTGTTGTGTAAGGTTTAGTAGTTCTTTGCTTGTAAGCTTGGTTCTAGTCTTAGGGTAATGATGACTAGAAGTATGGTCTCGAGTCTAAGTGAGTGTAATGTAGCAAGTGGAGAAAAAACCACTATATGTATGTGTGTGTGTCTTGTAAGAAAAGTATCTAAGCAATTATCAATGTAGAAGATTAAAGTAAATGTGTTCTTGTTTTCTCTCTAGAACAAGTGAACACAAATGAGAAAGAAAGAGTAAAATATAGAGAGATCGTGAGAAAGGTGAGGCCGAGAGGGAGAAGATGTCAGTCTAAGACAGAGACTGAAGAAAAGAAGAAGGGTGTAAGACACAGCACAAAAGGCTGTAAGAAGAGGAAGAGATGATGCAGCCCGAGATGCTGCTGAAGGAGAAAAAAAAAAGAAAGAAGAGAAAAGGAGAGCAAAACCAGAGAGACTATGTCGGAGAAGAAGAGAAGGAAAGAGATGTGGTGACAAGGGCACCACCAACCTACACAAACTATTTCACACCGTACCTTAGAGAAGGAGGGCTTCAGGTGCATCCAAGGAGACAAGGAGATCTTCTGGAAGAAGCAATGAAGACAACGGTGTGGAGATGGTGTTGTGAAAGGTGATGAATTCAATCCTTCTTCGATATTGTATTGGTGAAGCTTGAAGATGCTTGTTGAGGCTGAGAATCCGAAGGGGTTCCTAAGCTGAAACGAGAAGGAGAAAGAGAAGCCAAGGTTAGAATGACCAAAGTGGAGGTGAAGGATCAAACAAACCAAGTCCGAGAAAGCGGAGGTTGATGATTCAAGAGCCTAACATGCTAAGGTTAGAGAAAAAACCGAGGTGCAGATTTGAGGAACCAAACGACCAATGCTAAAGCTAAGGTGATGACTTGAGGAGAAGCCAACCATACTACGGTAGTGAAAGCCGAGGTGGTGGTTCAAGTCAGAGAAAAAGTGTCCTAAAGCTAAAGCCAAAGGTGATGGTTCTGAGAATCGAAAAAAAAAAAAAAAAAAAAAGGAGAAGAAAGAGGCTGGTGATCACAGTGACACCAAGCAAGAGAGAAAAGATGCTCACCTAAAGAGAAAGGGAGCAGCCGGTTGCAATGTCAGCCGAGCAAGAGACGTGACGGAGCTCACGGTAAAGGAAATCAGAGGAAGAGAGCGAAGAAAATCTGTCAAAAAGATGACAAAAAAATTCGCAAAGTAAAGAAACTGGATCCATGGGGATCCAGCTTAAGAGGGATAAGAAGAGCCAACTTACCAAAGTGGTGGTTGAAGACGGCGGCAGAGACTTTCATCGTGACGGTGACTGGTGATCGATGAGAGTTGTGACCTCTAGCTGTCGTTGGAGAAGCTTTGCACCACGATAGAGAAAGAAGCTCGAATAAAAGGAATAGAAGCAAGAAGGAGATGCTCGCCGAAGAAGAGAAGAGAGGCGATCTATCGAAGAAGAAGAAGAAGGAGACCAATGCTAGCCCTATTATACCGGAAACTGAAACAGTTACGACTATAATAGACTGTGCTACTGAGGAGAAAAAAAACAAGGCGGTAGCTGTAGAGAAGATTGTGGAGGAGACTGAAGGGTGGGTCACTCCAAAGTCGGGAGGAAGAAGCAGCCCGGGAAAGAAAAAGGATGGATTACGATTTGGGGAAGTCTCTCTCCTAACCAATACATACTCTGTTTTGGATCTGGAAGGAGAAGAAACAGAGATAGACAAAACAGAGGACCTTGTGGGAAAGAATTCTGTGACTAATCCCATAACTTCAGCGAATATAGTCAATGTGTCTACTCAAAAACAAGGTGCAGCTGCAAAGAGTCGTTCTCAAAAGGAGGGATCTTTGCGACCATCTTTGCCGAGGGAATCGAAAACAGCCCATAAAACACTATCTCACCTTCAAGCTCCATCGACTAGAGACTCCTCTAGAGATCAGAGTAAGAGGATTCCCCCCAAGCACTCTTAAATGTCGGGTTTCTTATGGAATGTTCGTGGCCTCAACAAAACTTCAAAACATTCCGTAATAAAAAAGTGGGTTGATGGTAATAATTTTCAGTTTGGTTGCTTGTTGGAAACGAGAGTTAGGGAGGGGAAGGCGCAGAGGTTGGGGCACCATTTATTTCGAGACTGGTCCATTTTAACAAACTATGAGTATAATGCAAGAGGTCGCATATGGGTATTATGGCAGCATAATGTGAGACTAAGTCCTTTTTATAAGAGTGATCAAGTAATTACTTGTTCGGTGAAGTTGGAGAACCAAGAGGAGGAGTTCTTCGCCTCATTTGTGTATGCTTCGAATCAAGTTGAGGAAAGAAGAGTATTATGGCAGGAACTAAGAGATTATGCAGATTCACCTATTATTCACCATAAGCCTTGGTTAATTATTGGTGATTTTAACGTGACACTAGACATGGCAGAACATTCTAAAGTGGATAATAACCCGCTGGTCACATTGGGGATGAGGGACTTTCAGGCGTTGGTGAATTATTGCTCAATATCCGATATGGCATCTCATGGCCCTTTGTACACTTGGTGTAACAAGCGAGAAAATGATCTAATTTTGAAGAAATTGGATAGAGTATTAATGAATGATGCATGGTTAAGAGCATTTCCGCAAGCGTATAATGTATTCGAAGCAGGAGGTTGCTCGGATCATTTACGGGGTCGGATAATGCAAATCGGGGAAGTAAGTAGGGTTACTCGCCGCCGAAAACCATTCAAATTCGTAAATGTACTCACAGAGATGCCCGAATTTTTACCAATGGTGGAGAATCATTGGAAAGAGTCCGAAGAACTTTTTTTGTCTACATCAACTCTGTTTCGGTTTTCCAAGAAACTAAAAGGACTCAAACCGAAGCTGCGGATTCTTGCAAAAGAACGGGTCGGAGATTTGGTAAAAAAGGCAAAGGAGGCATATGACATTCTCTGTCAAAAGCAGCAAGCAAACTTGATGAATCCAAGCACCATTTTGATGGAAGAAGAAAATGAGGCTTACAAAAGATGGGAACTAGTGGCAGGACTTGAAGAGAAGTATCTCAAGCAGAAATCTAAGCTACATTGGCTAAATGTGGGTGACCAGAACAACAAAATGTTTCATAGAGCAGCTGTCATATGGGAAGCAACAAACAGTATAAAGGAAGTTCTATGTCCGGATGGTCGGGTCCTTATACTTGAAGACGACATAAAAGCTGAGGCTGAAAATCATTTTCGGGAATTCTTGCAACACGTCCCACACGATTTTGAAGGAACAACTGTTGAGGAGCTTCAACATCTATTGCATTTCCGCTGTTCTGATTTGGATCACCAAAACCTCACCCGTATTATATCAGGGGAAGAAATCAAGAAGGTTTTGTTCTCAATGCCGAATGACAAATCTCCTGGCCCGGACGGTTATACCTCGGAATTTTATAAAGCAGCTTGGGAGCTGATCGGTACAGAATTTATCTTGGCGGTCCAATCTTTTTTTGCAAAAGGATTCTTACCAAAGGGAATTAATTCTACCATTCTAGCACTCATTCCTAAAAAGAAAGGTGCTAAGGAGATGAAGGATTTTAGGCCTATTTCTTGCTGTAATGTACTATACAAAGTGATCTCCAAAATCATTGCAAACCGGCTCAAGGTTGTTCTACCACGGTTTATTGCTGCGAACCAATCGGCATTTGTCCAAGACCGCCTTTTGATTGAAAATGTGCTTCTTGCCACAGAACTGGTCAAAGACTACCATAATGGACTCCATTTCTTCTCGTTGTGCCATAAAGATCGACATTTCAAAAGCCTTTGATTCTGTTCAATGGTCATTTTTGAGTAAGGTCCTCTCAGCTCTAAACTTCCCGCCAACGTTTATTCATTGGATTATGCTTTGTGTTTCTACGGCTTCTTTCTCGGTTCAAGTTAATGGAGAATTAGCAGGATATTTTAGAAGTTCTCGAGGTTTAAGACAAGGCTGTTCGCTTTCACCATACCTATTTGTAATCAGTATGGATGTGCTTTCAAAACTGCTTGATAGAGCCGCAGAAGAAAAAAAATTTGGATACCACCCACGGTGTAAAAAGTTGGGCCTCACTCACTTGAGTTTTGCGGATGATCTTATGGTTTTATCGGATGGACAGGTTCGCTCTGTTGAAGGCATCGTTAAGGTTTTTGGTGACTTCGCTAAATGCTCGGGATTGAAAATAAGTATGGAAAAGTCTACTCTTTACTTGGCAGGCAGCACGGTTGCACCTACTGGTCAGATTGCATCACGCTTCCCTTTTGAAATAGGTCATCTCCCGGTCCGTTATCTTGGACTTCCATTAGTCACGAAGAGGCTTTCAGCTGCAGATTATAGACCATTAGTTGAACAAATCCGGAAGAGAATAGAGTCGTGGACCTCACGTTTCCTCTCTTTTGCAGGACGACTGAATCTAATCTCCTCAATCCTATGGAGCATCTGCAATTTTTGGTTAGCAGCCTATCGACTACCAAACGCATGTATCCGGGAAGTTGAAAAACTCTGTTCTGCTTTTCTTTGGTCGGGAACTGATCTAAATTCACATAAAGCTAAGATTTCATGGGAACAAGTTTGCAGGCCAAAACAGGAAGGTGGTTTGGGACTGCGATCACTCAAAGAGGCTTACACCGTTTGTTGTTTAAAGCTCATCTGGCGTATAGTCTCGCACAGCAATTCTCTATGGGTTAACTGGATTCAGACATTCATACTCAAGCAGGATTCTCTATGGTCGCTTACCAATGGTACCATAGTGGGTTCATGGATATGGAGAAAGCTTCTCAAATACAGAACTATGGCAAAACCTTTTTGTCGAGTAGAAGTATGTAATGGGGAGAAAACTTTTTTCTGGTATGATAATTGGTCATCAATGGGCAGTCTACTGGAAAATGTAGGATCTCGGGGCTTTATCGACATGGGAATAAGCAAGAAAAGCTCTCTGGCGAATGTTTGGACAAACCATAGACGGCGTAGACACCGCACATGCCTTTTAAACATCATTGAAGATGAATTGCACCTGCAACGTCAACAAAGGAATGGAAATGAGGATCGATTTCTTTGGAGGGGAAAAAGGGACACATTCAGGCCAAAGTTCTCAACAAAGGATACTTGGAACCATATTCGAACAACAGCCACCACAGTCTCGTGGCATCGAGGAGTTTGGTTTGCACACGCAACACCAAAATATTCATTCTGCATGTGGTTGGCAGCCCACAATAGACTTTCAACGGGGGATCGTATGATTAAATGGAACCACGGAGCTCCGGGAAATTGCATCCTCTGTCAGCACCATTTGGAGACTCGAGATCACCTTTATTTCTCATGTCAGTACGGTTCAAAAATCTGGGCAGCCCTAGCAAAGGGGCTTCTAAAAGCAAGGTACACAACAGACTGGTCACTCATTCTCGACTACATTTCAAACCAACGACTTGAACGCGTAGAAGGATTCCTTATTCGATACGTTCTTCAAGTCGCTGTCTACATGATATGGAAGGAAAGGAATGGGAGACGACATGGGGAGAGCCCGCACTCGGAAGAATGCCTAATTGCATGGATTGATAAGCAAGTAAGGAATCGGATCTCGGCGATTCGCATCAAAGGTGACATGCGATTCGAAGCAGCCTACCAAACTTGGATCAAAGCTAAACCTTAAGGGTTTTTTTTTTTTAAAATTTCTGTTCACTCAACTTTTCTCTTTAAGCAAACCGTTGCACAAGTTGTAAAACCGTTTATTTTTTCTTTTGAATATAATTTAACATTAGATTCAAAAAAAAAAAAAAAAAGCCCTAAAATTGAAATTGGGGATTTAATCGAAGAACTCAAGAGGGAGTGTTGAGATTGAGTTCTTGATTAAACCTGCAACAAAGGAGAAAGCTTTAGTGAGAAGAAGAAGAAGAACAGAGCAAAGAGAAGAAGCTAGCGAAGAAGAGAAGTTGTCGTGAAAGAGGTCAACGACAACAATAGAACAAGTCAACAAGGTAGAAGAAGTTGGACTTGTTGTTTTGTAATAATAAAAGGGATTGGGCTAATTGTTTAGTTAGGCCCAAACATGTGTTAGTGTTGTTGTTAGCTTGTCCAACTAATAGTTGTTGGAGTTTGCTTATGATTTTAGCTAGAGTAGAGTGGAGTTGTTGTTGTGTAAGGTTTAGTAGTTCTTTGCTTGTAAGCTTGGTTCTAGTCTTAGGGCAATGATGACTAGAAGTATGGTCTCGAGTCTAAGTGAGTGTAGTGTAGCAAGTGGAGAAAAAACCACTATATGTATGTGTGTGTGTCTTGTAAGAAAAGTATCCAAGCAATTATCAATGTAGAAGATTAAAGTAAATGTGTTCTTGTTTTCTCTCTAGAACAAGTGAACACAAATGAGAAAGAAAGAGTAAAATATAGAGAGATCGTGAGAATTACAACAAAATACCACAAATTTCAAAGTCCTATTGTATATTTGTTTTGCTAGAAACACTTAAATTATGTAACTAATAATACAGAAAGACCATAATTTGGCAGTCTTATCATAGATTTGTTACGTTTGTATTTGTAATATAGAACGACCATTATTTGCATGTATAAGACATAGGTTATATTACAAGTATCTATACTAGTATTTTTGCAACACTTTGGTGACGGATGGGTAAAAATGCTTCTGGGTTAATCGGATATCCGACCCGTTTTCTAAAATCTTTCACAAAAAATTTGTTGGGTCGGGTTATATTTAACTCAACTCATACACCGGATATTCCATATTTAACAATTTAGATATTTAGAAAATTTGATTAAGATTTAGAATTATGATTCTCCTATCATTTTTGTTTTATTTGTTTTTATCTGTTTTGAATCATCATATAATACATAAATTAAAAAAAAAAATCAATTTTTTTTCTACATATACTGTGATTCGAAATTTTTTAAAACGAACATATATTATCAAATTGACGAAAATGTGTGTTCAACGTTCTACATCGATTAAAATATTTAGACAATGATTCAGAATCATATCATAAATAAGATCAACATTAATAAAATAAATGAGTTTTTTGGCGGGACGGGTTTGGCGGGATGGGTTTTTGAATCAACAATAATAAAAAGATTAAAATATCATTAATCCGCCGCTTCAATATGGATTAAATCCTTATTTTTTTAATACCACCAATATTAGACATATTAAATCAGTCTCATTTAGAAAAGATTGTATAAAACCAAAAATTGTCCCGTGGTATAATTTTACTTAATAACAATATTTATAAAATTTTAAATATCATTAACATGCCGCTATAATACATATTAAATCTTCAGTTTATTAAAATATAAATGTCTTAGAGAATGATATGATTTGTAAACTTTTATATATAATTAATAATCATTAAATTTAAAATAAAAATAAATCATGGGACGGGTTAAGAAATTACGGAAGGAGTTATATTTCGGAAAGAATTTATATGGCGGACGAATTTGAATCAATATTTATATACCGCTTTAATACGGGTTAAATCCTCAATTTATTAATAATTGTCTCGTGGACTCGTGGTATATCGTTACTTAATAACAATTGTAAACTATAATATAAATAAATATGTTATAAAGAGATACAATTTACAAAATATTTTTATACTAACTTTAAAATTAAATCAACCCGCGGTACAGGTTAAAATCTAGTAGTGAGTATACCACAATGTAATTGTCAATTAAAGATATTAAACATCACAAACTTAATCTTCACAGCGAAATTTATCTTAATATTTTGATGGAGATGGGTTTACATGGAAAGTTGGTAACAGGCAAAGTTACTAACAGCAAATTAAACAAGTTTATTTCTTAATCTTATTTTTAACAGCAAATTAAACCAGTTTATTTCTTAATTTTATTTTTGAGGAAAGACGTTATTTTTTTTTTAATTCTCAAAGGCCACAGTAAGTCCTGAGAGCAGATAGACCTCTCCTTCCAGGTCCCTCAGTTGTATACTGAAAGTATGCCTCAAAATCAACAGGCTTATACAAGCGAGGATGCTCGGCGTCAATCATTTCTTCTGGTGCATATATCAAATCCTCTGTTTTCGGAACAGAGAACAATCCAGCTGAGAATCTTGTGTTCGTTCCCATCCTCATCACTCGGTGAACACCGGTAAGCACCCGACCATTCAGAAGTACCTGAAAACATGTTTTACATTGAAAACAGTCGTAGAAGTTACTGTGTTTAAGAGGAAATTTGGTTTAAACTTACGTGTAGCATCGCTCCACCAAGAACGATGAATGAAGAATCTTGTGAAGGATTGGCTTTGATCCAATGCTTATCGTCTTTAGTTTTCACCTCGATTCCGTCTTTTACATCGTTCTGACAAAGTATGGTGAGCATGTTTCTGTCTGTATGAGCCTCCATGCCTAACTCCTCCTCTGTTTCTTCAACTCCTTGGTATTTCATCAATCTTACAAGACATTTCGTCGAATTCAGATGTTCATTGATGTAGCTTTCATCGAGCCCGAAGCTTTCCATTATCATTCTTCGGGTCATGAAGTCCAGTTCTGATACTTTCTCCGCGAATGACATAACCGCCTCGCTGCAGAAACAAGAGAAATTTTAGAGTTTGATATATTTCCCATCCAAATTTTTTAAAACCAAAATCAAATACCTGAAACTGTTGTTGCCTTGGGGCCAAAGCTTATGAGTAAATGCGTTGACTATATCTGGATTTTCTGCAAAATCAATGCCCATGACTTCAAACAAAGGTAAGGTTGGAATTTGACCTACATATCCTCTGTATTTTCTATTTGAGAGAACTCTCTGTTTGGTTTCTAAAGGTAGTTGGAAAACCTCGTTAGAAGCATCGAAAACCGCCTTTCGAAGTTCGAGAGGGACTTTATCGAATAAGGCCTCAAAGCATCCATACTCTTCCAAAGCTCTCCGGACATCGCCTCTCACTGAGTCCCATTGGACAGTTCCTGGTTTTAGGTCTCGACTTGTGAAATCGATAACCGGGAGCTGAAGAGCAAGAGTGGTTTCCAAACTCACCATTTTCTCTTTTCGAAACTTGTTCTGTTTTAGATGTCTCTCTATGTGTTCTTATCTAACATTTTGAAGACCACTAGAATATAAACTTTTCGAGACCACTAGAGTTTGATACTTAATAATATTATCATATATGTAAAATATATATATACATATATATAGATATATATTATCATAATTTTGATTTTCGAGGATCTCATTATATATTTATGGTTTGACAACAATCTTTTTAAGGGGGTGTAGTTAAAATCAAATTTTAAAGGTTTAGATTTGAAATTTGATATCATTTAAGAATCTAGTGGATTTCAAATCTCTTGAGTATAATTTAGATTTTGATTCGAATAATTTATTTATGAAACTCCAAAGAGATTTTATTTCAAATGGCTAAATATACAAATTTTAAGAGTTTATTTTAGTTTTGAATAACAATGAATTTTTAATGAAGTATTTAAATTTTTAGTTGAATAACATCATACTTTAAATTTAAAATGATTTATAAATATAAGATCCTATAAAACCAGATTTCAAAGCATGAATTGAAATCATTTATGGAATAACATTGGATTAGTGTTGGATTGCAATTCTATTAATCCTTGTAATATAGGAAAAATGTAGGTTAGGACTACTTAGCACTACTTAGCACTCTTATTGTTGTAATACGCAACTTCAAAACGGTTTGATTGGATCAAATTGTTGAAAATGATTTATACTTTTTATCCTATCTTAATGATAATGAAACGTTGTACGGAGAGATCACCAACTTCAATCGTTTAATTGGATCAAATTGATGAAAACGATTTGAATTTTTATCATTTGTTATTGAAAATGATACTTTGTACGTAGAGAACCAATCATGTAACACTTGGATTTATAAAACATTATCACTTTGATTAGAGAGATAATATTCGGATTTGCAAAAGATTATCACTTTGATCAATGAGATAACTAACATTCAGATTATCACTTTAAAAAGGCAGAATTATGATTCATGACGGAGCAATTTATTTATAGCTACTTTGCTATCCAAACCAAAAATCCAAACTTGAACGGACACCTAATTTCTTTCCCAAAATTTCAAACGAGTTTAGATTCTAATTTCTTTTGGGATATATAAATCATTTTCATTGTTTTGACATTATTTTTAAGTAATCTGTTTTAAATAAACATTTAAGAGTTGTGGTTTGAGTCCAAGAAAAACACAATACTACTGCCATGCAGAAAACAATCGAGGCCGCCTATAAAATATTTTTTCTTCTAATATTTTTGTAAAACTATAAATGCCAACAAAAAAATATATGGAAATTTTCTTTCATTTTTGTTTGGCATTTGTATTTACAAAAACTCATGCCTAAATTCATTTTTGTTTGGCAGTGTTCTTATTAAGTTGCAGTCGTTACCAATCGGACCCAAAATAATTTGTAAACGTAAACACGGTATTATAAACGTAAACATGGTAAACGCGAACACAAGTTCAGAAAACAATTGAAGCCGCCAAATCCGGCATACAAAAGCATCGTTAACTTGAGTCCACATGAGATGAGTGAACATCGAAGTATTTTCTTTGTTCGTGACATAGTCCATTTTAAGACCTTCAAGAAGAGGGAACGCATCGCACATGCATATGACTAGTGTAGCTAAGGCTTCTCATTTACATTCTTCTTCTTGGTCTCCGTCGATACACCATGCCTTCAAGGCTTCAAGGCTTCACCGATTTATTTGGAAACCAAACGCCACGTGGGCGTGTTCGGTTTCAGATCTTGGCTCGCGAGATCAAGAATTAGAACCTTCGAAATCCAGAATGATTTCATTATGGTTGTGTCTTTGATCTTTTTGGGTTATTTAACGTGAGGAAAAAAAAATTAACGTGAGATATCTATATAAAATTAGTTTTCAGAAAATATGTGTGATATATAACCAATGATTATGACTACATGAGTAAAATGTTTTGTTTATACTCTGAACGGCTCGTTGAATATTTAAGGCCAAAGATATCCCTTTGAAACATTGTCTTCTAGTGATTAGTGAACATCCAATATCTATTTCCATCTCAAAGTCCATGTTGTCCACAATAAAATGAGGTTATATATACGTTTGTAGCTCACTGGCTCTTCCAATGGGACTTCACCTCAAAGTCATGAGTTCGAATCTCGATGTTGGGGAGAAAACTAGTATTACTTGCTCTAATTCCAGTCCGAGACCGAGAGGATTATGGACCAAAAGCCCCTAACCTCTTAGTACATATATATGATCCATTAGTTGTATCACATAACGTTAAGACCCATCAAAATCTTGATAAGAACAGACGAAAAGTGTCTCCATGACTCCATGCAAGAATATTTAAGCACTAGACGAGTATGGGATCGATGTTTGATCATATATATATAGATTACTTTACTAAAAAAAAGTTTAAAAACTTTTTCATCTTATGTTATTGAACTTTGATTTTGCAAGTAGAGAACCAAATAAGATACACATTCAATAAAACATTGTCAACCTGATCAATCTTTTTTTTTTTTTTAACCTGATCAATCTTATGACAGTAGAGATGCTTTTTAGATACCACAATATGCTTTGAGAGTCGACTTCGCTTCACGCCCTTCTTTGGTTGCGTAGAAGTTTATGAGAGCTATGTTATCGAATGACTTATACATAAGTGGGTGTTTGTCGTCCACAAGCTCCTCAGGGATCGAAACCAAGTCCGTAAGAAACGAGAAAAGACCTAAAGTATACCTTGTCTTGTCTCCTTCCATTGTCACTCTATGTTCACAAGAACGTATCCTGTCATTGCTCCAACCCTAACCATATATATATCCATGATAAACTTCACGATCATAAAGAAATCAAGAATTCACATAAACTTACATGGTTTCTATCTCAAACGCAATTTACAGATCTGCGTTTATACGATAACAAACTTTTTATCAATTTTGAAATATAAAACTTTAGGCATATTAACTGCAAACGCCAAATACAACGTTTTCATTCCTAATTAATAAAAAATACTGCTGGTTTATATAATAACAAAAGAGTTCTATAAAATATTTTTGCGTATGGCTTACGTTTAATATTTTGCCTACGCTGTCTAATTAATTAAGGTTGTGAGTTCCTTCAGAAAAATACATACAATATATAAATGTAAATGAAAACACAAACAAACGATTAAAAACAAACAAACATTATAATGACTTTTCGCAAAATGTAAACGTATTGTGTCAGCATATTTTTTTATAATTAACAAATTTATCTTATATAAATGCAAACAACTTACTCATATTTCGTTTGACTTACCATAGAGATGTCACCGGCCATGACGACGTATGACTTGGGTGGGAGATGAAGGGAAATCCATTCACCGTCTTTTGATTTCACCTCTAAACCATTTACATCGTTTTGGTGAAGTATCGATAAAAAGGTCTTATCGGTGTGCTGAGGAAAAGCTGGCATCGAGAGAGATTCTGGTGGAGACAAGTACTTGAGGAATTTGAGTAGGTAAGTCTTTGATCCGACGTGCGATTCGTAATGTTTCTCAACACCGTAGTTCTCAAATATCATCCTCACCACTAGTCGGTCTAATTCCGCAACCGCGTTTGAGAAAGTGTGCACGGTGTTGCTGCAAAGGTAAGATCAAGCAAATAAAACTACATAGTTAGGGTTTCAAAACCGAGCAATCTATTGAAAAATACTTATTCTCTGTCATAACGAAAAAAGTCGAAATTTGAAGGGAAAATGCCTAAAGTGTGAGAAATATGAGTTATTTACTGTTTGTTGCGGCTTGTTGTATCTTTGGTTCATATCTTTTATATATTGCTTTAGTTCTTGGCTTCATTTGATATAAAAACTAATTGTAATCGACATGAGACATACCAAAACCGATCGTTTCCCTGAGGCCACATGAGATGAGTGAATCTCTGAGCATCTTCTTTGTTGGTAACATAGTCAATTCCAAGGCCTTCGTGAAGAGGGATCACAGGCATTTGACCAACGTAGCCATGGTACGGCTTCTCGTTTACGTTCTTCTTCTTTGTCTCCGTTGGGAGATCGAACAGTTCCTCAGCTGCGGCGAAGATGGATTCGTCTAGTTGCTGTGTTACCCCATCGTACACGGCAACAAAACAGCCGTATTCCTCCAAGGCTTCACAAGCTTCTCTGGAAATAGAAAGCCATGTGGATGTGTTTGGTTTCAAATCTTGTTGGCTGGTGAGATCAAGAATAGGAATCTTAGTAGTCTTCAAGATTGAGTCCATATTGGATTCTTTCTTCTATTTTGATCTTCTTGTGTTAATCACTAATCAGCAGCACTTGCTATTTATAGAGAATTTTTATTATACAACAATCCGCTACAAACCGAATCGAAAATTTTCTATCCGAAAACCGAATTGAGTTTTCATATGGTTAATTATTCTTTTCTACATTCGAAAAATCGATCCGGTCTGCAACCAAACCTACTGGTTTACCATTTGATATTTTGATAGCTACTTTTCTTAAAGAAACTATCGGATATGTTAGTTTATAATGTGGTCCAAAGATTCCGATGACGATAAATATTACATTACAGTATTGTCCATATAGATTACGGTGACTTTTTTTTTGATATTTACACTTGAGTTGCATATGAATGAAAAAATTGGAAAAATTGAGTTGAAGAAAAAAAAGGTTGAATAGTATTCAATTCATTCCTCTGTGAAATAGGAGATGAACAAGTTGAACAAATTTTCTTTATTTTTAGTTCATTTTTCCAATTTTTTGAATTGAATGGATTGAACCATTTTTTCAACATATTCATCTCAAATGGTAAAAAATTGGATGAAACTCTTTCAACCTTTTAATTTTAGGCAACCATTGATTCGATAGACTAGTAATATTACTACATATTGTGGTCCATGGATTACCATGACTAGTAATAGGACTAAAGAAATATTTTGTTTTCATTCAAAAACGGATAGTTGAAACCTAAGAAGTAAGATCCCTTCAACATTTGTCTTCTAATGAACATTCAAAATCCATTTTCATCTCAGAGATGATTCCATCATCCACAATAGTCTAAGATTGTATATGTTTAACTTTAGCATAAGAGATTATATATACATATAAGGTATAATCCACCAAAAAGGCAAATTAAAACCCACCAAAATCTTAAAGAAAATGACAAATAAAATGTCTCCTAAAATACCTACATTAGATTTCTCAAGGGAAGATTTGAAACCAGGCACAAAGTATTGGGCATCAACAAGTGAAAACATCAGACAAACACTTGAAGAATATGGATGTTTCATCATAGATCTTAAAGACAAGACACCTTTAGATCTTCTTGATCAAGTCTTTGGTTCTTTGGTCGACTTGTTTGCTCTTCCGACTCAGACCAAAATGAAGAACAAATACGATAAGCCCTTAAATGGCTACGTTGGTCAGATTCCAGCTCTTCCTCTTCATGAAAGTCTTGGCATTGATAATGCCACTTCGTTAGAAGCAACCAGAAGCTTCACCGGCTTGATGTGGCCGCAAGGAAACGAACATTTTAGGTATGTATAAAAGGATCCGATCCATTTATAATCCTCAACTATTGTTTCCGATATTTAAAGTTTTAAACCTTCAACTTTTTTTTTTGTTAGTGAGTGTTTGCACAAGTATGCGGAGTTTGCAGCCAAGCTTGATCAAATGGTGACTCGGATGGTTTTCGAAAGCTATAATGTTGAGAAATACTATGATCCATACATCAAATCAACCACTTACCTTCTCCGTGTGCTGAAGAATCGTGCGCCAAACAATGAAAACCCTACTTTAGGATTTGTTACACATACAGACAAGAGCTTCACAACAATACTTCACCAAGATCAAGTCAATGGTCTAGAAATGGAAACTAGAGAAGGAGAGCGTATTAATATCAATCTATCATCACCTTCGCTCTTCATGGTCGTCGCAGGCGATGCATTGATGGTAAAGTTAGGCTATAAAACAAATTTACAATCGAATAAAATTGACAAACATAAAATGAACTAATTTAAGTGCATATACCTTTAGGCATGGAGCAACGATAGGGTTTGGTCTCCGCAACACCAAGTTCTAGTGAGCGGTGAAACAGACAGATACTCTCTTGGGATGTTTGCATTCAACAATGGAACTCTTCAAGTACCAGAAGAGCTTATTGATCATCAACATCCTCTCATGTATAAGCCCTTTGATCATCTTGGTCTTCTTCGGTTCTACCGTACCGACACAGGTTACAAATCAGAGTGCCCTATCAAAGCCTATTGCGGAATTTGAACCGCTTCTGTTATGGATGTATCCACTATTTAAAGCTTCACAAATGCAAAATGTAATAATCTTAAAAGTGAAAAAAATAACTGTAATCTTACTCAGAAAACATATATACTTGCGTGGTAGGTTACAAAGAAGGACATGATCCATTTCTTGGTTTGTAATCAGACATCAACTAATACACAAAATCGAGTACAAAATCATTCATCATCACTGTGGTTTCCATTGACACCGACTCCAGAAACCATTTCGGATTCAGACATTACTCTCTCGTACTTAACAGAACGAGAAGGGAGAATCCTAAACCGTCCAAAGGATAAAGCTTGTGAAAGCTTGTCATAGTCCCATCTCTGCTGAACAAACACAATGACAGCAAGTAGAATCGCGGTAACAGGTATCGCGATATCTCCAAACTTAGAGAAGAAGTCGAAATTCGGATTAACAAACTCATGTTCTTCTCCGATGAAGTAAGGATCAGGAACAGAGCCAACAGTGTAGTCATAAGCGTGCGGGAAAAGCCTGACAAGTGTGATCCCGAAGTAATATAGCTTCCTTAGTGGCTGCCGGGAATCGATCTGCCACATAACATTAGCAATAACCTGAGGAAGCAAGAAGAAATCTTGAACCAAACCAATATACTCCTCTGTTTCAGTTTGCCACCAATTTGAAGCAGCAGATCCGTAACTTCCAAGAACTAATCTATCTGCTCTTGCGGGATGTCGAATCAGGGTGATTATGTATCCTAGTGCATGCAAGATCAAAGCAATGAGAAGTACACGGCGATCACTTGGAACTTTATGCAGTTCTTGAGGTGTTCGAGTGAGCAATCTGGCACGGGACTTCCAGACTTTCTGACAAAGCCTTAGAGTTAGTAGAAAGCAAACCATCACGAGGAGCTTCACGGTGTAATCAATCACATTGAACCATTGACTTCTCTGTAGATCATATGAAGGTGTTTCATATGTTGTTGCTGAAGCTGCTTTCCTTTTAAAAAGAGCCTCTGCTCTGGTGATCAACGGCAAGCTATAACCGAGAGCTTGAACTCCTAGCATTACAAGGGAAACGAAAGGAAGCGAGTCGGTATTGCTACTGACATAAAAAAGCTGGCTCGTAATGCAACCGATAGAGAATGTAAGCGTGAGAACTCTGAGGATCCCTTCAACGCCTGCACGAGAAAGAATGTCTTCACGTTGCCTTCGGTAAAAGATAGGAGTTGTTTTGAGCTTAACCGTTTTAAAATAGAGAGGATCATCTTCTGGTCTGTTGCTGGATATTGAAACCTTAGCAGTTGGATCAGCCAACCACCGTGATTTGATAGGTGGATAAGAAACCACCACGTCGATCAAACAATCTAGCCCAGCTTCTAGATCAGGACTCTCAAACAAAATTTTCCACGAGGCTCTCACGTCTCGGCATCCGACAAGATACATCCTCCCAACATGCTCATCGTAAAGACCTTCCAAGTAAAGAACAGAGAAGTTACCAAAATTTTCCCCTGTAAGTGAGATTTGAGCTGATACATTGAGAAGAAGCTGTTTCTCAGTGTATTCAGCTTTTGTGCGGTAAGGAGTCGTAGTTGTCTGTTCCGCAATGGAAAAGTTCGAAGTACGCCAGAAAAGTCCGAATAAAGGACCGAGCGAGAGAACATCCATGCCGAAATTAGTCCCTGAGGCCTGCTTGTCGGTAAATGCAGGGGTATGGAAAGTCAAGTCCTCAGCTAGAAGAGAAAGGCTCGAAAGCAAATCATCAGAGTCTTCTAATTTCGGAAAATGCATTACCGACTTCTTGATTATTGTTCCGAAAGAGAACTCTTCATTTTTCTCAAGGATGGCACCAGCATCATCTAACTTCGAGTAACTATAAAACGGATGTGAAGCCGAAGACTGAAAGTAATTCTGCATATCCATAGGCTCCACAAGCTTCTCAAATGACAAAGGGAAGAAAGATGGAGTCAAATTCTTCTCTGTATTTAGGCAGGAGAAAGTTCCTACAAGTATACTTCGCTGCCTTATCGAAAAAGTAGTTGGAATATACAAACAGACACGAGCGTTGCAGCCATCGACTTGGCCTCGCCTGCACCCAATCATACATAACTGCCCGCTAGACGGTTTCCAAATCCCTTCAGCTGTAACAGTCATATTGTCTATCCCTGATCTCAACCCTGAAATGTAAAGATTCTCATTCGGATGAACAGCACGAAAAACCGCCGAGACTTTTGTAACAGCATCTGTTTGAGACCGAGCAGCGGTTTCCTCACAATGTACATTTTGCATATACAACTTCACATCTTTAAAGCTACCATCAGTCGATTTAATATCTCCGTCAGACGCAAACGGACCCAATTTGCTGCAGTACTCATCTGTACCGTTGCATTTCCAGTTAGGTACAACCGTGAGAGGCGCGCGGTTAGTAACTCTTTGAAGAAGATCACAGAACCCTTTCCCTTTGTAGACATTGATACCACTTCCTGAACTCGTAAAAGTATCGTTTTTATAAGGATATGGATCACAAGCCTTTGATACCAAATCATTAGAGACGAAATCGTATCGAACCGATTTACCAAGCTGAGAAAAAAGATGGACCTTGTCGAAAAACTTAAGACTAGGCTTCTGGTTTAGACTAGTAAGCTCTCCTTGAATAACTCTTTTCGTCAATGTGAAGCTTTTCGGATACCGAAGAAGAAGCAGAATCAAATCATCTTGTAAAAGAGGAGGTGTGTCATGTTCCTTAACCCATTTCCATGGATTAGAAGAATCAGATTCATCACGAGAAGGTAACATTGTTTCACCAAGCATACACAAAACTCTTTCATCATCATCATTCTCAACATAAATCCCTTGAAACGAGATCTTAAGCTGAGTATGACTCGGCCATAACTCAAACTCACGGATCCCATAAGATCTTAAGCTTGGTAATTCATTAAACATTGTGATCGCTAGAAGCAAAACACCATTAACGCCAATGTATTTCTTGGTTCTATGAGGAAGATCTAGATCTGTGACTGAGAAAGAAACAAGATTCATAGGCTTCGTCGACGAGTTTCTTAATGTGTTCGTTGAATCAAACGGTAGAATCGGAGAATCAC